CTAGCTTTTGAAAAGCATTCACACAAAAACCATGGAAACAACGAGGAGCTGGCAGTTTAAAAAGCTCAATAAAAAGTTTTTTTGCCGACCATAGTATAAAAAAATTTTAAGGCTGAGCTCTCAGAGCAGAGCATTCCAAAAGTGTGTTTGTGCAATTAATTGTTTTCACTACCAAAGTTATAGTTTTCACAGAAATTTTTCCCCGCAATTATTTTTGCGAAATTTCTGATCATTGTCGCATTTTTTCATATAATTTATTTTTGCGAAAAAATGCGAAATTTTGCGACAGTTTTCGTTCACCAGAAATCTTAAATATAACTTACTTAAAACGCAGGAATACAAGGACTAAAAGGTTGGAACAATCTAGAGACTGTTGTATGAAGTCACTCACTTTTCTAAAAAACGCATTAACTATGTAACATTTATGAATCTTAAAAATGTATATTATGCAAACGAAATTTGTGTTAAAATCGAACAAACAAATGTCTAAATTACTAAAAATTTAAAAAGTGGCCCTAACTGTGCAGCGTACAATATTTGGCCCTAACTGTGCACTGTACAATATTTGGGCCAGTTGACATAGTGGGAATAGACAACACTGATTCTTTGGGTAAATCGCTCTAGGAGATGTAATTTTATCTTTGTTGATCAGAGACATTAACGTTGGAGTTTAAGTTTCTTTGTAATTTTTAATAATCAATCAATCAGTTAATTAGTATAATCTCTCGTTGAGGGGAAAAAAATACAATACAAAATAACAAAAAAAATACAAAGAAATAAATAAAGTATCACTCTAGGAGATGTAATTTTATCTTTGATGTTCAGAGACTATTAAATTTACATTGGAGTCTACATTTCCTTGTCAGCTTAAATAATCAATCAATCAATCAATATCATAGAATACATAAAGAAGATTTGACATTTATTCTTTTTACTTTTGCTTCGTAACGACTGTTTTACCATTTTTTTACCATTCAGTACATGTAGAGCAGTTTTACCATTCAGCACATGTAGAGCAGTTTTGCTTAAAACTGAGCAGAAAAGCAGAAGGTAATTTTCAAGGTTTAGAATTAGTAAATATCTTTTTTACCGTATTCTGCTTGTGGAGAAGATTTTAGGGGAAAACTGATAAATGCAGGTTCATCAATGTATGTGCTGATATAAAAATGACTATGTGCGCATATGTAATAATATTTTTAGCGATAACTATTGAAAGGTAAATATTCTTGTTCCCTGGGTGTGTCAGGTAAAGCCCCGCAACTTCTGTTATTTTGAATGCAAACACGATTTTCAAGAAAACTATTTTTTGAAAATTTTAAACCCAGCGGTTGAAAGAAAAAAGTTTTTTAAGAAAAATTTTTCTGTTGTTGAAAGCAAAAAGTTGCTGAAAATTTTAAACCCAGAGGTTAAAAGAAAAAAGTTTTTCAAAAATAATTTTTCATTAGTTGAAATTAGTTGTTAAAAATTTTAAACCCAGTGGTTGAAAGAAAAAGGTGTTAAGAAAAATTATTTTTCAGTGGATGAAAGCAAAAATTTGTAGAAAATTAAAAACCCATCAGCGGTTGAAAAAAAAGGTGTTAAGAAAACTTATTTTTCAGTGGTTGAAAGCAAAAAGTTGTTGAAAATTTTAAACCAAACGGTTGAAAGAAAAAGGTGTTGAGAAAAATTATTTTTCAGCAGTTGAAAGCACAAAGTTTTTCAAAATCATAAACCCAGTGGTTGACAGAAAAAAGTTTTTCAAGGAAAATTATCTAAAGAGGTTGAAAAGGTGGCTGAAAGATCTTAAACCCAGCGGTTGAAAGCAAAAAACTGGATTTTCTCAGTGGTTTAACTAATAAAAGAGTTTTCAAAAGTGGAAAAAAATGTTGACGTAAATAGAACGATTTTAGCGGTTGGACAAATTTTAAATTTGAGAAAAAAAGTTGAATTTTATATTTTAGACTGCGTAGTGCGTAGAGTCTAGGCTAGATCTCACCGCTTGATCAACCGCTTCCGCTGAGTTTTTTTCTACAAAGTATATATCATTCCTTCATGAGATGAAAAAATATCTCTGGTCTGTATGAGAACTTTTGTATGAAGTCATCAGGTACATTGGGAACTGATAATTTGGACTGATAATTTGGCATAGTGACAAAAGGAACAATTTTCATAAACTCAACAGACTGGCCTAACTCTATTCCAATCAGTCCTTTTCTTGAGGTTGGCCCTGATTTTTCACTAATAACGCTGCACAGTAGGTTTCTTGCTGAAAGTTCACAGAAAGGTATGAAAGACGGTTTCAAAATCCAAAATTTACAGTTTTGTCTGTTTCATTGTGTTTTAGATGATCTCTTTTAATTGTTGTGTACTGAAATATTTTTATAAATTAAATATTTTTGTATGAGAAATGAGAAAAACGTGCAATTCTAGGAGATGAAAAAATGTAATATAAATTTTTGTTCCATTTATCATGTTTAACTAATGCACTTTAGTATTTGCTTTCTACAGTTTTCTGGTTTTCATAGATCACTGTATCTTTCTATCTTTCTATCTATATATCTATCTATCCATATATTCATCTATTTATGTATCTATCTCTCTGTCTATCTATCTAACTAAAAGATAGTTCTGAATCTTAACTCTGCTACTGCTAAACGTCTTGTTTAATATATTATTCAGTTTGTGTGCATACACCACGGTGACACAGCGACACACACGGCAGCTTTATCTGAGTCATACTTACTCTAGGTGTGTTTCACTCTATACTATATACTCTATACTCCAGGTGTGTTTCACATCGGGGTGTTTTTTTTCTACACTTTCCCTAGGTGTGTCTCACATCGGGGTGTTTTTGTTCTTAACTTTTCTAGGTGTGTTTCACTTCATGGTGTTTTTGCTCTATACTTACACTAGGTGTGTTTCACATAGGGGTGTTTTGGTTCTTTACTTCTCTATGCGTGTTTCACATCGGGGTGTTTTTTCTCTATACTGTATTCTAGGTGTGTTTTACATTCTAGTGTTTTTGTTCTATACTCTACTCTAGATGTGTTTACATCATAGTGTTAATTTTGTTCTACACTCTAGTCTTGGTGTATTTCACATCATGGTGTTTTAGTTTTACATTCAAGTTTAGGTGTGATTCACATCATTGTGTTTTTGTTCTATATTCTACTTTAGAGGAGTGTTTCACATTATGGTGTTTTGTTCTACATTCTTGTCTAGGTGTGTTTCATATCATTGTGTTTATGTTCTATACTCTACTCCTACTATAGGTGTGTGTCACATCAAAGTGTTTTTGTTCTATACTCTACTCTACATATCTGTGTTTCACATTATTAAGTTTATGTTCTATACTTTACTCTAGGTGTGTTTTACATTCTAGTGTTTTTTTTCTATACTCTACTCTAGGTGTGTTTTACATTCTAGTGTTTTTGTTCTTTACTCTATCTAGATGTTTTTCACATCATAGTGTATATGTTCTATACTCTACTCTAGGTATGTTTCATATCATTGCGTTTTTGTTCTATACTCTACTCTAGGTGTATTTTACATCATAAAGTTTATGTTCTATACTCTATCTAGGTGTGTTTCACATCATAGTGTTGTGTTCTATACTCTAATCTACATAGGTGTGTTTAATATCATTGAGTTTATGTTCTGTACTCTACTCTAGATGTGTTTTACATTCTAGTGTTTATTTTCTATAATCTACTCACATCATTCAGTTTATGTTCTATGCTCTGCTCTAGATGTGTTTTACATTCTAGTGTTTTTGTGTGTTTCACATCCTAGTGTTTATGTTCCATGCTCTGCTCTAGATGTGTTTTACATTCTAGTGTTTTTGTTTATTCTATATTATTTTACCATATTCATGTATTGTGTTTTTCAGGAACGATTTAGTTTATATTCCTGTCTTTAACAAAGTCTTCTCTATATTTGTATCTGAATATTTGAATATATATATATATATACTATACAGGGTGTCCCAATAAACATGGGAGTTGATAGACGACTTAAATATCGCCTTTGATTAATGATAAAAAAGATTGAAAGTCTAATAAGCTTTTTAAAATATGGTCTACTTTTGTGCATCATTAAAATTGACCGAGATATTAAAGATTTGAACAGTTTTGCTGATTTTTAATAAACTGGAATCTGGACAGATTTCCTAATAACTCAGTCAATTTTGAAGGTGAAATAATGGCAGACCACATCTTGAAAATACCAGTTAGGAGTTTTCGTTTTAATAGTTATAAAACAAGTTAATGTTTACAAAAAATAATCCACCTTGGAACAAAGACGATTTATAGAAATCATCTTTTTATTCGAATATCTAATGGGACACCCTGTATATATATAATTGTATATATATTTGATTGTGTGAATGTGCTCTAGTTAGCGCTCAGTAAAGCATTTCTCCCATAAATATTCTTCAAAATATTTTACTAAATATCTCACCAAATATTTTGTTAACAAACTCTGCTAAACTTTAAAGGGGGGGGGAGGTAGGGGGGAGGGTTATAAAGAAATGTATAAGGAAAATTTTCAAAGGAACGGACACTTTGTAAAAATAATTACGGAATAACGTTTTATGATGTTTTAAGAGATCAAAAAATTTTGCAGAAAAAAAGAATCAATATGAAAAATTTTTTTTAAGAAGGAAATTTATTATAAGGGAAAAATATTCAAAAGGAAAAGTGTTCAAAAAGAAAAATTATGCTAAGGGAAAAATATTTAAAAGGAAAAATGTTCAAAAAAAAAAAATTGTTCTGATGGAAAAACATTCAAAAGGAAAAATGTTCAGAAAGAATAATTATTAACTGGATCATTCTGAGCTGAGAACTTTTAATCAGGATATTCTTAATCCATATCTGTTTATTAATCTGAGCTGAAAACTTTAAAATGGTGGATATCAAGATCAATTTTTGATCCTCTCTTTTTAATAATTTGGAAATTAATCTAATCTTGTATCCTTGTTTGTATCCTGAAAAGTTTATAAAATTCAACCAATCACAGTGGCGTATCAGAAGCCGGGAAATTTGAAATTTTGCGCGCCATTTGATCAGGGTTCTAATTAATATTAATATATATGAGACGGGAGATACTCTTTAGTTTTGTAAAACCGGTTTTTATTTGTCTGTACTTTACTATACAGTACTGTACTATATCAAAAAAGAATGGATTAAGCAGGAAATTAAAAGTGTCCACATTGAATATTAAAATTAAGCGATCGGGACTAAAGATTTTCCAATTCAAGTTCCCAGCTCTGGAGATTACTGACAAGAGGAGAACAAGCATTATTTAATCTCGAGATTAAGAATAAGAGAGGATCAAATATTGATCAAAACAAAAGTTCCCAGCGTTGGCATATGTTAGTTGGAGAAAACGAGGTGCTATCCTCCATTAAAAAGAACTAAAGTTTGGGCATTAAAGTGTTTTAATTATCTGTAAGCAGCAGAGGTAATTATTAAATTATGGACTTTAAACTGTATTATAACTCTTAAAAGATAAGCAACGGTGTTTTTCTGATATAAATTTGAATAAGAACTACGTAAGAATACAATTTATTCATTAATTATATTTCAGAATGAAAAATAATTTGTATTCCTTTCATTTTACTTCAAAAATGATATTTTAAAATTTAATTCTACAGTACATGAATGATTTGATGAGACACCCTGCATTTATTTATATATGCATTTAGTCCAATGTCAATTCTTGTTTAATCATTATTCATAGTTTCAGGTTTCAGTTCAACTCTGCCTTATCAGGTAAATCAGGCAGTATTGAGAACAATCAGGCAGTATTCAAGCAGCTGGTGAAATCAAGGCACTGGTGATTTGACAAACAAGGCAGTTTTCGTCGAAGATAGTGATATAAAAACAAGGTGATTTTACACCTTTCAATTTTTAAAGGACTGTAAGCGTAATTTCAAGTGATCCTCCATGCTAAGATGAACATTGAACAATGATTCCCTTATAAGCTTTGTCTAATCCAAGGATATAATGCAAGGAAAGTTATTTCAGAGGTGTACGCAACTTTGTACTGCAGTGTACTGTCTCTGGGCGATAATGTAAACACAAGACAGATGTAATAGCCTGACATGGGATTCATCTTTCAAATAAAAAATTAATAAAATATTCTGGTCATAGGAAACTAATATGTGAATTATCAAAATTATCAAAATTTAATGCTTTTAACCTCCTCGGATACTAAACGAACACTGATGCATCTATTCTTGTTTACAAATTCCGCCCAGAGTAAACTGGATTCAATATGTACGCAGAGTATAGACGACCGCAAATAACTTTCCTTGTATTATAACCTTGGTCTAACCAAGTATGACTTTAATATAAATGTTTATAATATTGAAAACTACTTATTTTAAATTGGACAAACTTTACAATTTCTACAGCAGGAACACAAATTGGAATTATCAGATATAAACACTTTCTTTGGGCATTGAAATCTTTGCATGAAGGGTCACCTGTAATTATACGCTTACAGTCCATTTAAAGGCGAGCGAAAAATGAAAGGTATGGGCTAAAGGAGAAAAATAAGCGCTTTTGATCGCTACTAATCTTACTTCTATCTGTTGCGTCTATAAGGAGAAAATTGTTAAAATCGACTCATGCTGAAGAACGTAGAAACCATGAAAATTCAGAAAGTTTCAACATTCAACTTGGATCGTAAAATAATCAATTTAATTCCAAACAAATCATTTACATATTACAAACAATAGTCATCGATCTTTTTTCGACGCATTCGTATATAGTTGATATTTCATAATATATTTTATTTGTTTTACATATATGATGCAATTCAAACGACGATCAGTTGGTTGCCAGGTGTTTTTGCACTCGATGTGCCTGCATGGTTCCACGGAGGAGAGACACCTAGCATTTTTTCGCGAACCCTCCCTTTAAAAAAGTTAAACTATTATGTTGCTAACTAAGTTAATAATTATTCATTAAAACGATTTAACTGATCTTTTTGAACAATCTGGTTTTGATTAATATCTTTGGTCAAGTAAAAATTTTGCATAATGTAAAAAAACACATTTTCCACAGGATCTTAACAATCAAATTTTTTAAGTCTAAAGACTTTAATTGTTTAACAAAAAACCCCATCAGTACTCATAGCCCGGTAATTTCCTAGTATACGATTTTTGGACCCCTCCCCCCTTTTTTCAATTTTGTACATAATGGATATAATTGGTCATGTGGCCGCAGCGGTCGGCCTCCTAGCCTGTCCTAGCCACAGTGCTCGCCCCATAAATTTTTTAACCTAACTTACCTAAGATAATAAAAAATAAATAATATAATGTTGCTGAAAATTAGTGGTCATGTACAAAATTGATAGGAGGGGAAGGGGAGGTCTACCGACTGATCTACCGACTGGCTTGATCATCCCTCCTTGACAGCCCTGATCTGTTCTATCTAAGACCCCCCAGCATGCAATCCTTCCGAAGCCAAAATGTATTATTCTATTAATCCTTTATTTTACAGTTTTTAGATAAATTGTAAAGTTTGAAACGAATGTTACCCGAAAAGCTTCAATGAACTATATTTCTCCGAATAATTCAGGTAAAATTATTCATTAAAATAGCATTTTTGTTTATAAATTTAAGATCTAGATATTTATTTACGTATCGAGGATATATTACAACTTAGTTTATATGGATTTAACAGAAAAAAAACTATTTTACGATAGTATCGTTTACATACATTGATTAAGAAGTAATCTATTAGTTTCCGGATACATTTTTTCATTATTTTCTTGTCAGAATTGATATTACATTTAAAATCGAGTATTGACGAATCAGCAGTTTAGACGATTAAAAACTACAATTTATTCAATAGGATAGCATACTTGTATACAATGTGACTTAGCAATACGATAGACATAGCAATTTATAAATTGGAAAACACATTTTCTGTAGTCAAATTTTTTAAAAGGGGCAAATGATTTTAAGTATACCTTTTGTTACTCAATATTGATATTTTATCAGTAAAGTTGGATTGAGATATTAGAGGTCTGCAACATCAGATTGCAAAGATATTGAGTTTTTAACTTTTTGCATAATGTAGTAAAAAGAAACATATAAAAATTCGGATATTGATATTCTTTTAGAACACCTTTAAAGCTAAAACACCTTGAGTTTTTAAACAGACTTGAATTTGGTGTCAACCCGTATTTAAAGGGTATCAGTGGAACTGGGATGTATATGCCACTTCTTGAAGGGCGAGTTACTTAAAATCATGTTTACAGCCAAGAATACCAATTAATATTTCAGATCCTATGGATCTAGAGAAGAATGGAGTTAAATATGAAATTCTGGAATACATGAATGAGAAGATAGATTCTCCTCTGGATGACCTAATGTACGACCTGGTGGATGAGCTCCTGGATGAATCAAAGGATGACTCTGAGTATGGCAGCTCGGATGAGAGAATGGAAAATACAGACTTTTATCTGACAGAGTTGACTCAAACTGAAGAAACTCAGTGTCCGGACCAGGTCAATTTTATTATTTTTAAATTTCAAAAATATTGGAAAAATTGTATTTGAAAGAAATACTTGAGTATTGCGATCTAAATTGCCTAGGTTGATCATTAATCTAAAAGTCTTCAGGAATTGCCACCGATTCAAATTTTCTATTTCTTGTATATATGTCGTAGACCATAATTTCTGGTAGAGATAATCTAACTTTAGAATATCAAAGGATTACGCCATGAAGGCAAATTATTAAATATTAAAATATAATAATTATGTCTTTTTTTCGTTTCAAATATTTCTATACTACACGCTAACACAAAAATCTGAAATTAGGGTATAATTACGCCTGTTGAAACTCTGTGAATAATATGTACGCTAAGGCTTGCATTTAACTTTTTATTCTAGAAGTAAGTTTATTGAGATCACGCATAGGGTTTAAAAATCGTATTTTCAACGTTATTAATCTCAGATTTTTATATTGTTTTTAAACCAAACGTGAAAAACCAAATTAAAAATTTGTTTAAAACATATTCATTTATCATATCAATCAAGTAAAAAGTTATTCGTTTTATAATAATTAAAAATATTTCGTATTATTTTTTGTATTTACAGATTCTAACTGATAACATTCTACAAACACTAATTCAATAATATCTTTAATTCTAATGTATTTTTCAGACATTTTTCATAAAGAAAACAAATCACGGACGAATGACTTAGATCAGAGAAATAAAAAAACTATCGTTTTTTAAAAACTACACAATACAATACAATACTATACGATATTTTTTTTTACAGAACGAACGATTTTCTCGAACAAACTTTTTAAAAACGATATTTATTTTACTGAATGAACGATTTTATGGAACTTTTACTAAACGAACAATTTTACTGAACAAATGATTTTACTGAACGATTGTTTAGTGAGAAAACGAACGAAAAAGATGGAAAATAAACGATAATTTTAAGAGCGAAGAAAATCAATTGTTTTGAACTATTGAAAAAAATGGGTTGTTCATGAACGACGAACGAACGAAATGAAAAAAGCCCGAACGCGTCAATCTCTAGTATCTACTCTAGTCTAATCTATAGCACTCTTTGAATATTAAAAACTATAAATTCTGTGAGATATAAAAGCCAAAGTTCAGAAAATTATTCATTAAAAAAAATTTGATTTGTTTTTTAGTCCAACCCTTTTAGTTTTTCTTGTAATTTCAGTAGTTAAAGAAATTGAGTCTTTGCCATAAACTCATATTTTCTAATCCCTATTTTTCTTTACTAAAGTTGATTACTCTGGATGCGTCCCAATTTACGGAAAATGTCGTCTTTTTAGCTTAGATAGATAGAATTCGCATATGACGTCACTGCATGTAGAAGCGAGCATGACGTCTATATGGATTCTATGTATAACAATCTATGCTAAGGAGACGACATTTTCCGTACATTGGAGCGCATTTCGAGTTTAACCAACCTTATATAAAGGACCTTGGTTTGAAACCTGATGGCGTAAACCTTTAATATTTAAAACTTAGATTATTTGATTGCAGAATTCATAGTTTGACATATCTAAGGTCTACGCCATCAGATTGCAAATGTATAGGGATTAGAAAATCATGCAAAGTTTCCTTATTCATGAATTTCAATACCCGAGTTCAAGGTTGAATAAAGTGTTGAAATGTTTCCCCGCAATGTTTAGCCACATGTTGCAACTGCAAGAGAACAAATAACTCATCATATCATCTTCATTACTCTGCAATTTAATTAGAATTCATATTTAAAATATTTATAAGTAGATTTACAATATAATAGTTTGAAACATATTCGCCACATAAACCTAATTTTTTTAATAAAAAAGAAATTTAACACGAGCGTGCCTCAAACTTAATTTTTTTTGTTCTTATATCTTTGCTGCTCAATCTTTAATATTTAAACGATAAAGATGGAATTTTTAAAGTAACAAATATCGTCATTTGAAATTTCTTCACAAACCTTTAAAATTTGAATTAAAAATTGAAACACACGCATCTCTGCCCCTTTAGTAAAAGTAAATTCAACCTATTTGATGACTAAAGTCTGACCGCGTGAACCTTGTTGCACCCGCTAGTCCTGTCCATAGAGTTAGGTACAGTACAAACTAGGACCGGAAAGGTTGACCTGGCTCAGAAGTTCAAGTTGTATTTCTGACTGAAAAGATTGACGCTATGTCTACGCCTCCTGTTCTCCAACCGCCACCGCTGCTACTCTCCGCCATTTATGTGCTCCATTGCACAACGTTTGAATCTAATCATTATTATGCTGAACCAGGGGAGCTCATGTGAAAACAACCTTAGCTATCTTGTAGCTCCCCGGCCACAAAATATATATATAATTGTCTAGTTTTTTTTTATTAATATGAATGTTGTAAACTTGTGGCCCAATAAATGATTTGATTTGATTTGATTTGATTTGAAATGTACTACAGCTGCCCGTGAATAAATATTATATTTTTCAGGGATATTTTTACGCAACTGTGATACTCAGCGGTCTTTTAGGCTTAGCAATCCTACTTCTCATCCTTCTTATCATATATCATTGGAGAATACGCAGGCAGGTTAGTCATTCAATCCCTCTTATCATATATCGTTGGAGAATGTGCAGGCAGGTTAGTCATTCAATCCTTCTTATCATTTATCATTGAAGATAGGTAAGTCTTTCAATTCTCATCATGTATTATAGAAGATATGTTTGTTATTCAATCCCTCTTTTCACATATAATTTAAGATAGGTTAGTCTTTTAATTCTTATCATGTAATATAGAAGATATGTTAGTCATTCAAACCCTCCTTTCATATATCATTGGAGCTGGGTGAGTCATTAAATCCTTCTTATTATATATCATTGGAGATAGGTTAGCCATTTAATCCTTCTTTAAATATATCATTGGCCAGTTTAGTCATTCAATCCTTCTTGTCATCATTGGAGCTAGGTTAGTCATTTAATCCATCTTTTCATATATCACTGGAGCTAGGTTAGTCATTCAATCCTTCTTATCATTTATTATTTGAAATAGGTTAGTCATTAACTCCTTCTTATTATATATCATTTAAGATAGGTTAGTCATTCAATCCTTCTAATCTTTTGTCATTGGAATAGGGTTAGCCATTTAATTCTTCTGATCATTTATCATTGTAAATAGGTTAATCGTTTACCATTCAATCCTTTCTATCTTTTATCATTGGAAATAGGTTAGTCATTCATTTTTTCTTATCATTTATTATTGGAAATATGTTAGACATTTAATCCTTCTTATTATAGTCATTCATTATTCATTCCTCATTCTTCAGTATTCATATAATTCATCACTGCAGTAGATATTTTTTCATCCTTCAAATAATAAAATATCATTGGTGAGAAATTAGTCAATTATTCATTCTTTATCAGTATCTTATCTATAAAGTTGTAATCTCTATTTGTCTGTTCGTTTGTTTGCCCGATCATAACTCAAGAACCCCCAGACCGATTTGCCTCAAATTTTGATCGGGAAACTAGGGAAAATAACTGGAATGTTGTTAGTTTGCTTTTGAGATTCTAAGTCGAGTGGGTTCACTTTTAACGGGGAAAATAGCTAAAATCGTAATTTACGTCAAAAGACGGGTAAACGGTGGGACAAACTATGACTCCCCTTGGCAACGATGGTTTCCCAAGCTAGTGTATTATATTATAGCACTTAGTTATCATATGTTTTAGTGCATCATTTACTCTTTACACCCTGTTCCACAATTTATGATCACTTTTTTATATTGTTTAGATACAAAGAGAATAGTATATATATTAGAGTGGAATTTACTAGAAAAAAGTGTAAAACTACCATTTTGTTGAACTGTTTCCATACTGCAGGTGTACTTTACAAATTTGTGCTATATAACCTTTTGGGCCCTGGAACATCATTTTACAGAAAATCTAATATTAATATTAAAAGAAAACCAAATTATAAAATAGGCTGGTTTCATAATTGACCAATGATCATTTCACATAGACTCTATGCCTTTCACTTTACAAACGGTGATTTTCCATTATAACTATAAATCAAATGATGTTTTTAATTCACCTATAATTCATTTATAAAGTTAATTTAACAGCTTTAAAAAAATCGAAATTGAAATGGATAGTCTAAGGAACATACAGTATTAATATACTCTACTGCATATAATTTGTGGACATTTACATGATTTGTACACTTTGAACTCCCTTTCAGGCTGAAAGGGACTGACAAAGGGATTGTCTAAATTCCACTCTAATATATATTCTATTTTTTTTGTTTAGATACCAGGCGGTAAAAATGTGTCAAGAGCAGAGTCCTGGCGATATGAATCAAATATTTATGTAAATCCATGGAAAAAATCTTTCATAAAATCATTAACTAAATTTTCATATTTTTTTCTTATATTTGTCAATACCTTTAAATAAAACATTTTTTAATAGATAGAAAAGTTTATTTGCTCAGCCAGACCTAAGGCTGTTGGTGGGGTACCTGTATATGAGGCTCCCCCTCTAGCTCCCCCTCTACAAAGGTAAACATTATTTTTTGAATACTCCTTAAAACTTTAAACTTAAAACTTACCTGTACAAAAAACCTGTACAAAAATTCCTAGAAATTTAATTTAAATAAATTTTAAAGCGTGTACACTGTGCATTGTACAGCGTACACTGGTATACAAGTGCACACTGTACACTCTGTACATTGTACAGTATAAACTGGTATACAAGTGTACACTGTACACTGTAACTGTAAATTTTACAATATAACTGGTGTACAAGTGTACACTGTACACTCTGTACATTGTACAGTGCAAACTGGTATACATGTGTGCACTGTACACTGTAAATTGTACAATGTACAATGAAACTGGTAAACAAGTGTACACTGTCCACTGTACACTGTAAATTGGTATACAAGTGTACACTGTACACTGTGAATTGTACAGTGAAACTGGTAAACAAGTGTACACTGTCCACTGTACACTGTAAACTGGTACACATGTGTACACTGTACACTGTAAATTGTACGATGAAACTGGTAAACAAGTGTAGACTGTCCATGTACACTGTAAACTGGTATACATGTGTACACTGTACACACTGTACACTGTAAATTGTACATTGAAACTGGTATACAAGTGTACACTGTACAGTGTACACTATACATTGTATTGCCCTGCCTAGGGAGTTTTTCTCTCTATAATCATAGAGAATAGAATATATAGAGAGGAATTTACTAGAAAAAAGTGTAAAACGGCCATTTTGTTGTACTGTTTCCATACTGCAGGTGTACTTCACATATTTATGCTATATAACCTGGTGGGCCCTGGAATATCATTTTATAGAAAATCTAAAATTATTGTTAAAAGAAAACCAAATTATGAAATAGGCTGGTTTCATGATTGACCAATGATCATTTCACATAGACTCTATGCCTTCCACTTTACAAACGATGATTTTCCGTTATGACTATAAATCAAATGATGTTTTTATTCATCCAATTCATTATAAAGTTTATTTAACAGTTTAAAATATTCGAAATTGAAATGGATAGTCCACGGAACATACTGTATTAATGTACTCTACTGCATATAATTTGTGAACATTTACATGATTTGTACACTTTGCACTCCCTTTCAGGCTGAAAGGGACTGAAAAAATTCATTCCGAGAGATTCTTTTAATTCCTCTCTATATATTCTATTCTCTATGTCTATAATCTATAAATTGTCAGCAAAACTTATACCATCTCCCTCGTTAGATATCTCAACTATTGAAGTTTTAATTGTCGACAAAAATTTATTTTTCGATTTAAAATTTTTTCAAATTTCAAATATATAGAATAGATTTACTAAAAAGTTTTAATAATGCATGAACTTTCAAGCCATTCTGTTGTTAAGCGTAGTGATGCAATTTGAAACCAAGCAATTAAAATTTATCTTCAGCAGAAAACACATCATAAAGCTATTTCTTCTATCAATCCCACGAAATTTTGTAGCTTCTAAATTGCCTTTTTTTATATTATAAGGCAATTGCTCGTGCGCATTGCAAAGGGATATGGTAAGTGTAATCGTTGCGTGCAATTTGTTATGGTATAATTGTAAAAAAGTATGTTCATGCCTTGCTTGAGCGATTTCTAAAAACAAGTAATTTTTTCTTTCTCAAAAACTATTTTAAACCAAAAATAATGATTGATCGATTAAAATTAATAAAAAATGTTAACTAATATTTGTGTATTCATACTATGATAAAATATGATAAACAATATTTAATCAAAAGCAAACAGAAAATGCATTTTCTTACCACATCGTATAAATTCCGTATACTGTTTATTGCATTTGCATAATAAGGATCAATATTTCAAACTGAAATTATAAAATGAATTCATCAGGTTCACCTTCTACAATAAAGATCATTACTTCAAACTACTTTACTACCTTCACTAATCAATTATATGATAGACTAGCTTGGGAACCCAGCGTTACCCATGGTACTCAAAGCTACTCTCCCCGTTTACCCGCACTTGATCGTAATTTACGATATTAGCTATTTTTCCCGATAAAAGTCGACCTGAGGCCAAATTTAAAGAATTTGAGCGGCGGCATGAATATGGTTGGTTTCTCTTAAAATTGTATTCAATTTTTCAAGATTTAAGCCGGCGCTCAATTGAAACCGGGTTTTGGCGGATTTAAGACGCGGCTCAAATTCATTAAATTTGGTGAAAGGGTTCCTATGTTATGATCGGACAAACAAACACTCATACACTCAAACAGATATAACAACATTAAAAATATAAATAAAAAGACGCCTAAATATTTAGGAGGGATTCCAACAAGTTGACTTGAATTAATATTGTTACAAAATAATGATATAAAGCTTTACTTTTCAATAATTTAATTTTAACCAAGGTTTTAATGCGAAAAGTTATTTCAGAGGTGTACGCATCTTTTGTACTGCAGTGTACTGTCACTGGGTGGTAATGTAAACACAAGACGGATGTCGAAGCCTGACACGGGATCCATCTTTCACATAAAAAATCAATGAAATATTGTGGTCATAGGAAACTATTATGTGAATTATCAAAATTATCAAAATTAAATGCTTTTATCCTTAACGATACTAGACAAACACTGATGCATCTATTTGTGCTTACATATTCCGCCTAGAGAGAACTGGTTTCAATATGTACGCAGTGTATACGCAACTGCAAATAACTTTCCTTGCATTATAACCTTGCCTGTGATAATGTTTAATGTTTTTTAGATCAATTCCGCACACCACAATTATGGAAAATGATGAAGATGAGACGGCAATTTTTATTTCTTAATAACTAATCTTATAACATTTATTTGTTCGCTACAGCTGGCTAATGCTGATAAACGGCGGAACTAACTAAAACTATTGATAAAAAAATAAACCTGGGCAACGCCGGATACTCCAGCTAGTAATCAATTAAACAACTTTAGTTAATTTTTTAATGTAATGAAAGTGGCTTAAAGGGACAGTAAAGGAAAAATGAAAGGTTTAAAGGGACAGTAAAGGAAAAATGAAAGGTTTAAAGGGACAGTAAAGGAAAAATGAAAGGGGGTAAAGGCTGAAAGCTAATCACTTTAGATCTTGATCGCAACCAATGAAAGTTTTATCTGATGTTCCTGTCTCGAGAAATTGATATAAAACTGTGTTAAAATCATACGAAAGTTCATATATGTAAAATTTAGAAAATCTTAAACTTAAATCACGTGACCAGAATTATCACCAATGGCAGAGCAGTGTACTGATCACGTGTCTCTGCCTGTATCACGTGACAACTTTACCGCACTGTCATTGGTGGATTTTCTGGTCAAGCAATTCGGACGTGTAAATAATGTTATGAATTAAATCTATTAAAAATAAAAATAACACATATAAAATTAGAATTGTAGTAAACCTAAGTAATAATTAGCTTTCTCGGGGATATTATCGTTTTCAGATTGGTTGCTTATTTGCTGAATTTGATCTATTTAAACCCACTACTTTTATACAAAATTGTATATATATTAATTTTCGTATAAATTTGACACAGTTGTAAATCAATTTCTCGAGATAGGAACATCAGATAAAACTTTCATGGGTCGCGATCGTGAGCTAAAGTGATTAGCTTTCAGTCTATACCCCCTTTCATTTTTCCTTTACTGTCCCTTTAATTCTTTTTATGTACATCTAATCTCTCTTTTCAAGCTTTATCTACTTAAGTTTTATCATATATATCAAATCAAATCATACTTTTATCAATGTCCTGCTAACAACCCTCCAAGCTTTTGAAATGAATTTGTACAAATTTGTTCCAAAATCAAAAGTCATAAAATCCATCTCATGCTACACATAACTATTGTGGGGCCCAACATGACCCCAGGGAAGGTTATGGAGGCCCAAAATTAAAAAAAATTGTGTCCAAAAGTTTATGATTTTTGTTAAATTTTGAAAATGAGCGAAAAAATAGTGTTAAATCTTTTTAGCTTTTGTTTAATATTGTACAATTGAGAAGATGCTTACATAATAGAGTCACAATTAAAAGCTGAAATAGAGAAAAGAAAAAGCAAAACCTTGTAATATCCAAATTTTCATGCACAATTGTCAAAGAAGAACAATTTTAACGATTGGCAATAGTTTCCTATCTATCGATCTATCTATCTATCTATCAATCAATCTATCTATCTATCCACATTTTCTGATTTTTTACATTTTTACATTAAATTCTTACTTTTTCCAGGGTAGTCTATATATTCTATTCTCTATGTCTATAATCTATATTATACTAAACATAATGTTTCACGTCTATCCTGACGATCCTCAGTAGTTCTTTGAACAACACATATATTATTAAAGTTAGTAATCTTTGGTTTTGTTTGTTTGTACGTCCAAGCATAACTCAGGAACCCCATGACCGATTTGCCTCGAATTTTAATTGGGGGTACTCGGCAGAACCATGGGTAGGAATGTTTGCATAAAGGGATTATATTGGGTGTCCCAAAAAAGTGAAATATGGAGGGTTACCAACAAAGGCCGGATGAGACTGTAAAGACGACCCAAAACTCAAATAGGACGATTTGAAGCTTGCTTTTTGGTTTCTGAATTCATTTGAGTATTCCAATAGGACCATATGATATTAATAGGGGATATTACTACAGTATATAATGTATTTTTGAAAATATATTTTATTTTAGGTTTAAAACTTTTTTGAAAAAAATGCCAGCTTTTTTGAAACCATTAAAAATGACATGTGATACATAGGATGAGAAAGAATCCAATTTGCAGATTTTCTTGTTTTATTTTAATAATTTTATTAAAGCTTTTCACATTGTAAAGCAAAAACAAGACTTGTTTTATGTTTGATGATTGACGTAATCGTTTTCAGGCTAGTTTCTGCACAATTGATTAATCTCAAGAAAATGGCGTCGTTATTTAAACTTATCATGTTACAGTGATAACCAGATAACAATGGAATAGGAAGACGACATCACAGTGTATTTGATAGTGTTACAAAGCAAATGGTTTTACCAGACACTTATAAAATCATTTGTTTTGTAAAATGGGTCTTTTTACACTGCACAATTGCTGTGATTCGTCGTCATGGATCTTATAAAATTTAAAACTTGATTCTAAAAGTCGTCTTACTATTCCAGAGTTTTTAGTTATCACTGTAGATTGATACACTTTTTCATCTCTCACAGCAATACAAGCAGAAAACAGAGAAGTCTTTGTCTTTGTCTTTGTTTCTAATCATTATACAGATTGTCCCATATCATATATGATTATGTCCCATATCATATATGATTATGTCCCATATGATATATGATTATGTCCCATATCATATTTGAGTATCTCCCAGCCTTACATGTCACACAAACGGTTAATAGAAAATCCTAGTATTTTCTGCATGCAAATTTTTAGGTTAGCCTTAGGCAATTTTTCTATTTTTAAAAAGTTTTAGATAGATAGATAGATAGATTTTATTGCTAAAATACATGTATCTGTGTACAGAACGAGTTTACAATCACAAATTGGTGATTATATTAACAGTACAAGTAAAAAGCAATTAGGGGGAAAAAAGCTCTTGGCTGTTTTGATTATTTTTTCCACCTAATTTCAATAATGATAACAACACATTTCAATTAAATAGATTTAAGGAGAACTATTAGATATCAGGGTGCGATTTTATCTTATGCAAAATAGTTTATACATTGATTAGAATAACTATAGAGTTGTGAACCATACCCCCTAATATAACCCTGTTGTAAAAGTCGTCTCTGACAAACTGTACCTCTGTTGAACCCGATCCGTCCACTCACCAAACCAAACCTTGCCAAGGATTTTGCATAAACGTAAACAATAACCTCATGGAGCTAATAAAACTTTAAGTGCATTAAAAAGAACCAAAAAGAGGATCACTATGAGACGTGGCTTTTGAGTTATCAATTAATCTTATTGATCGTTTCTGTAAAATGTGAATTTGTTTTATTTCTGAACATTTTTTTCTTCCCCAGGCTGAAATTCCATATTCTATAAATGATCGAAATAAAGATTTTTAAATGGTTAGTTTAATATTAATGTTTTTAAATTTTCTGATTAGTCCCTAAAATCGCAATTTAGAGGTATAAATGATCCAATTTGATGTTGAATAGGTAAGGGTGAACTTTGTTACAAAAAAGGTGTCTTGAACATTTTTTGTCATAGACGTCAGTTATAAAAAGCATAAATACAAAATTCTTTTTTGATTGAAAGAAAGAAGGAGGACGACAATCATTAAACAGTTTCATGATTTGCCACCGAAAATTTTTTCATTTGTAGAAGAGACTCAGAATCCACTGGACCTCCAGGATACTCTAGAAACTCTTCAATAAATTCAAGATCAGGGTTCAGGTATGTATACAATAAATACAAGGGTTCATGTATACAATAAATACAAGGGTTCACGTATACAATAAATACAAGGGTTCAGGTATACAATAAATCCAAGGGTTCAGGTATACAATGAATGCAAGGGTTCAGGTATACAATGAATGCAAGGGTTTAGATATACAATAAATACAAGGGTTCAGATATACAATGAATACAAGGGTTCAGATATACAATGAATACAAGGGTTCAGGTATACAATGAATACAAGGGTTCAGGTATACAATGAATACAAGGGTTCAGGTATACAATGAATACAAGGGTTCAGGTATACAATGAATACAAGGGTTCAGGTATACAATGAATACAAGGGTTCAGGTATACAATAAATACAAGGGTTCAGGTATACAATGAATACAAGGGTTCAGATATACAATAAATACAAGGGTTCAGATATTCAATGAATAAAAGGGTTCAGGTATACAATAAATACAAGGGTTCGGGTATACATTGAATGCAAGGGCTCAGGTATACAATAAATACAAGGGTTCAGGTATACAATGAATGCAAGGGTTCAGGTATACAATAAATACAAGGGTTCAGGTATACAATGAATGCAAGGGTTCAGATATACAATAAATACAAGGGTTCAGATATACAATGAATACAAGGGTTCAGGAATACAATAAATACAAGGGTTCAGGTATACAATGAAAACAAGGGCTCAGGTATACAATAAATACAAGGGTTCAGGTATACAATGAATACAAGGGTTCAGATATACAATAAATACAAGGGTTCAGGTATACAATGAATACAAGGGTTCAGGTATACAATAAATACAAGGGTTCAGGTATACAATGAATGGAAGGGTTCAGGTATACAATGAATAAAAGGGTTCAGGTATACAATGAATAAAAGGGTTCAGGTATACAATGAATAAAAGGGTTCAGATATACAATGAATACAAGGGTTCAGGGTTCAGTTTAATACTAACGTATAAATGAATATTTTCTAGTTTAATATTCTGTCCTATACCTCAAGATTAAGAAGAAAAGGATAAAATGATACAGTTTTTTCCAGAAAACAGTGAAATAATCATCGTCTTTGTTCTTACTTTTGTTCATGAAACTAAGCCGAGGGTTTAGGTGTTTAAAGATAAATATGATCACAAACTACAAAATGAAAAACAAAGAAAACAGTGATTCCAGTATTTTCTGAAACAATTAAGAGTACAAGCTCATTATACTTGAAATGTTAAGGTCTGGAACCCCTGGCACCAGCCCACTGTGCTCCCCACACACATCTCCTCTGCTCCCCCGACCCGGCAGGGCGGGTCATAACAGAACCGGTTCTACTTCAAACTCAGGTTTCAGAGGAGTTGACGTCATCAGGTCGAATATAAACAAGCTTTTCAAAACAAATTTAAATTACCCAATGTCATTTGCCAAACTATCACACTTTTATTTCGAATTAACGAACATTACGATATTTTGAAAGATATGTTAGGGATATCTCAAATTTTTATATCTTGTTTTAATTTTTAATTTTTCATACAGTGGTCGGCCATTTTACCAATACTATGAAGACGCCTGTTTATTATGGTTTAATGAAGTAAACAAAGAGAATCTGTTAATTGACAATATCTCGTTTTTTCCTTGTTTATGTTCACAGTTGTGAATATTTATTACTTTAGATGTACTAAACCTGGATACCCTCCTCCTTCCCCTGGTGGAGATAGAAGACGACTTATCTCTCTCACAGAGCAATTACAGAACAGACTAGACGATCAATCACAGAATGAAACTGAAAACATATCATTAGTTGATCAAAGTTAATTAAAATGTAAATAAAATATTATCTAATTGTTATGGTTTTATTTGTGTAAAGGTATTTGAAATTAAGATTTCCAAAATTAAAAAGAATTTCGTTCATGTTTTATTTTGCTTGCTTTTTTATACACCTTTTACAGTTCAAGCGCAATCAAAGATTAAAGTTGATTCTACATCACTCTTGAATTGTCAAAGTCAAAGTAAATTTTAGGAAATAACAACATTTCAATTTTTTCATTATAACAAAGTTTTATTTACAAATAATATTTTATAAAAGAAAAAAAAGTTTTTAAAATTTAGATAAGCTTTTTTTGATAGAAACCTGACTGAAGAATGGACGTGTGAATAGAAAGTATTTGTCGACAAATCTTAATAAATCATCCAGCATCCTCCTTTCATCCATTATCTTCTTTACTTCCATCTATATATCTAACATTCTATCTTCCCATTTATCAATCTACCTACCCAGCTATCTATCTACCCATCTATCTATCTACCCATTTATCAATCTACATACCCAGCTATCTATCTACCCATCTATTTATCTATCTATCTGTAGAGAATTGAGGCCAGAGGCTGATAGTAAGTATTGCATCTCTCGCAGCCTCCAAAAAAGGGCCTAAATCCTAGGATATATCTCGAGGCCGGGTAAATGACAAGATCTGTTTACGAACCGTTTAAAATGTAAACAATACTATTCAGCTGTGAACAGTGAACTATTATAAAGACGACATCTTGTTTACATGATTGAAAAAGATCCAGGTGGTGAAATATTAACATGATTTTTTTTTCATCTGAATAAATATATATCAATTTGTTAGTTGCTTTTTGTTGTTTGGCCTTCTCTGATTATTAATTAGTCGCTGATATTTAACATTTATTTTTTTGAACACATGGAGACATGGATATACTAACCAACATTTATTGGCTAGGATACATGGAGACATGGATACACCAAACAACATTCATTTTTTTGATACATTGGGACATGGATACACCAAACAACATTTATTTTTTGGATACATGGAGATATGGATATACCAAACACCATTTATTGTTTTGGATACATGGAGACATGGATATACCAAACAACATTTATTGTTTTGGATACATGGAGATATGGATATACCAAACAACATTTATTTTTTGGATACATGGAGACATGAATATACCAACAACATTTATTGTTTTGGATACATGGAGACATAGATAAACCAAACAACATGTATTGTTTTGGATACGTGGAGACATGGATACACCAAACAACATTTATTTTTTGGATACATTGAGACATGGAAACACCAAACAACATTTATTTTTTGGATACATGGAGACANAACATGAGTGTGGTAATGAACAATGAACATGATGTATAGGTTGTGAACATGAGCGTGGTAATGAACAATGAATATGTTGTATAGGTTGTGAACATGAGTGTGGTAATGAACAATGAACATGATGTATAGGTTGTGAACATGAGTGTGGTAATGAACAATGAACATGTTGTATAGGTTGTGAACATGAGTGTGGTAATGAATGGCCCGAAGTCTGTCTCCTCGACCTGTGATATTAAATACCCAGATAATGTTGGTGCTGGGGGGTCTAGGGGTGTCTCAGCAGATGTTGATGAAAGGTAAGGGTTTTGAAATCTAATCTTTTTGTTTTTAAATCCAGAGAAATGTTCCGAATATTTGACAAAAAATGGTTTCCCCACTAAGTATGAATTTTGATTGTACGGAATGTTTTGCTGACATTAATGTTCTTTTTACATTTTTACTTTCTAAAATTCCTTATGTACATAAACCTTTCAAAGGACATATGTGAAACCAAATTAAATCTTTAGATGGTGAGAAGAAAAGGTTTTCAGGTCGTCATTGATGGCTTATCTTTTTTGGATTTTCCTGTATATATTCTTTATCATCCTGGCTTTATCATTCCGACTGTCAACATTTTTACCCTTTAAACTATTGTATAAATTGCACGTAAAAGATAAAAATCTTATATTTGTTTAATCTCTTATTACTTCTCTTATGAGTTAAGCAAAATGTGAGGATTAAGCATTGATCTCGATATCTAACATTCAAAATTTGTCAGCTGAGATAAATTTGCTAATCTTCTACTTGAGTGTATAATTAAAACCAAAGGTCGCAAAGTTGTACTAGTCATGTTGCGTAATGTTTACCTTTTCCTTCTTCTAATTTGCAGTAGAGAGGAGGGGGAGGGTATTCATCAGAAATTGGTCATATTTTTATCAATAATCAGCGATTTTATCAATACAATGAAGACGACTTTTTATTAATAATGTTTTAATCCCTAACAAGCCTTTTGTTAAATACAAGTTTACAGGTAAAAGAGAGGCTGTTAATTGAAAACTTCTCTTAGTTTAAATGTTAAAAAATTTCTGCCGTTTAAAACCTGAGTAGAAATCAAAATTAGATTAGAAAGTCGTCTTCATTGTATTGACATTTACGACGACGAATGTAGAATACAAAAAATTTAATTTCTTCACAATTTCAGTTATTCATTGGCAACGTTTGTTAAATTTTTTTCAAATTATAACTTAATAACTGCTAATCATAAAGACGATTTTTAATTATTTACTTTTTCTCTCAGGTTGTATGATCCAAAACCGAATAAGAAAATTGTTCGAATCTTGACAGTTGTACTTTATATGTTCTCAGGTACAAACGTACAATGAACTTTATATGTTCTCAGGTACAACTGTACAATAAACTTTATATGTTCTCAGGTACAACCGTACAACTAACATTATATGTTCTCAGGTACAACTGTACAACAAACTTTATATGTTCTTAGGTACAACCGTACAACAAACTTTATATGTTCTCAGGTACAACTGTATAACAAACTTTATATGTTCTCAGGTACAACTGTACAACAAACTTTATATGTTCTCAAGTAAAACTGTACAACAAACTTTATACAGTAAAACCCTTAATAACGAATACTTCGAAAGAATTCATCAAATGTCGTATTCTTCACTTTCTGATAATGGAATGTTGCAGATATTTAGTTTTTTAATTAAATGATTATATGGAACTCTTTAAAACTGTTCCCGTATATCATGGCTATTTATTTATTTTCGCAAATACTAAAAATTACGCAATATAGTATAAAACTCATTGAAAAATTGTCAAGACGACATTTGATAAATTCTTCCGATGTATTCGTTATTAAGGGTTTCACTGTATGTTCTCAGGTAAAACTGTACAACAAACTTTATATGTTCTCAGGTACAACTGTACAATAAACTTTATATGTTCTCAGGTACAACCGTACAACTAACATTATATGTTCTCAGGTACAACTGTACAACAAACTTTATATGTTCTCAGGTACAACCGTACAATAAACTTTATATGTTCTCAGGTACAACCGTACAATAAACTAAAAACTCTTTAAGAAGAGATTTTTTTAAAAACTAAGTTAAGATAAAAAAGAATAACTTTCTCAATATTTAGTATCTTTGGTGAAATTTTTTTTTTTTGTAGTATATCTATGGTGCAATACTGTTGTATCTATATTTAGTATATCTATGGTGCTGTTGTATCTATATTTAGTATATCTATGGTGCAATACTGTTATCTCTATATTTAGTATATCTATGGTGCAATACTGTTATCTCTATATTTAGTATATCTATGGTACAATACTATTATCTCTATATTTAGTATCTCTTGGTGCAATACTGTTATTTATATATTTAGTATCTCTTGTTGCAATACTGTTATCTCTATATTTAGTATCTCTTGGTGCAATACTGTTATCTCTTTACTATATTTTTCTTTGGAAAAACCCCCACACAACTCACTACCTACAGCATAAGGTGATTTTTCTTTCATATTTTCATTAAAAGGAAAGACATAACTTAAAAAGGCAGATTATGAAAAAAAACGCGAACATTTTTTCCTAACATTTTTAATCTATGTGCGTTATTATATTTAAAATTACATTAGCTGCATTTGATATTTGATGGTATGAAATAGGATGTCTAATGCCTATGTACTGCATTTTAAACTAAACTTTTATAAAAATAAAATAATTTGTGGTTTTTATTGCCAGATATCCTAAAGATACAAAATTGATTAAAAAAACTAGACCAAAATTTACACAAAACGATTGGTGAAAATTTGTCCTAAATTTTTCCAAAAACAAACTTTACCAAAAACATGAAAAAAAACGCTATTCCTCGTTTTATTCTAAATTTGTTAATGAAAATTTGAAGTTTATAAATTTTCTAAAAGCTCCGCAAAAATCTCAGCATATTTTAAAATGGTCTGCTATGAATTTGTTAAAAATGATAAATATCTCAGATTCTTGTGTTGGCTTTTAAAGGGACTGTTAGCGTAATTTCAAGTGACCTTCCCCGACTCAGCCCGGTACCCTTTGATCATTGGACTAATCAAGTAAAATAGACTTTAATTAATCTCCAGAAAGGCTTATGATTCTTGAACACTTTGTTTGTAAGCTGTTTCACACAGACACTTTAGTGTGCACTCCAATTGTACAGCTTTTAACGGGATAAATATACGTTCACTGTACTAGATAATCAATCAAAGGTTTAATCTCTGTACTAGATAATCAATCACAGGTTTAATCTCTGTACTAGATAATCAATCAAAGGTGTAATCTCTGTACTAGATAATCAATCAAAGGTGTAATCTCTGTACTAGATAATCAATCAAAGGTTTAATCTCTGTACTAGATAATCAATCAAAGGTTTATAGAAACCGTTGCAAACCCATGGTATGTCCCATGGTATGTCCCATGGTATGTCCCATGGTATGTCCCACTTTATTATTCGAAAGTTCACTTGAAATTCCGCTAACATTCCCTTTAAATCTTAATAAAACAAACAAACAAAAAACATATCTAATTATTTTGACAGCATGAAATGGAAGAAAGCTCTGTACCCTCCTCCGCTCCTTTAGCATTGCAACTGGATTCAGTTGATCAGGTTTATAAAAAAAATATTTAGAATATTTTTCTTATCTCTCATTAATCTCTCATTGATCTCTCATTGATCTCTCATTGATCTCTCATTGATCTCTCTTAGTCATTAATCTCTCATTCATCTCTCATTCATCTTTCACTGATATAATAATGATATCTCATTGATCTTAATCTCTCTTTAATCTCTCATTGATATCTTATTGATATCTCATTAATCTCTCATTAATCTCTCATTGATCTCTCATTGATCTCTCATTGATCTCTTATTAATCTCTCATTCGTTTTTCATGCATTTCTCATTGATCTCTCATCGATATCTCAATGATATCTATTTGATCTCTTATTGATCTCTCTTTGATATCTCATTGATCTCTCATTAGCTCCCATTGATATCTCATTGATCTCTCATTGATCTCTCATATTGATCTCTAATTGATCTCTCATTGATCTCTCATTGATCTCTCATATTGATCTCTAATTGATCTCTCATGGATCTCTCATTTATCTCTCTTTGATATATCATTGATATCTCATTGATATCTCAATGATCTCTCATTGATCTCTCATTGATCTCTCATTGATCTCTCATTGATCTCTTATTGATCTCTCATTATTTTCTCATTCGTCTCTCATGCATTTCTCATTGATCTCTCATTGATATCTCATTGATCTCTCATTGATATCTCAATGGTCTCTCATTTATATCTCATTGATCTCTCATTGATATCTCATTGATCTCTCATTGATATCTCCTTGATCTCTCATTTATATCTCATTGATCTCTCATTGATATCTCATTGATATCTCATTTAACTCTCATTGATCTCTCATTGATCTCTCATTGATCTCTCATTGATCTCTCATTGATATCTCATTAATCTCTTATTGATCTCTCATTGATATCTCATTTAACTCTCATTGATCTCTCATTGATCTCTCATTGATCTCTCATTGATCTCTCATTGATATCTCATTAATCTCTTATTGATCTCTCATTGATCTCTCATTGATCTCTCATTGATATCTCATTAATCTCTTATTGATATCTCATTTAACTCTCATTGATCTCTCATTGATATCTCATTAATCTCTTATTGATCTCTCATTGAACTCTCATTGATATCTCATTGATCTCTCATTGATATCTAATTGATCTCTCATTGATATCTTATTGATATCTCATTTAACTCTCATTGATCTCTCATTGATCTCTCATTGATCTCTCGTTGATCTCTCATTGATCTCTCATTGATATCTCATTGATCTCTCATTGATCTCTCATTGATATCTGAATGATATCTCATTGATATCTCATTGATCTCTCTTTGATCTCTCATTGATCTCTCTTTAATATCTCATTTATCTCTCATTGATCTCTCATTTATCTCTCATTGCCTAAAAGCAGATATATATCGTTGCTAGTTTATGATTAGTTAGACCTTGAGATATCAAAACGGAAATAATTTACAATTTAGAGAAAATTCTTAGTAAATAAAGAAGCAATATTATTTTGATATTTCTATTTCATTTCTATTTCTAATTTATTTATATTTCTATTCTCAACATTTTTAAAGGGACTGTAGTTGGAATTTCATGTGACCCTATGTTTAAAGATGGCAACGTTCGATTCACAACGGTACCCTTTAAAATTCTTTCTGATCCTTTACGTGCAGCAGATATTTTTGTGTTCCTTCAAGCTCTAAAATGGTTAATTCTCACAAAGTTAACCATTGTTTCTGTACCAAGAAATCTGTAATAAAGAAACCAGAATCTAAAATAACCAAAAGGCAAAAACTTATACTAAAGTGTTTTTTCAGATTGAGATAAAGGATGGAAACTGGCATCCTGATATTCCGACAGCATTTCCAAAGGTAAGAATAAAAGTATTGAATATGATTAATGACCCCCACCCCCCCTCGTCTAGTTACCTTTTCCTAGGATAGAATAAAATTTCTATATAAATATTGAGAAGAATATATTCTAATTCAGCTTGAGCGTGGAGTGCCGCCGATAGCTTCAGGACAAAGTAAATCCTCACAGTTTGTTGAACAACCTGGAGCTAAACTCAACCCATCCCTGTATTCAGTTGTACCTGGAGAAGAACAAACCCAACCCAAACCTGGTGATATAATCTTTGATAATGAAATACAAAAATGAAAATATTAAAATCTCAAAATATAATTTATTTTGAAATAAATAATTTTTTGTTATTTGGAAAAATTTATTCGAAGAGATCTTTGACAGGAAACCTCTTATTCTGACTCTGAGACATCTATGAGCGGCCAAGCTGTATTCTTTCAAAAATTGGATCAAATTATGTAAAAATTGAAATGTTAAAATCGGTGCTCAAGCAGCTTGATAAAAAATTCTAAATTTGTCCATGCTCCAGAAACCAAAATGAAAATATTACATTCTCAAAGAATACTTTATTTTGAATTATTTAAACAAGTTCTGAAAATATTGATATCTGGAAATACAAATTCTAAATATTTTAGAAGTACCATACGACGAAAAGGGTAGATTAGAAGAAAAAATAGAAGAAAAACAACACGATAACGGAAATCTCATCATTAGCTTTAATGTCCAAAAGTAAGTATTTTGTAAATTAAATTAAATTAAAAAGCCAACCCAGCCAGAAAATATTTTTTTTACACACCTGAATCTAATATTATATTCAAGTGAATGAAGAAACAAGCTAAAATCTGTTAAATATAAACAAACACTTTTTTTGGCGATATAGTTTAGAATCTCCTTATTAAAAGTTAATATAATCTGAACACAATTAAAATAATTCAGTTTGCCACAAATTCTGATTTTATAATCCTTATATCTTTGCAACCCAGTGTCGCAGACCTTAAGCCTTTAAAATCATGAATTCTGTTAGATTAATTAATCTAAGTTTGAAACATGAAATGTTTAAACTACCAGGTGGCCAAGATATAGGGATTTCATTTTACATTTAAAAACACATTGTTAAGAGCTGCAGACCAAGTGAAGGATGGTTCAAAGGAAGAGAAAGAGAGGAAAAGAACCTAAATTGAAGCTTTGGGCCGAGGGTACCATCTGTACCATTTTTATCATCTTTTAAGAATATTAAATTCTATTTATAATTCTAATAAACACACTTTTCATCTGTATTTAAAGGAAGTGATGGCCGTAACTTGAACATAACCCTTAAACAAAAATGCTTACATCGCATGAAACCCCTTTAAACCATTTAAAAAAAGTAATGATTTTGGATAAAGATAATATTATTGCCATTTTTATTGTATAACTTCAAGAACGCTCTCTGGAAACTCCTCTTTTCTACATCTTGTCAATTTTCTAATAGAAATACATAGTTGCATCCTTACGTACAGGGATCGTAGATGTAATTACACACTATAGTTTCATTAGAAGTATATATTTCCATTTACTGATAGCGCCGATATAAGGATTCATAACTCTAATTGGATAATGAGATAGATAGAAAGATAGTTGTTACCAACACACTATTTCTATTGGTTCAGAACAGACAACAAACACATGACAGAACCCTGATTGGATCAGGAGCTAATGGACCCTTTTTACATCGATTTCAATTCACAACAATACTCTTAAAATCGGTGTCTGATCGAGAATGAGTTATCATTATTTTTCTGTCTGAAAATCGATTATTTTCAAACGAATTGTCTCTGAAAATGTTGTGTTGCAAAGAAAAAAATGAAAATTTTAATATAGATTGATATAATAACAAATCTCATATTTTATATCTTTGAAGAACTAGCATGTACTTCTTTAATCTGAATCTTTCCACTAAAAATTTAAAACTCTACTTTAATTTTCAATAATTGTATCTTTAAATATATTTTAACAAATGCTCAGTATTAAACAGTATTTAGTTAAAAACGACTGATTTATATACATATATATATATATATATATATATATATATAAATATATATATATATAATAAATGAAATGTTGTAAAAGTATTTGTAGTAATTTAAGTAAGCAACATAATATTTTAACTTTTTTAAAGGGAGGGTTCGCGAAAAAATGTTCTCCTGCGTGGAACCATGCAGGCACATCGAGTGCAGAAACACCTGGCAGCCAACTAATGGTCGTTTGAATTGCATCATATTTGTAAAATAGATAAAATATATTAAGAAAGATAAACTGTATACGAATGCGTCGAATAAAAATCGATGATTATAGGTTGTAATATCTGAATGATTTGTTTGGAATTAAATTGATTTTTTTAATGATCCGAGTCGGATAAAGCAACTTTCTGAATTTGTATGGATGCTAAAGTCTTCGGTATGAATCGTTTTTAAAAATGTTCTCCTTATAGAAGTAATATTAGTAGCATTCACTATCCAATATTTTTCGACGTAAGCCTATACCCCTTTAATTTTTCGCGAACACTCCCTTTAAGAAATTATTTACTTGTAATAGTCCATTTTATTTTATTTATTTCTATTCTTGTTTTTCTTTTGCTGTGTTGCAAAAACTTCTAAATTATTACGATGACTGCATTTCACATTGTTTTTAAAGTCAAAATATTATTTTATTTGGATATTTTGATACCTCTTTTAATTATTTATACTAATTCTAAAATGAAATAAATATTTGTAACTTATTAGTTTGTTATCAATAAATGTTCATAAAAATAAATCTACAATACCACCCCTAATTTTTTATAATCTACAAAATGATTTCACTCCCTACACACCTGTTGCCTGGATGGCCTGATATATGCAGGCAGGTAGGTATCAGATAGATAGATAGATAGATAGATAGATAGATAGAGAGATAAATAGATAGATAGATAGATAGATAGATAGATGGATAGATAGATAGGTAAATATATGCCTATTGGTGTGTACTCGATACCTCATATACAAGTGGCAGCATGAATACACCTTAGCATAAACATTAGCAATAATATTAATAATAATAATAACAGAAAACAAAATAATCAAAAAAAAAGAAATAATCTAAAAATGGCGTCGTACAGAGAACTGGGTCCTACAGAACAATATCTGAACAAGTAAGATTTAAAAATAATAATTTTATTCACAGTGAGAATAAAAACATTAAATTATTATTTTGTAATTCGCAGCTGAATGCAAAAAAGCTCCCATAACCAGAATTAGTGATACATAAATTCCGAATGATAAATTATAAAATCCTAAGACCTAAAATCATAAATTCTGAAGAAACCTCAAAAGAATAAATTCATAAAAAAGTTTTCTTGTTCTCACAGTGTAGAATTATAAGAAACATTTTGTCTTGAAATTATCTTTTTCATTTCAATTTCATTCAATTTCTTTTATGAACATTTTACGAGTTTTACATTTCTTCTATTTCAGTCCGCTTTTTTACTTAAAAATGTCGGTAAATTCTCATTTTCCAATCCCTTTATATGATTACAACCTGATGGTGTAAACCGTTGACTTTTGATCAAGCAGAATTATTTTGTTGGTGTTGATTTACGGCTTCAGGTTGCAAATATGTGAAGGGAGTATAGATGTAATTTCAAGTCTGGTCTCCATACAGAAAGCATGGCAAGGTAATAATGCAAGGAAAGTTATTTCAGAGGTGTACGCATTTTTTGTACTGCAGTGTACTGTCTTTGGGCGGAAAAGTAAATATAAGACGGATGTCACAGCCTGACAAGGAATCGATTTTCACAAAAATAATCTATGAAATATTCTGGTCATAGGAAACTATTATGTGAATTTTCAAAATTATTAAAATTAAACGAACACTGATGCATCTATTCTTGTTTACAAATTCCGCCCAGAGAGAACTGGTTTCAATATTTACGCAGAGTATACACGACTGCAATTAACTTTTCTTGAATTAGTACCTTGGAGCATGGTATAGTTCAATTCAAAACTGTGTCTAATGTCTACGCAGTCGTCGTTTTTTTAAATAAGTTTCCTCCATGTCCTTCATTTCTGTAATGCATAAATACGCATTTACAGAGAACCGCAATTGAAGAAAAATCTATTTTAACCTAGACAAATCAGAAAATCTTAGTCAATCTTGACTGACAACATTTTAAAGGGTACCATCTTGAATCGGACTGACACTTTGCACGTGAAATTACGTCCAAATTCCCTTTAAGAACCAGAAAATTAGAATTGTACAACATAAAAATAGAATTCAAAATATAAAATTGTGAAATATGAAGACGACCATATTAGACTTAATTTTTAGAGTGTACAAATAACATGATACACGGCAATTATGCACTGTTTTTTACTTTCACTTATAAAGTTAATGTTTTGAAGTATTTGCATTTTAAACATCATCAAAAACATTGGATTGCAGACTCCGAATTTAATGGATTTGAGCCCCGTCTCAAATCCCCCAAAAGCCGTTTTTAATTGAGAGCCTACTTTAATCTTGAAACATTTAATACAATTTTAAGTGGAACCAACTATATTTGAGCAACGTCTAAAATTTAAGCCGCGGCTCAAGTTCTTTAAATTTGGCCTTAGGTCTTTCAAACCTCACTGCATGTAAAAGCTTTGAACTATTAATTCCAATTATAATTCTAATTCAAATCTGAAAATACATACTTAGAATTTAAAACTGAATCTTTTCAAGATTTATTTTTTTCAGATGCCATTCTCATGGAAACCAAAACATAGTTGTAGCGCTAACTATTCATACAAGACAACCTCTGGACCTAGGTAACTTATTTTATGCAATTTATTTGAAATTTTCTTTAAAAAAATATTTTTTTAATTTGATTTTTTATATTCACGGGTAACGCCGGGCAGTTCAGCTATCATACGGGGTGTCCCATAAAACATGGGAATTCAGTGACGAATTGGATATCGTCTTTGTTATGAATTAGCATTGTAATACCTAATTTCAAAAGCCATAATATTGTTATGTCAGCTAGAGTTTATTTTATGAAAAGGGTAAAATATGTGTAAAGATGTGTCTATAATGTCTCCGCAAGATCAACAGTGAAGACGGACAAGTTTACTCTGTTTGTGTACTGCAATTTTCTTGTTTTACTAAGTACAACCATATGCAGTTAAAACATAAACAAACAAAATGTGATCATAGCAGACGAAACTCTTACAGATTACAGCTTTCTCAGTAGGTACCACTATACTAAATCAAAGAATTATTTAAAAAGACGATATCGAATTCGTCACTGAATTCCCATGTTTATTGGGACACCCTGTATAATATATAATTGTTTAGGTGTTGTCCAAGTTGGATTACAAGAATTACAACATCAAAATCCGCAACTTACGGCGAGAATCCAAACAATTGGATCCAGGTAATAAAAAATTTAAATTCATAAGATTCTAAAATCTGAAAATCTTGGATTATTTAGATATTTATTTTATTATTTCAGACAAGTGTTCGCTCCCATGGAATGCCCAGTTCTGCCTCTTGATACACAGGAATACAATAAATGTCGTCTTTATCTGTAGAACTATGGAATATTTTAGAGTATCCCACATCATATTGGATCGATATCTTAATCTTTGGGACATAAAAGAAAGAATTTTATAAGATTTTCACATAAAATTTTTTTTTTAACTGAAAGATATTTAAAAAAAATCAATGTGATGTGTAGTGCTCTATATATATATGATGACTATAAAAGCTTTAAGAGTAAAGTTTTAAAATGAAAATTATCATTAATTTTTAGTCTTTTTAGTTTACGGCACAGTTTTGCTGTACAGTACAATTGTTTTTGTTATATTTGCACATTTTACTTTTAAATAACAAAAGACATTAATACAGTATATTCAATAGTTTGCTTGTTCCGACTTTATACATGAACAATTCAATATTGAGACAGGTTATACAACTTTTTAAAAAATATTTTGATGATAAAAATTAAAATAATACAATTAATCTAAAACAAAAAATGTAAATTTATACGAATATAAAAACGACAAGAAAACGATAGAGAAACAAACTAATGGGACTGTAACATAATTTTAAGTAGCTTTGCATTTATGGAGTACAAATGTTGGATTCATTTGTAACCTTAAAAGCTTTGTTTAATCCAAAATTTTCAAATTGAATAGTTGATTATTTTAAACTGTGGGTTCTCTAGTGATTTCTGCACTACAGAAACACTGGAGGAAAAAGTCAGACTTTAAATTTTTCAAGCCAAAGTAAAACGACGATATCTTCCACAATATTAATCGAAAAAAGATTAAAAGTGTACCGTTGTGAATAAGGCCTGCATCAGCCATTTTAAAACTAGATTATCAAGTACTTAAATATTTATTTGAATAGAGGTCCTTTAATATTACTACAGTCCTTTTGAAAACTAAACAATGAAAATACTAATAGTACAGTGCTCCCCAATAATAATAATCAGTTATAATATCACTTCCTTCAGGACCTCTCTGGCGGGTTCAGATTGTAAGTCAGACAACCCTAGAGCTTGCAAGAATAAATTTTGGACCTGAGGTATTTTTTTCAGAAAACGGAAACCAACTTTTTTATTGTATGATTTTTTTCAACATGTGACAGTTCGAAAATAATAGAAGTCTAGAAAAACATACAGGGTTACCCACAAAGGATGAGACTTCAGAGACGACTGTACGGAATTTACACTGTCTGTTCACTTTTATTCATAACTCTCTGCAACTGTAAACAGGTTTCGCTCTTTGCAAAATCATAAAATAAGCCCTGAGAAGACTTTAGAAGATTTAATTCAACCTGTGAATCGTCTTATTTTGATAGTTTCTGGTCGTTTTTTACAGTCTCATCCTTTGTGGGTAACCCTGTATATCATTACATCATTAAATCATTAAAAGTCTAAATTCAAGTCTAAGCCTAATTTAAGCTTACAATATTCATATTTTAAGATGTTCAGGTACTTACAGGTATTTTTCTTGTGTTTAGACCTGTATATATCTATAATATTGGAAAGATATAAATCTCAAATCCCATGTTAATCCCATGTTAATCCCATGATTACTTTTTTAAGGTTGAAGCAATAATAGAAGACGACTCTAATCTTGAAACAAGATGGCGCTATTTACTCAGATATATGCAGGGGCAGCTCAATAGGTAATTTATAAAAATAAAGTAAATTTTAATGTTGCGAAATTCAGTAGCATAACATGGGTCCAAAAAGTTAAAAAAAGAAAGGGTAATTTTCATAGTTTTGATATAAATATTTTCCATGCAGTAGTTAAAAAGTTTAGCAATTATTTTGTTTAACTTTTTTTAAAGCAGTAAAAATAATGTAAACATTGATTTTGTCAAAATTTTTTTGATGATTCGGAAAGTTAATTTTACTTCTTTAGAGATATTGAAAACTTCGGAGAAAGCGAAGATGAGGAAGGAAGAAGTATCGTCTTCATTAGTTTTCATCCTTCAATTACAGGTCTTCATTAGTTTTCATCCTTCAATAACAGGTCTTCATTAGTTTTCATCCTTCAATAACAGGTCTTCATTAGTTTTCATCCTTTAATAACTGGTCTTCAATAGTTTTCATCCTTTAATAACTGGTCTTCAATAGTTTTCATCCTTTAATAGCTGGTCTTTATTAGTTTTCATACTTCAATAACAGAGTTTTCATCTTTCAGTAACAAGTATTCATTAGTTTTCATCCTTCAATAGCAGGTCTTCATTAGTTTTCATCCCTCAATAACAGGTCTTCATTAGTTTTCATCCTTCAATAGCAGGTCTTCATTAGTTTTCATCCCTCAATAACAGGTCTTCATTAGTTTTCATCCTTCAATAGCAGGTCTTTATTAGTTTTCATACTTCAATGACAGGTCTTTATTAGTTTTCATACTTCAATAACAGAGTTTTCATCTTTCAGTAACAAGTATTCATTAGTTTTCATCCTTCAATAGCAGGTCTTCAATAGTTTTCATCCCTCAATAACAGGTCTTTATTAGTTTTCATACTTCAATAACAGAGTTTTCATTTTTCAGTAACAAGTATTCATTAGTTTTCATCCTTCAATAGCAGGTCTTCAATAGTTTTCATCCCTCAATAGCAGGTCTTTATTAGTTTTCATACTTCAATGACAGGTCTTTATTAGTTTTCATACTTCAATAACAGAGTTTTCATCCTTCAGTAACAAGTCTTCATTAGTTTTCATCCTTCAATGACATGTTTTCATTAGTTGTCATCCATCAATAACAGGTCTTCATTAGTGTTCATACTTCAATAATAGGTCTTTAATAGTTTTTAACTTTTAATAACAGGTCTTTATTAGTTTTCATCCTTCAATAATAGTTTTTCATTAGTTTTCAACTTTGTTATAACAGGTCTTTATTAGTTCAAAAAAGGTCGTAATAAGTTTTCAATCTTAAATAACAAGTTTTTATTATTAAATAATTTATCGTTTTTCAATATAGGGTTGTCATTAGCTTTAATCTTACAGGTACAGGTACAGGTACAGGTACAGGTATAGGAACAGGTACTGGTACAGGTACAGGTACAGGTACAGGTACAGGTACAGGTACAGGTACAGGTACAGGTACAGGTACAGGTACAGGTACAGGTACAGGTACAGGTACAGGTACAGGTACAGGTACAGGTACAGGTACAGGTACAGGTACAGGTACTGGTCTGATAAATATTTGTTTAGATGTTCCTGGATCATTAAATCTTGCCAAACAATTTATGGATATTTTGGAATTAAAGCTTCAAACTTCAGGAAACAAAATCAACCCCTATACAAAAATATCTTATATATCTATGGATACACAGATAAAAAATTCGTGAAACTCATTTTTTCATTTGTGTCCCGGCTTTTATATATGTAAAGTATTTTTGTGATTTATATATATACACAGTTGATTCGGAAAGGCAGCCAAGGATGTCAATAAAAAGACTGAATACATTCATCCTTTCAATTTTTGTGAGAATCGCGCAGATTTAATTCTGTGATTTTCGATCACAATTTGAGCTTTTTTCGCCTTTTCATTTTAGAGAAAGAAGTTTTTGTAAGTTTAAAAATTGGTGAATTATAGACCAACACGGGATTGAATTTTAGCGGAAGATACCGAATGCATTTTGATTTGGTTATGTACAATTGGTATTTATCAAATAGATTATAGAATAGTAGATGGCAACGTAGAATTTGTACACTCTCAGTACAACTATATTCTTGCGTCACACGTGTCAATTTTTTGTGTCCGACAAAATTATTTTTATTAGTGATAATTTCAGAAAAAAAGTGCTTATCTTCCAGTAAAATAAGTTCATTTTTATGTGTTCTTTATTTTCTGTTTATACACTAATGTGAGCAAATTTCGTTTTCATTGTTATATTTGACATTTGTGACGTCGTGTATAGTTTGTCCATTTCTCTGTTGCCACCTATTATACTTAATAATCTGCTTGGTATTTATGTAAATTCTATATTGTCATCTGGTAACCGCGAAAAAATAGTTATCGGAAATAAAAGTGCTAACTCTTGGCATTAAAAAAGTCCTGTGGAAAAAGAGTCCATTGAAATAAAAATCTCCGAAAAAAAGTCTTACTATTTCGAGACTTTATTTTCTAGGACTTTTTTTTCTGACTCCAGTATAGCGAAGAGAATAATTATAAATAAAACGCTCTTTTACCTTAAAGCCCATCTGTCAGGAATGTGTGGGCGAATTCTCTTAACACAGGGTATGATTTTATACAAAAAATCCCTAGGAAAAAGTCCTTTTTATAGTCGAAAATGCATGGGAACAAAGGATGTTTACAAACCATGAAAAAAGGGACTTGGCATTAACATCAACTTTATTTAATATGAACATGGCATAGAAGAAAATTCCTTTTTATGAAAACGTTGACCTCAATTTTCCTAGACTTAAGACTTTTTTTTCTCCAGGACTGTAATTCCTGTGATCTTATTTCCAGAAACTTTTTTGACAGCCCCCATATTAATTCAGGAAAAGAAGTCCCAGGAATCTTAAACTTAGGACTTTATTGCCAGTGAAATTTAGTCCAAGGACTTCAGAAAATTGGGATTTTTTTCCAGCCCATAATCCGTCCTTGAAATTGTAGTTTTCTCTTTAAGTTTTCTAAGGTCATCTATAGTTTCTAATTTCAAATAAATTTATTTGAATTCCTTAAATTTGATTGTTGGATGAATTAGATGAACCGCTGAGTTTAGGAGGAACAGGAGAGTTCCCTCCTTCTTTAGAAACCATTCTTCCATCATCAGATTCAGTTTTTCATTTCACAGATCTAGGTTAATTGTATTGTACTGTTCTGTACTGTACTTTACTGTTTTTAACTATACTGTGCTGTACTGTACTTTACTGTACTGCACTGTACTGTACTTCACTGTACTATACTGTACTGTTCTGTACTGTACTGTACTGTTCTGAACTATACTGTGCTGTAGTGTACTGTAGTGTACTGTACTGTAGTGTACTGTACTGTACTGTAGTGTACTGTACTGTACTGTACTGTACTGTGCTGTGCTGTACTGTACTGTACTGTACTGTACTGTACTGTACTGTACTGTACTGTACTGTACTGTACTGTACTGTACTGTAGTGTACTGTACTGTAGTGTACTGTACTGTACTGTAGTGTACTGTACTGTACTGTACTGTACTGTACTGTACTGTACTGTACTGTACTGTACTATACTGTACTGTACTGTACTGTACTGTACTGTACTGAATTGTACTACTGTACTTTACTTTACTGTACTGTACTGTAATTACTTTACTGTACTGTACTGTACTGTACTGTAATTACTTTACTGTACTGTACTATACTGTAATTACTTTACTGTAGTATATTATACTGTACTGTTTTTTTAACTTTTAAGATTTTTGAACTCTTAAAACGTTTCATTATTTTCTGAGAGATTTTAAAAACTTTAAAAAGTCCGAAAACTTTTTATTTAGGAACACGATTCTTACAATTATCCATCACAAGTTGTATTTTACTGTACTGTACTGTATACGCCATAATGTACTTAACGATACTAAACGTTATAGTACTCTGTACTGCACTGTGCTGTACTGTACTGTTTTGAAATGTACTGTTTATTATGTATTATATTATATATATTATATATTATATTATATATTAAAGAATTTGAGCCGCATCTCAAATCCTCCAAAAACCGGTTTTCAATTGAGCGCCAGCTTAATCTTGAGGCATTGAATACAATTTTAAGTGGAATCAACCATATTTGAGCCGCGTCTCAAATTTAAGCCGCGGCTCAAATTCTTTAAATTCGGCCTGAAGCTCATCAAAAGACTTTTTGTCGTATACATCTATCGATCTATAGTACATATAAAAATAATAAAAATAACAAAACTACAAACTATGAAAAAAATTCTATACAATGTAGATGTTTTTCAGTTCCACTTGTGAAAGCTGTTGGAGGTCACTTCATGAATTTAAAGAGAAGTGCCTGTGATAACCTACTAGTCGATTCTGCAAGTGCCAATGGGTAAAAACCATGATTATTGAGAAAATTAAAATGATATTCTTAATATAAGTTAACTATATATAAACATCTGTTTGTCCGATCACAAGCTAGCTGATGAACCCCTGCAACGATTTGCCTCAAATTTAGAATAGGGACGATTTGCCTCAAATAGAGAACTTGTGAGAAATAACCACGAAGGGTTACTAACTTGGTTAACATTTTTTTGACTTAGCAAATTTTGGTATTTAGTTTTTTATTATTCTTGTATTAAATAAAGGTTATTGTATTTCAGTAATGAACCTCGAAGTAAATATTTGCGAGGTTGGTTAACCGAGGCTGAAACAAGGGAGGTTGTTGGTAGATGTGAAGAGGACGAGGTCACTCTGCATGGCCTTGTTCTAGCCGCAGCACTCACTGCCATGGCGAGGTCACTTTTAGTTATTATTAAAAATTCAAAATATTTCACTTTATTAAGAACTATCTTTTTAGTGAAAATAATTTTTGTTTGTTATAAATTTGCTAAAAATTTTAATTTATATTAATACAGGATGTGTACAGTTCAAGGGGAGGCAGTAAGAGCGCTTCGCGCCTGCATAGCAACAAATATTAGACAATACTGTACCCAGGTAAATGTACAGTGTACAGTATTACTATATATGTATACAAATTTGCAATTTCTGTTTGTCTGTTGTCTTTTTTGTTTTTGTGTGTCCGATCATAACTTGTGAAAACTTTTTACAGATTTGACTCAAATTTGTAATGGAGAAAAAAATATAAAAATGTTTACTAATGGTTCTTAAATTTTTCAATTATTTTCTTCTAAGGCACCTAGAACCGGTTTATATTCTTCAGTGTACGAGGATTCATTCCAAATCCCATCCCAGCTCAGCCAACCAAAGCTAGCGGTTACGTCACAGGTAGAAAATGCCGCAACTCAATATAAATTTCAGGAAATGTAATCGATGAATCTTTACAAAATCTGCTTTCTAGGAGCTGTGGTGTTTTGCCCAACTGCTTACAACAGCCCATAACACAGCAAAGGCCAACAAAATGGCTTTAAGGTCAGTTTTATCTACAGGGTTAGTAAAAAAACGGGATTATCGATGTTTTGGACAAAATTTTCAAAATTTTTGTTTTATTAAGATTTTAGACACTCAAAATTTTTGCGGATTTTTAACTTAATTTTTAATGACATTTTATTCTCAAAAAATTTATTAATTCTATTTTTCAATATTCTAAAAGTATTTTTGATTTTATATTTGTTATATTTGTTATGCCTAAAATCTGAACGAAACGGAAATTTACTCATTCTGTATTATAAACATAATGTATTTAATGATAAATGACATTTTTAAGGCATGTAAGAATGGTCGGCAGAACCATAGCATCTGGCAGCCTGGACAATACTTTTAAGGTATAAAATATATATATTTTTAGTAATTTTGCCTCATAAACTTTTTGTTTATTGGTTACTTTGTTTTTTTTATGGTATTATTGTGTAATTTTCAACTAAATAACCTCTAAAAATGTATCAGGAGCCTTCTATGAGATATTGGTAACAACAAATTAACAAATCACTCTGGTGACATTTTTCATGACAATTTAATCGTTTTCTGCAGGAAATGGAAGATATTCGGAAAGTCGAAGCGGAGATGCATCTCAATATTCTCGGAGATATAGGTAATTTCCTAAATTCATACCAAATATTATTTTTATTATTTTTAATGTTTATTTTTCAGGCCACATTTTTAGAGAAGAAAACAACGAGAAACATCAAGTAAAATTAAACAGATAAAATTATTAACATATAGTAAAGTATATCTGTTTTAAATGTTTTCATTTTAATTTTTATTATTATATCTTCAAAGTATTTAAGAAAATGATCCCTTTCTCCAAACACAGAATTTATAATCTTCATACATTTTCAATCTGATGGTGTAAACACAAGCTATTTCAAAATATGCAGTTGCTACACCCCTGACCCTCAAGTAAAAGTAAATTCATCCAAAAGTCTGATCGCGTCAACCTTGTTCCACCGGCTAGTCGTGTCTGCTATATTTACCCAATGTCCGGGCGATACAGTACAAACTGGGACCGGAAAGGTTGACCCGGCTCGGAAATTTAAATGTACTACGGCTGCCCGTGGCTAGGTTTCCCAGTTTGAAATAGGGCTTACGACATTAGATGAGTAGGTTGCAAATATATAACGATCAAAAGCTGAAAAACAAAAAGAGTACTAAACTTATATTTTCTATTTGTTGGGAATGAATTTTCTGTTTTTATACTTCTCTCAAATATCTCGAACACTCCCTGAATTTGGTGATTCACCTTAAGGTGCTGCTGGAGGATGTTGGTGTGATGGTTTCCGGTCAGAACATGGGGTACCCCCTCTCACACACAGCTCATATATTCAGAAACAGGTTTGTACCCCCTCTCACACACAGCTCATATATTCAGAAACAGGTTTCCTTTCTATACAGATTAACGGGAGTGTTATTATTTTTATTGATATTATTGTTATTATTGATATTATTTTACTCTTCATACCGGTTGATTGTCTGATTAAAATCGATTAAGTTATTTTTTATCTAAAACTTCGTAATTTTTTATTGCGGTGTTTTCAACGTAGAATACTAACATATATTCTTCATTGTTATGTCTCAAATGAATCCTGAAAAATTTGTCCACAACACTGCATACTCAGTTTAACTACCTTACATAGCCGGTCTGTCTCTTTAAGCAGAACAGGGGCGGGAGGGTACTGTTGTGAATCCGGCGTGTAATATAATAAAAGAATTAAACAGATTGGACTTAAGAACTGTAAACTTGTTTAAAAACGACCATAATTGGAATTAGGACTTTAACAAGGTCTCTTAGAGCTGTAATTCAAATGTTTTTATTAGAAGTTATTTTTGATAAATGACAAATTACGAATTCGAATTGTTTTCTAACTTTCTTCCTGTAAAAGCCACTAAAGTTTAAATTAACAGAACTTCGCTAATATATATATGTCAGCTATAGATGGCCAAAGGGCTGGACCAAATTGGCTGAATTTTTTCAGGGAACCTATGGGTACCCAGGTGGTAACTAAAATCTATAAAAATTTAATTTATTTTCAATATGGGAATATTTTTTCTAAATTCGCGAAACTACTAATCAGTAGAAAACAATTTTATTATTTTTATTCTTTTTAGGTTGAATTATATGATGACCTACTATACTAACTATTTGGAGACATCAACAGCCTTACTACTTAGAGATGAGACTATAAACCTACTCCGACTAGCATCTGAACAAGAGTAGGTTTTAAATCATACATCAACCGCCCTACTAAGTTGGTTTAGCTTTCTGCAAAAACACGTATCCCTGAAAAGTGGATATTTAAGAAGAAACATTTATGTTTTACTTTACATTAAAGGAGCAGAAAATATTTTAAATAATCTAGAACTAGTTTTAGATATATTTTAAATAATCTAGAACTAGTTTTGATATATTTTAAATAATCTAGAACTAGTTTTAGATATATTTTAAATAATCTAGAACTAGTTTTAGATATATTTTAAATAATCTAGAACTAGTTTTAGATATATTTTAAATAATCTAGAACTAGTTTTAGATATATTTTAAATAATCTAGAACTAGTTTTAGATATATTTTAAGCAGCCTTTTTCAAAGCTTTCCATGTAATACGCTAAAAATTGAGAGTTTTAGAAAAATACTAATAATATCTTGATATTATACTTTTTATTCACTGATTCATAGTTTTTGTCACAAATTCAAATTCTTTTCACTATTTATTTGCAACATGATGGTGTTTCAAACCTAGATTATTTGCTCTAATAGAATTAATTAGTTTGAAATATCAAAAGTCTACAACATTTAACTTCAAAGATATTGTGATTAGAAGATCAGAGTTTGTGGCAACAACTCAGTGCCTTTAGCCGTAAAAAAGATTAGTTTAAATCCAAATAAATATAACAAATGGATTTTACTAAATTCTTAACTCCCGAATCTTCTAAGGTTCCAGCTTTGTACTTTAAGTCATTGATCTTTTTCAAGTCGAAATTTTTTATCAGATATACATGATGCACAGTTTTATTAATGTTGTCGCTCTTAAAGTTTCACAAATTACACTGTAAAATGTATGTACCGTTGATTGGAATCTGAATCAGAATCCACTGTATCCGCAACATGTTTGGATGCGGATCCACTGTATCCGCAACATGTTTGGATCCGGATCCACTGTATCCGCAACATGTTTGGATCCGGATCCCCGCAACATGTTTGGATCCGGATCCACTGTATCCGCAACATGCTTGGTTTCGGATCCACTGTATCCGCAACATGTTTGGATCCGGATCCACTGTATCCGCAACATGTTTGGATCCGGATCCGCTGTATCCGCAACATGTTTGGATCCGGATCCACTGTATCCGCAACATGCTTGGTTTCGGATCCACTGTAACCGCAACGTGTTTGGATCCGGATCCAGGATGCAAAATATCAGCTAAAAGGAATTGAGTCTTTGCCACGAACTCAAATTTGCTCATCCCTTGGAACCTGGTTGTGAAACCTTTGATATTTGATCCAAGAGATTTCATATTTTGAAATATTTATGGTCTACGACATTGGGTTGCAAAGATAGCGGGATTATTAATCAGAGTTTGTTACAAGACTAAATTTCTTTGCGAAAATTAGTAATTTTTCATCGATTTTTTTTATATATCCTTAATAAAGACAAAGCTAAGTAACGATCTCTAAAACGTTGTGAGAAATTTCAGATTTTAAAAAGTTGTAACATCTAAACAATAACTATTAATAATTTATTCATAGATTTAAAGTTTGTATCTAGCTATCATATATATTTTTCGAATATGTTAATTTTTACGTATTATTATATTTCTTCATCAAATAAATATATTTTATGTTATTTTGAAACTGAATTTATTTTATCATTTTACAATTTATAAACAAAGAAATTTGTTCTTTACAAATCTCTTTCATACATATTGATGATTGTAAATTAATAAACAGAGAAAATATTTGATCTTTTGTTGCAATTTTTGTTAACGTTTTTTTATATTTCTTTATCAAATAAAATGATTTTTTTTTATGTAATTCTGAAGTTGAATTTATTTCACTTTTGTCAGAAAATCTAGAATTTAAATTCTGAAATTTTATTTACAAACATCTTAAAGAAATAGTTTGGAAATAATGTATTTACTCGCAATTAATTATAATTGGAACTTCACGACAACTAATACCAGCAATGTCCATTGTAAAGCTGTGAAAGAATAGAATATTTTAATTTGTTCCGAAAATTTTGTAAAGCAAAAATTCAATAAACATAGAAACTCAGTTACGACATAAAATATTGTTTCCGATTTTGGACAAAACAGATACAAAATTTGAATTATATATTAGTATTTATATATTTATATATTTATATATTAGAAGACATATTTGTCAGTGATAATTTTGGTTCTATTCACGCACCTCTGCCCCTTTAGTAAAAGTAAATTCAACCTATATGAAGCATAAATTCTGACTGTTTCAACCTTGTTGCACCAGCCATAGAGCTAGGTACAGTACAAACTGGGACCGGAAAGGTTGACCCGGCTCGGAAATTCAAATGTACTACGGCTGCCCGTGTATTAAATCAAATTAAACTGGGACTGCAAATCTTAATAATTAATTAATTTTTGAAGGTTCAAAGCACGTGAACCATTTAAGTTTTATCCAAATGAATGTTGCATGGGACAAAAATTAAAAGAATTCACTTAATTTCCGTATTTAAAGGAACTCCCATCTGTGGCCCATCAAACAAAAGTAATTTTTTCACTATATTAAAATCTTGTTTTTTTTTCAAAAATTCTTTTAATGCAGAGTTGTTTCTAATATATAATCAGATATTGTTTTTCTTTTCCTTAAGCGTAAAGGAAACCCAGTGAAGCCACGTGGTCAAAAAGGATTAGCAGTAAGTAAGCAGTAATTGGCATCATTCTCATCGATTTTTAATCCAGGTTTGTTAAAAAGTTTTGAATATTTAAAGAACCCCCCTATTTCCCCCTCTCACTTACTAAAAAATTGAAATGGTACTTTAATGCATTGAGAGTAAATATGTGGACATTCTGGAGCAAGGAGCAGTCAACCAGAGTAAATTAGGTTAAATCCTTTCATCCAAATCTTTAAATCCTTAAAGCAAAAAATATAGTAATCCAAAGTGCATAACATTTAGAAAATTTGAATTTGAAGTTTCTCCATTGGACTACGATACGACACGAACAGATTTATTAGATAACAATACATATTGTAACACTCTTAATTTTAAACTAAAAATCGTTTATTTGAGATGAAAACTATAATTTGATATTTTATTTACGACTCTTTTTTATGTCAAAAATCTTAGTTTTAAATATTTTATTTACAAACTTAAAAATTTGCACATAAAGAATAGTAATTACATAAAACAGTTGTTATTCCAGTTTTCTATATCAAAAATGAAAATACTTTGTTCCTTTAAACTCTCGATTCGATCCATTCCGATCCATTCCGATCTAGAATTGTTTTTCACATAATATAAACAATTCTAGAAATGAGCAACCCTACAATTCTAGGAATAAGCAACCGTACAATTGTTTCATCAAAAACCCTTAGTACCTTATCTTTCTTTAGCAGTTCTAGTAGTGTCTGTAATTTGAAAAGGTATAGTAGCGTCTGTCATTTTAACAGGTCTACGTCTGTAACTTGAACAACCCAAGTAACGTCTGACCTTGAACAACCCTAGTTGCATATATATATCTTGAACAAACCTAGTAGCATCTGCACATTAAACAACACTAGTTGCGTCTGTACCTTGTAACCTTGAACAACCCTAGTCGGTCAATACCTTGAAACCCCTAGTAGCCTCTGTACCTTAAACAGCCCTAGTTGCGTAAGTACCTTGAATAATCCTAGTAGCATCTATACCTTGAACAACCCATAGTAGCGTCTGTACCGTGAACATTTCTAGGAGCGTCTGTACCTTGAACAACCCTAGTTGCGTCTGTACCGTGAACAACCCTAGTAGCGTCTGTACCTTGATCAACCCTAGTAGCATCTGTACCGTGAACATTCCTAGGAGCGTCTGTACCGTGAACATATCTGTACCGTGAACAACCCTAGGAGCTTCTGTACCGTGAACAACCCTAAGAGCGTCTGTACCTTGAACAACCCTAGTAGCGTCTGTACCGTGAACAACCCTAGGAGCATCTGTACCGTGAACAGCCCTAGTTGCGTCTGTACCGTGAACAACCCTAGGAGCTTCTGTACCGTGAACAACCCTAGTAGCGTCTGTACCGTGAACATTCCTAGGAGCGTCTGTACCTTGAACAACCCTAGTTGCGTCTGTACCGTGAACAACCCTAGTAGCGTCTGTACCTTGAACAACCCTAGTAGCGTCTGTACCGTGAACAACCCTAGCATCGTCTGTACCGTGAACAACCCTAGCAGCGTCTGTACCGTGAACAACCCTAGTAGCGTCTGTACCGTGAACATTCCTAGGAGCGTCTGTACCTTGAACAACCCTAGTTGCGTACCTTGAACAACCCTAGTTGTGTAGCTGTACCTTGAACTAACCTATATAGCGTCTGTTCCTTGACCAACCCTAGTTAAGGTCTGTACCGTGAACAACCCTAAAAGCGTCTGTACCTTGAACAACCCTAGTAGCGTCTGTACCGTGAACAACCCTAGGAGCATCTGTACCGTGAACAGCCCTAGTTGCTTCTGTACCGTGAACAACCCTAGTAGCGTCTGTACCGTGAACAACCCTAGCAGCGTTTGTACCGTGAACGACCCTAGCAGCCTCTGTACCGTGAACAACCCTAGTAGCGTCTGTACCTTGAACAACCCTAGTTGCGTCCAGTTTCCTTTTCAATACTTTCCCTCTCAGTTTCATTTCTCCTCTTGCTGGGTGAAGGTCACCTTGTGACGCTCTCAGTCACGTACCCTGCACAGTGATTTCTTTACTTTAGATCATTCTAGAACATTTTAATTATTTAAATAGATTAAATATTAAATGATTTTTTGAAAAATAATTTTCACATTTACTTATATTTATATGTCTTATCGTACAGATTAATCATATTTTTTTTTAATAAAACATATTTTCAGAAAATCGTTTTTTAAATAGTATCCATTAAACAAACAATATTTTTATTACCCTCCCCCCCCCCAAACCTCCTTGAATAGTTACCAAGCGTCCTCCTGCAGTGCCCGATCCTTTGTGAGATTTCAAGGTCAAGGTATATCTCTCAGATACTATGCGTAAACTGCGTATATTAAACCCCCTATACGGATATACAAGTGGGGGGGGGGGAATAAGTACATCGTTTTGATTTGTACTCTAATTTAACGTTTGTTTTTATAATATCTCGGCCTGGAAAGAGAAAATATAAATTCAATGCATTGCACATGACACGGATTTTCAAAATAGTATTTTCTTTTTCAACTTTCTACTGGTGAAAACTGAATTGCGCTTTCAAAATGAATTTGATCCGTAATTTTATAAGGAGTGAAATTGGTAAAAATGCAAAGCTTGAAAAATTGATAACGGAATTGAGTCATTGCCAAAAATTCAAATTGTCTAAACCCTATATCTTTGCACTTCATGGAGTAAACTATTGATATTTTAATTTTAGATTATATAATCTCTAACAGAATTAATAGTTTGAAATATTCGACTTTGGGTTGCAAAGATATGGGATTAGAAAATCAGAGTTTACGGCAAGAACTCAATTTCTTTATAAACAGAATTGAATCAAAAACTAAAATATTCTAACCCTTATATCTTTGTACTTTATGGTGTAAACCTTTGAGATTTTAAACTTAGATTACATTATGAATAAATGATTCTGATTCACAATGGTATCCTGTAAACTTTTATCTCAGTATCATCGATCCTAAAATAGTGTAGTTTAAAAAGAGATAATTTGTTTAATTTTCCTTCTTTATTTCTGCAACATAAATGCATAAGTCACTTTTATAGAATAACCGCAACTGAAAATTATCCATTTTCAGAGAATTATCTGTTTTATTTTTCTCATACAAAGATTTTTTTACTTATAGTCAACCTTGTTTTGTTGTGATGCTTTTATTTCAAAGTTTCGGAAAGTATCCGTTCACTTATACTTTAGCTGCTTTGAAACTGAGAATTGATTGTTTTTTCTTTAAAACTAAAGATTTTTTGGTGACGATAGAGCATCATTTAGTTTAAAAAAAGTGTCTTACTTATCCCTAATTTATGTCAATTTAACAGTTAATAATCATTTATGGAAACCATGAAAAAGTATTCGTCATTTTTCTTCTGAAAGAAATAAACTTCTGAAAACGACTTTTAAAGTGCAATTTAATGAGTGCAAAATTCTATTTTGCAAATTACAATTTGCAAAACTGCAAGGTTACTTATCGAGTCCATGGCAATTAATTGTTTAAATGTTTACTATAGATGTTTAAGCCCTTGAAGAAGGCCAATTTGTTGTGTTGCATGTGCAAATGTACCTTATGTTAACTGCAGAAAAATAGCATATATATTGGCATACAGTGAGAACCAGAAAACTATGGAATATAAAGTCAACATAAAAGCAATATTTAAGGGATAGTTAGAAATTGCCATTACTACTATCACATATACTTAGTTTTTATCTAAACTCTACTTTTTAAATCCCTACATCTTTGCAACATGATGTTTTAGACCTTTCATATTTCAAATTACGAATTCTGTGAGATCACGTAGTCTCCGGTTGTAAAATATAGGGATTAGAAAATTTTAGTTTGTGGGAAAACTCAGTTTTTTTGATTGTTATATTTTTTACATGGCCTTTTAAATGCATTTACATTTAATATGACGTTTAAATGTTTTCTCACATTTCATTTGCTCGTGATATTGTAGAAAAACCTATTGTTAAGTTGGTAGCTTTCAGAGACACAGTAATCCATGGGTTACAAGCTCGCACGCAACAATCGATGATAATTTTGCCGAGGACTTTTTTAAAGCTTCAACTAAAAACAAGTGTTTTAAAGCTCTTAAATGTTCATGTTCAAAGCATTCTGAATCTATGTGCAGACCAGGAACAAGAATTATAGTTCTATTGTTTTAACAAGTATAATTAATGTTAACCTGGGCGTATTCAGGAATTTTTCAAGGGGGCTTTAAATTGCTTTGCTTAAGGGGGGGGGGGGCTAGCACTCGTATTGGCTCAAAACCCCTGTGGAAACGATAGATTTTACTAATCCAGGGGCCCCTATAGCCTCCTCCCCCTGTCCAGTATTGTGTAGGGGTTTAGAACTGGGAATTGTATAATGGATCTCTGTACTGGAGCTACTTTTCTATTTAGCACTGTCATCAACTATCTATCTATCTCGAAATCTGTGAGCTTTTTCATAAGCATTATGTTTGGTGGGCTAACTTTTAATTGATCTTTTATGAATTATTAAAGGCATTTTTTTTAAATTTCTAACCATCCATAAACCCATCCCTGACAAACAAACAAGCACAATCATATATATATATAGATAATAGGTTGACCATCACTTAAGGCGAAACTTTTGAGTTGGATCTCTGGCAAAGTTTGGATAATCTAAATAAGCTTAGCCACAGTTCTTCATGTTAATGGATAAACCTTAGCCGCAGAATCTATTTCATAGGTGACATGCAGTTTTTGGCAGATTTAAGAATATCGAATTCTCAAATTTAAGACTTTATACCCTCCAAATGTATGCAAAAATGTCAGGGTCCTATTCATAACTGTTCCCTTGAAACCTTTATCTGATCAATAATGTGGAAGATATTGTTGTTTTTAAGTTTAAAAGAGTTTGATTTTGATAATTTATGCGCATGTCACTTTTCTAAAGAATCCACAATATTAAATTATCTTTTTTCAAAATTCAAAATCTATCCAGGTACAACTCAATTTCATTTTACTTTCAATGTCAAAACCGGACATGATCTCATAAACTATCAAGACCAAACCAATAGACCTTCCTTGACGTCGACTGATTTTACAGGAGAAAGCTTACATTGCCTGGGGTTTGAGGCTTATCATAACACCTTTCAACATGGTGGAATAAACTATCATATCTGGGCAGGAAGGTACGTTGATTCTTTGAGGATTCGTCAAGTTAAACAGGAGTCCAAGCTTTCGGTACACAATAACATTAACTTCCCCGTGCTCCCCTTGGATCCAGAGTACGAGATGGTAAGGAATAGGTCTAAAACATCCATTCAAACAGAATAGGTATTTTTCTTGCTCAACAAGCTGCTCTAGGTTTGCATCAGCATTTTTTGTGCATTTTCCTGGCTGTTTCGTTGATTTTTCCTGATTTCCATCTTTGTGTCCTTGTGCAGGTTTGATCTTGTTAGATTTGATTCGTCTATCCTTTTCCTTTACGATTCTTCTCTAATTCTTTTAGTTTCCTTTACTTCTGTTCCAGCTGTATTTTCCTTGCCCCTGTAAGCCCTTTCTGTAAGCCCTTTCTGGTTGATTCTCTAACACTGGGTTAACTTTCTTACTGACCGTTCTGTGCTTGTCTAACTCCGCATTTTTCTGGATACTGCAGATGTGGAATTTACAGATGTAAGTGTTGGTTATTCTCAAATAGCTCTGCATATCATTTTCATTGACTAACTTCCTTGGTCCTGCAATTTCTCTTCCCCTTTTATAGATCTTCTTTTCCGTGTTTATTTTTTTCTCCTTGAGCATTTCATCAATAAATTCTGCCAGGCTTATCTTGTCTTGAGCGTTTATTCTCTGGTATCTTTACCATTGTCATGTTTCCTGTCTAGGTATCCTGTTTCCAATATAACTTCGTCTTGCCAGTATGAGCTCTTCTTGTATTCTCCTTCTTTTTAAGTTTCTTGTCTCGGTATTCCTGTTCCTGGCTTTAATCATATTTTTGTTGGGAGAATATCTCACCGTAATCAAAGCAGAGTATCTTCCAACTAAATATATTTGGGTTTCTATGTTACAAATTAACGTTGATCAATATAATTAAAAGTTTTATGTGGATATATATGCAACGTAGTTAAGCTAATCATATTACCTAGTTATTTACAGTGCAGTTAAGATAAATCATGGTTTTTAGGTAGCTATTTACAACGTAGATAATTAATAATGTACAACGTTATTCAGGTTTGCAGATATAGTGCTACACAATATTTATTATACAGGAGTTGACATATCATTCAAATTCATTTACTTCCTGTTTACATAACTAATTTAGCGTGAAGGAATTCTACTTTTTCAACTAAAAATATCAATTCAAATAATTATTCAACATCACATCTCAAGGTTAAATAATGGTTTGAAATGTTTAGTGTAACCTTGATTATCATCAACTAGATAAACTGGAAGGAATAATAGGAAAGTATAGGAAAGTATAGGAAAGTATAGGAAAGTATAGGAAAGTATAGGAAAGTATAGGAAAGTAAAATAAACTGAATAGTCACCATTACTATAATAAACCATTTCAAGGGAATTATAAGAATGTCGAAATCTCATTTTTAAATGAAAGAATAAATCGTTTTATTTTGCAACAATTATATTTTCCCATAAACAGTTTATTTTTGTATGTAGTTCAAAAGAACATTATACTAAATTGTTAAATTATTTCTTTTTCAGTGAAATTAAAATGCAGTTTTAATGCCTGGCATTTATCATCCAGAGGGGCCTGGGACACTGGGACACCCTGGTCCAACGGGACACCCTGGCCCTGGGGGACACCATATGGATGGTCCCAATGGACCACCTGTGGGTGCATATCCTCCTAACGCACACAGGAGTTTAAGCAGAGATCAGCTTGCGCGTGCTCTTTCCCTAGGATCAGCTAATAGATCTATGTTTAGGGTAAGTGGATCCATCATTGTATAGTTTTCATGTAAACCGTTAAATTCCAATTTTTAAATTTTCAAATAATACGCATTAAAATTGAAAGCAAATGTGTTTTTTTCTTCTTCAAATTGTTAACTTATTTGTATTGTAAAATAAATCAATGTTTACACTTTTTAATTTAAATTTTTTTTACTTTCATTATCTTTTAATAGATCTTTCACCTTTTAAATAATCCTTTTTTTTGATTAAGCATGATCATAATGTAATGTGTATCTGTAATAAATAGTGAGTATCTAGCTGTAATAAATAGCGAGTAGAACAGGTTGAGGTATTGCTAGCTCAAGATAGTGTCCTAGTTGAGACATTGATAGCTCAAGATAGTGCCCTAGTTGAGACATTGATAGCTCAAGATAGTGTCCTAGTTGAGGCATTGATACCTCAAGATAGTGTCCTAGTTGAGGCATTGCTAGCTCAATATAGTGTCCTAGTTGAGACATTGATAGCTCAAGATAGTGTCCCAGTTGAGGCATTGACAGCTCAAGAAAGTGTCCTAGTTGAGGCATTGATAGCTCAAGATAGTGCCCTAGTTGAGGCATTGATAGCTCAAGATAGTGCCCTAGTTGAGACATTGATAGCTCAAGATAGTGTCCTAGTTGAGACATTGATTGCTCAAGATAGTGCCCTAGTTGAGGCATTGATAGCTCAAGATAGTGCCCTAGTTGAGGAATTGATAGCTCAAGATAGTGTCCTAGTTGAGACATTGATAGCTAAAGATAGTGTCCTAGTTGAGGCATTGATTGCTCAAGATAGTGTCCTAGTTGAGACATTGATAGCTCAAGATAGTGTCTTAGTTGAGGCATTGATAGCTCAAGATAGTGCCCTAGTTGAGGCATTAATGGCTCAAGATAGTGACATAGTTGAGACATTGATAGCTCAAGATAGTGTCCTAGTTGAGGCATTGATAGCTCAAGATAGTGTACCTAGTTGAGGCATTGATAGCTCAAGAAAGTGTCCTAGTTGAGGCATTGATAGCTAATTGCTAGTGTTCCTGTTGACATCCATAGCTAACAAGATCGCGCCCAGTGGTAGGGGCGTTGATCGATTAAGAGTTCGTGTCCTGGTTGATATTGAGAGTTGACCAGAATGTATCCGGGTTTAGACATTGATAGATAAGTGAAACTGGATCATACCTGGATAGATACGAGTTATAGAAACCATTCTAGAGTAGGGTATTTACTACATATGTCTATATAGACAATAGTAATCCCTGTTTTTCTGTCTGTTTGTCTGTTTGTTTGTTTGTGTGTCCGATCAAAACTCGGGATCCGATTTGCCTAAAACCTTGTTAAGGGGAAATGTTTTTTAACTTGACTTAAAGGGACAGTAAAGGAAAAATGAAAGGGGGTATAGGCTGAAAGCTAATCACTTTAGCTCTTGATCGCGACCCATGAAAGTCATATCTGATGTTCCTGTCTCGAGAAATTGATATAAAACTGTGTCAAATACATACGAAAATTAATATATATACAATTTTGGATAAAAGTAGTAGGTTTAAACAGATCATATTCAGCAAATAAGCAACCAATCTGAAAATGATGATATCCCAGAGGAAGCTAATTGTAAATTAGGTTTACTTTTATATTTGTTATTTCTATTTTCAATAGATTTCATTCATAATATTATTTTTACGTCCGTATTACTTGATCAGAAATTCCACCAATGGCAGTGCAGTAAAGTGGTCACGTGATACAGGCGGAGACACGTGACCAGTATACTGCTCTGCCATTGGTGATAGTTCTGGTCACGTGATTTAAGTTTCAGATTTTCAAAATTTTACATATATGAATTTTCGTATAATTTTAACATAGTTTTATATCAGTTTCTCGAGACAGGAACATCAGATATAACTTTCATGGGTCGCGATCAAGAGCTAAAGTGATTAGCTTTCAGCCTATACCCCCTTTCATTTTCACTTTACTGTCCCTTTAAATAGAGAAAGGCAAAGCTGGGTTCTCAAGCAAGTGCCGATTTAGGTTCACAATCCTTTTAGTGTATCAATATAAGCATAATCTCTAAAGGGTTTAGAATAAGCTATTTCGGGGATTCCCTGTTATTTGGTTCCTTGAAACTGGGTCAACGATATTATTTTCAAACTTAATATACAATACTAGGCTTTTTGGGTGTTTCGCGTCCTTTTTACAAATGGATTTTTCAAACAAGAGCATTCAACGTTTTTCCATGATTTTTTTCTTCAATTTTGATGGTCCATAAACCTTCCCATGGGTCATGTGAGGTCCCACACAAAATTTGGTCCAATCAGTTTAGGTGTTTTGACGTTTATTGGACACAAACATACAAACAAGCAAAATAAACATAAATTTGTAGATATAGTTAAACCAGCATCAATTTCAGTGAACCCATTCGTATTCTTTCCATTTTAATGTTTTTTTTTCGATGAAATTATGATTTGCAATTTGTTCTTCTTTTTATTAGGACTATTCACTGCCCGGAAACATGTTCAATGGAAATTATGGCGGTTTACCGGGACATCCAGGAAATCCGGGAAAACATGGTCATCCACCCGGACACCAAGGAAATCTACTCGGACACCCAGGACATGTTAGACATCATGGAAACACTGCACAAGGACCTTCCAGCCTTCCTGTTCATCCAACTCATCAACCCTTGAAGAAACAACTCTCCGCCAAGGAATACAATTGTTTTTTTTAAGCAAAGGAACTGAATACTCTTCTTAAACTCTGATTTTCTAATCTCTATATTTGCAACCTGATAATCTTCATATTGCAAACCAAGATGTGCTTGCTCTCTTGCAAAAATCGAGAAGTATTTTGCCAACTTCTGCTTTTAAACTTAAGCTAAAAACATGTGCGTTGCAGTCTAAAAATGTATATGTCTAGGGCTACAAAAAATGATAAGACTGTTGATGAGGTAAACTCAAATACCAAGTCGCTGCGACACTTTAAAGTCGAGGCTGTTAAAAATTGGAAACTAATATTATATCTGAGATATCAGTGATTTCAAATATTGACTATTTGACCTAGTAGTAGCATAGCTACACGCAGATCTGTCGTTGTAATAAAAGTAAGTTCAACCTATAGAAGTGTAAAGTCTGACCGCGTCAACCTCGTTGCACCGGCTAGTCCTGTACACAGAGCTAGACCAACTTTATTGACCCCTGACAGGCGGTTCAGTACAAACTGAGACCAGAAAGGTTGACCCGGCTCGGAAATTCAAATGTACTTTGGCTGCCTGTGGCTAGCACTTTGAAATATAAAAGTATTAGAAAATTACTGTTAGCGGCGAATATTGAATTTTAATAGAAAATTCAATTTTAAAACTAAAGTTTAAACAAATGTAAATGGAAAACCAGGAACTGACAGGTGCCCCACTAATCAGCTATATGCCCAGAAATAGGAAAGTGAAGAAAAAAATGAGGTATACATTTTTAAATTTATTAATATATAATAAAATATTTAAGGTAAATGCAAAATTTAGTTTTTTTAAACGTTCTTATTCGAGAGTGCACTGCCGAGTATTTGATCAAATTATTTAAATTTTGCAAAAAATGCATTTTATCAGATTGAACTTTGAAAAGTGTTTACAAATGAAATTAGAATTCCAAAAATATCTTTAAATATATAGATTTTTTATTTATCGAGGGGGGATTGAGTTTTGTTCTTAAACATGTTTCTTCAATTATTTTTGTCCATATATTCTATATTATGTAGACATTTTACATTTGAAATATATATATATAATTTATATTTATCATTAGAAATATCTAAAAATAATATAGCTATATATTAATATTCCAGTGATCCTATGCTCCGCAACCGTCACTGTTCCCAGCCCAGTTCTAATTTCTACTTGGGACAGAATCTTTACAGAAACATGTATCTTCAGGTATACACTCGGATACAGGCTCATAACTAGGAATTCAAGTATATTCGGATACAGGCTCGTAACTAGGAATTCATGTATCTTCAGGTATACTCGGATACAGGCTCGTAACTAGGAATTCAGTTCCCTATCCCCTCCCCCCATTCGTTTTGGTTCGTTTTTTTGCATGGAGGCGCACTACCCTTACAGTCCCTTTAAATAATAAGAATTATAATCTTGATTTTTAGGATGTTTATCATAACCCAGTGTTTGCTGTTCAGTCAACTCCTGTTTCTTCGGTCAATCATTACACTCATCTTAGGTATAGATCTATCAATCAATTTATCTATTTAGCTATCTATATCTATATATAAATTTGGCTTGTCTGTCTGTTTGTTTGTCTGTTTGTTTGTTTGTTTGTATCCAATAAACGTCAAAACGGCTGAACCGATCGACTATCTATCTATCTATCTATCTATCTATCTATCTATCTATCTATCTATCTATCTATCTATCTATCAATCTATCTATCTATCTATCTATCTATCTAGAAGGGAGAGTGTGGTATCTACGTCCTGTGACACCTTGTCTGACTCCTACAGTTTGTCAAGTGATGATCTGGATAATTTTCTACCAAGGATAATTAAACCTAGAAGGTAATTTTTAATAAATTGAATTTGATGTAATCGAATTTTTTTAAGATTTGGTAATTTAGAACTGATCACGGGTCATAAACTTTCTTATCCCTATTTCTTTGAAATTTGGTGTTTTTAATCTTTGATATTTTAAACTTTGAATTCAAGCTAAGTTTGACATAGAAAAAATTTTTACTGTTGGGTTGCAAAGGTATTGGAATTATAAAATCAGAGTTTGAGGCGACTGTCATTTTATAACTTGTAAGTTCCTGGGAACCCTATTGTGAATTAAATAGAAGATACGTAATCATGTCCAATTTATTTGGAGAAAATTTGTTTGAAAGTGAAGACTTACTGAGTCTCAAACCTCGACACTTAAAACACAATGTGCCACGTCATTTTTAATATTTCTTCATCGAGATTTGAAGATGTTTATATTAAAGCGTCATCATTGCTATTTATCATGAGAATCCACGCTGGATAGATAGAGGTTGATGGACAGGGTTATGCCCGCTGGAATAGACAGGGTTTACCAGAAAGGACTTTAGGCCTAGGGACAACTCAATTATCCATTTTAAATTTCATAATTTCCTGTAGATCTATATTTGAGATTTTTCTTGCTAAACCTTTCAGGATACCGTTGCAAGACTTTATTTAACCCTAAACAGTCTGTGGGGGGGGGCGTTTGGCGCCCCCCCCTTGTAGTTTTTTTGTCCTGGCACTTTCATTTTTGACACTATCACCGTGAAATTTTTTCTTAAATTTTATTTAAAAATTCATAGAGTAGGGTAAGAGCGGAAAAAAAATCTGGTCTGAAAAAAATCTAAAATAGAACATAACTTTTTTGTGACAAAGCTAAAGATCTAAAAACTATATTTTTAAAAAGCCCTTGAAAACTGCATTTAGATTTTAGAAACATGTGTCACACTTTGATATTTGTTTAAAGCAATTTTTTGACCCTTTTTAGGCATTTTTCTCAATCCTCCCTAGCACCCAAACTATTGAAGTTATCGGTCTAACTTTTTTTCTACGAGCTAGCCTTAAAATTTGGGTTAAACATGCATGTAACCTTCCGATAAAAAAGGGGATTCAAAACGCTAATCTTTTTATTTCTTTATCTAGTAAATAATCTGGAAGACATGTTTCTTAGAGCTTGAAATGTGTCTTAGCATAAGAATTTCCTGCATTGTTTCTGGAATCTAAAAATTGCTGTATGTGAAAACCGCAAATGAAAATAATCAATTTTCAAAAAGTTAACAATAGATATCTCGTATCAAAATTTTAAAATTTTTCCTCCAACAAAATTTGATGATCAATAAAATTTTGAAGAATCCAAGTTTTATTTTTATATAAAATCCGCGAATTTTTCTACAATGTAAACAAAGAGAAAATGTTCACAATTGAAATAGAAAATGTGCGTGAAGCGCCCTTAAAGCCTAGTTTATTTATATCTGACTTGTTTATGATGGAAGGACAAGGTTATTAGGACAAAAGCGTCAATAATGTATACTTCCTTTACGCAATATAGTTTAAAATCATTCTTGCGTCAACTGAGAAGAAAGAGGATTGAGTCTAGCTCAACTTTTCTAATCCCTATATCTAAGGAACCTATTGGTGTAAACCTTTGATATTTCAAACTTAGATTATTTGATTTAACAGAATTCATAGCTTGAAATATCTAAGGTCTACGGTATTGCGTTGCAAAAATATAGGAATTATGTCCACTATTTTAGGATAATTCAGATAAAATGAAAATTGACTATTCTTATCTGTGGGTACTCTTGTAGATTTATGCAACGGAAACAATGAACGAAATTGTCAAAATTGAATAGAGAAATGCTAATTTCTATAAATTTATAAATAGTGGGTAACTTGATAATACTATATATTTTTAAACACGTTTTCCTTCACAAAATGAACAAGTTTTAAACGTTAATCTTTATTTCAATTTTATAGGTCTAATTATAACACTAATTAATACTAGTTAGTTCACAGTCTTATAGATATTGATAAAATACTAAATAACTTTATACATACATTTTCTAGGAAATTAACAAATTTTCACATTTTCCTAATGGGCTTTAAACACTTGATCCAAGTGCCATGTCAAGTAGATTTAAACTATCCAGATCATTGTAGCCGGAGAATTGAATATTTTCCTAATGGTGTTTAAACACTTGATCTAAGTACCATGTCAAGTAGATTTAAACTATCCAGATCATTGTAGCCGGAGAATTGAATATTTTCCTAATGGTGTTTAAACACTTGATCCAAGTGCCATGTCAAGTAGATTTAAACTATCCAGATCATTGTAGCCGGAGAATTGAATATTTTCTCGAGCTTTTTTCAAATCCTTTCGATTAACTTTAAAGGTCAAAAGCAGATATTTTTTGTCTTCATTTGAAACAAAATCACACTTTTGGTCGAAAAGATCGGATTTAACAAGATGGTGAACAAATTGGTGAACTAGGAAAGTTCTCTGAATGGGTTGGGAGTAGAGATATTTGATGAAGAGATTATGGCCAGGCTTAATCTTGAACCTGTGCTCTTTCCTCAACCAAGATGTTAACTCAGAACTGAGAAACATCAAGGTTTCGTCAGATCGTGTCACCAAAACATCTTTGATCTTGGCATATTCCTCCTGTAGGGCTGGGAAGCTCAGATCTGTCTCCAGGAGTCTGTACACCTCGGAGAGGGTGAGAGGTTTAGTAGATGCAACAACTACAGATAACACCTCTGCTATAATATTCCTGTATGTTGTGTTGGAAGGGAATTTAATACTAAATATTAGATGGAATACTTCATCAAGGTTATGTGGGAGTTGAGAGAAGGAATCAGAGCGTACTGTGAGAAATCCATCTCTAATTAGCTCCAATATTAGATTTGCATACAGGAATGAACCCTCGGCTTGGTTCAGAATGAATTGAACTAGTTTGGCAAGAAGCATATTTGTTTTCTTAGGGTTGGAGTGGGATATATTGGAAAGAATTCTTGAGGAAGCGAACATTTTAGTTTCTATAAATTCTTCTAAATCGTTTTGTAATCTTAGACTCTCCTCCATATTCAAACTAACATTGGGAAGATGCATCAGGTTTGTAAGCTCTGATCTATCACATCTATGAGTAACCACAAGCTTGAGCCAGTCTGGGAATCGTAGAATATTTCTGCTGAGAAAGTTTGCGATGGTGTTGCTCTTTACTCCAACCTCGTTCTCCAGTCCATCTATCAGAATTAGAGCTTGGTTCATGTGTATTCTATCTTGCCTGTACAGTTTATAAAGAGGATTTAGAATCCCTCTTTCCAACCCAACCTGGGGCGCTTCCCGTAAACTATCCAGGGTTTGAATCTCTCTAAGATTAGGATCAGTCTGGAGTAGATCTTTATATGCCCCTAGAGCTGGGTGCTGGGAGAGTTGAGCTGCTAGAGAGTGTAGAAACCTAGCTAGGTCTAAAGTTTTAGGGTCTTCAGGGATCAGGAAATGATATCCAACCACACTTGAAGCTAGGACGGAGTCATCTGGATTTCCTCCGAAAAAACTTCTCTGAACAAGATCAAGAATTACAGAGGTCTTTCCAGATCCTGAAACTCCGGTTAGAACCACCCCTCTGCTGTTCTTCAAAAACCCCTCAATTGTCTCCAAAATTTTCTCTCTTCTTAACAATCTGCCCATTCCAGGGACCTCAAAGTACAAAGGTCGAAGTGTGAGGGGCTTCTCTTGTAATGTTCTTTGACTAGCAGCATGTTTTACAGGTGTTGATAAAACATCATCAAATGAGTCATCAAGGATTGAAGGAGCAGTGTCAAAGTATCCAGAATCATTAATGAATCTTTCACTAAAGTTAGAAACTCCGCTGCTGGAATCAGAGAAAGTCTCAAGATCTACTTTTGGGGAAACGTTTTTAGGGTTTTCTAACTTTTCTTCTTTCAACACTTTCTTGATCCTTTTTATGCTTGTGCTAGCACATTTTGGTAGAGTGTTGTTTGTCAGTAAATCGTCGAACTTTCGATTTATTTTGCTCGAAGTTCGCCCCATTTTAGTGGATTTATATCAGTAGATTTAACTATATATAACTGTGTGTGCTTTCTTTTCGACTGTTATAGATTAACTGAGAATTTTGGTGGATTTTCAATCCATGTTCAACTACATTGCACCATGATACGTCATACCTCGGTCATACACCGCCTTCCCCTTCCTTTAAATTTCATCATATTAAGTTCTACATTCCACGAATCTATTTCTCAATGTAGAACATCTTTTTAAATGTGTTTTTTTTAGAATTTTCTGGAAATAATTCGACAATTTTTGTTGCAACATTCATTTGAGTTTTGTTCTTAAACATGTTTCTTCAATTATTTTTGTCCATATATTCTATATTATGTAGACATTTTACATTTGAAATATATATATATAATTTATATTTATCATTAGAAATATCTAAAAATAATATAGCTATAGATAAATCAACAATCGAAATGTTTTTTCATAATTTGATAATAACCTTTCATCTTAAAAATGACATCCTCACACTGTTTCAAAAGTAAAAAAGTGTATATTAAGACAATTTCAGTGTTATCATGTAATAAATTATAACAGTTACTCGACCTCTATTTTTGATATGAATAAGAGAAGAATTAGACTAACCAACTAGAACGTTCTAGAATAAAGTTCTAGAATTTACTAGAAAGATTACAGAGTACAAGAGATGAAAAAGAAAGTTTTCTCCCAATTGTAAAACCATGATGCATTGATTTCAAGGCCAGAAACCTGCAGGATGGTTCAAGGCCTGAATGTCAGGCCTTTTCAAGTTTATTCACCTATAACTGCCTAGCTCCGGGCGGGGTCTAAAGCACACATGTCAACTGCTTATATGACCAGGATCTGGATTTAACATTAAATTTTTTTTAATCTCATTATTTTTTATAAAAACATATATGTTTTGGGTTTTAGAAGAATAAAGTTGAAAACCCTAATCTCAAATAAACTATTTTTTTAGTTTAGAATTTGAAGCGTAAATTGAGGCTAAAATTCTTGCTTAAACAAATACTTTTTTAATTGAGAAGAAATGAATAACAAAATGTTCCAAAAACCCGGGAAAAATTACGCAATTCCCAACACGTGTTTTATGTTTCGTCAATCAGCTGACTCAGGAAATGTCTGTAACATGACGCAATTTGACTTTCTCTTGAATGACCTTCAAAGTATATTGTAGGCCAGAGTGGTGCAGTTGCTTGTATAAATAATTCATGAAAGTTTGACTTTTGTAAATGCATTCTTTCTATTTTTTACTATAGTACAATACATTCATGCTGTAGAAGACTGAAAATGGGAAATTTTCAAGTCAAAAACAGGAACAAAATATGAAAATGACAAGTGTTTGTCAAAAATAGATAAAATTTCTGAAATTTAATTCCGAAAAAAACTCATTAAAATATAATTTCAATTAATTCATAATTATAAATATCTAGATAAAGTCAGGGGTGGATACAGGGGGGCGGGGGACATTCGCCTCCCCCCGAGATTTCGAATTTTTTGTTCCTATTTTCAGAAAGAAACCCTAGTGCAAAACAGGAAAAATATCTGTCTTAATAAACTATAGTGTGTGAAAAGTTAAAAATATAGTTTTTCAGTCTTTAGTCATTAATTTTGACTTTTTTTGAGTCTTTTAAGTTAAAAAAAAATAAAGTGAATATATAAATAGACAGACCAACACATGCGTAATTAAGTGTGCAAGGGCCCCCCCCTTGCACACTTTTTATCCAAGTATTAGCTTAAAACTGTGTCAAATAATCTTTCCCAAAGAAATTTGTAATTAAAATAGATTAAAATCAACTCGCTGATATTTATATTCTCTTTGAAAACAATTTTGTATGTAATTCATACTAGGTCATTTTTTATATTTTATGTCGAGGTTAAACTGATTAAACATTCTTTTCAAGTAATCTTTTATTTAAAGTTGAATAAAGTAAATTAATTAAATGTAGAATTATACTATTCAAAACTTCTGTTATAACTTCACTGAAAGGAATTCATGGAATTATTCTGTTGAGTGAAAATTTATACAAAAATTATCTTTTATGTCGAATTAATTTGAATTAAAATTGTAGAAGGCGAAAGAAGGAGAAAAAAGAGAAAAAGGAGAAGAAGGAGAAGAAGAGAAGGGCTGAGGAGGAGAAGGATGAGGCTGAAAACTGTCTGGGATCTGAGAAACAATGGTTGCCCCAGGGCCTCCTATCCGCAGAGTCAAGTTTTGATTCGAGGTCAGATTATAAATTAAAAGGAGTGTTCACCTATTTCCAAATGATGTACCCTATCTTAAGCCATCTTTCCTTTTAAAGGTGTTTCGATTCTCGATATTGGGAAAAATTCCATCGAAAATTTTGATATTTTAAACTAAGAAGCTATTGATCAACCAAAATTAATAGTTTGAAATATCAAAGGCCTACGAAATCAGGTTGCAAAGAAAGGGATTACAAAACTCAAATCCTTTGTTGGACATTGTAGTGTGATGCTAATGGGAATTAAGTCTTAGCCACAAACTTTGATTTTATAATCCCTTTATCTTTGCATCCTGATGTTTTTGATCTTTGATATTTCAAACCATGATTTCTGAAAGATTAAATGATCTAAATTTGAAATATTAAAAGGTTTGCACCAGTAGCAAAGATATCGGATATTGAAAATTTGAGTTTGTGACAAAGACTCAAATCCTTTAAATGTTTTTTTGATAATTTAAAAAAATTAAATGTTAATATTGTCAATTTTTATTTAAAATAAGAAAGGTTTCTTACTATATAAATTATAAGTTTTGAATATTAAAAAATACGTTTTAAGATCTGAATCTGGAAGTTCTGAAGATGATTCACCAGTTCGACCCAAACTTAGCCACACCCTTTCAGTCCCCGCCTACTCCACCTACTCAAACTTCTCCAGCTATCCCAGCCTAGAGGCGGGCATTAGTAGACCCGCCCCCCGTCTTTCTATCACCAGTGATTACAGTAGTTTGAACAGTAATCATAGTGATACACAGCCGTCATCATCTACAGGAATAAATAATAATAATAATAATAATAATAATAATAAATGTAATGATGTTGGTTTAGATCATCTGTTTGATTCTGACTCCTCTAGATCTGAATATGAAACAAGGTGATGAATTCATGAAATCACTACGATCCATCTCAAAGGGACAACTCCCAATAAATTAACGTTTTTTAACCTTTTTCAGAGAAACTTTGAAGAAGATATTGTCGTTTTTCTATGGATTAATTATTTTTGTTCGGCCTAAGGTTTATAGGGTACCGTTGTGAATCAGACAACGGATATTCCACTCTTCGAGGGAATTAACGCAAAAGTAATTTTAAGAGCTGAAATGTTGTCATTTAAGATTTTATTTTTATTTTCTATTTTTACTATATTTTGTAGGGAGAAAGGAGTGAGGGAAACCCCACTGGTTGGTGGGGAAAATGAGGATGAGGGGGGAAATCATGAACATGGGGAAAATTCTCCCCCTTTTCCCCTGGAGAAACCTGCCTTAAAAGAAACACGATCTATCAGTTCTTCATTTTTCAGGTAAAATCACGAGAAAAAAAAAACAATACTATCAAAATAAGTTCAAGTGGTCAATTCTTACAATTTCTTCCATAGTTTCTATAGCAAGAAATCCGTTAGTCAATATCTACAGAAACTAGTATTGAAAGTAACTAATTTTGAAAGATACCTAATGAATATCTCATCTATTCTTGAATAGTTATACCAGGCTTTAAATGTTGCGAATCAGACATACCGCTTTGAGGTTCACTTTGTCAAAAGTATTTTTACGAACAAAGATTTTTTAAAAGTTATTTTTTTTATTTAGATCCCCTAAGATGATACACAAGCTTGAGACCAGCGAGAAAAGAACAAAAAGAATTTTAAGAAAAACTAATTCTTGGCATCAGGCAACTCAACAGGTTTGTACAAAAATGAGAAAAATATAAATCTGAGAAAATGTCTAGTTATATTCGTCTTGTCTAGTCCTTATAGTTTTGTTTTCCATTCCCTGGCAACAAAAAACATATTTTTTCCCATTTCCCATTTCTCCCTATATAACTCCCATGCTAAAACTCAAACTTAAGTTGTGTGAATTTTATCTTGATGATTTTCTGCATTGGGTTTGTAAGATTTCCACTTGTAAATTACGTTGTTTTTAAGCCTCATGTTTCAAAAATATTAATTAAGTTTTAGAATTGGTTATTTTTCTCAAGTTTTAAAACTCCCTCTTGTTTTAAATTTTAAATTTTATGGGTTAATAAAATTTGCTCCCCCCCCCTCCACCGTTTTATGGGATAGCTAGGGTTAAAATTATTCCCTCAAGATTTTCCGCTGCAGGTTTAATTGATGGAAATTTGGGACATAATTGTCAATATTGAAAATTGTAAAAAGAAGATTTAATATCGGAAAACAGAAAATCTTTAGATAACTATTAGTTTTTAGAAGGATTGCCATTGTATTAATTGCTGAGAAATAACGGTTTATGTATATTTTGTTCCAGGCTGAGCTGGAATATTATAATATTGAAAATCTCATCTCATCTTAAAATATGATAAACCAACCTTAAACTAGATTTAAAGCTCATAGTTATATATTTCATGCTTGTCACTCAGAAGTAAAAACTGTATTCCTTCAAAACAAAGGAATTAAGACTTTTCTACAAAGTGCAAACTTAATTTGTCTCATCCCTATATCTTTGCAACCTGATTATTGATCTAACTGAATTCATAGTTTTAAATATTTCAGGTTTATAACATGGGGTTGCATAAATGTAAGGATTAGAAAATCAGAGTTTGTCATAAAGATTCATTTCATTAAAAAAATATAAAATCGAAAGACGGGTCTATACAATGCTCAATTGATTTTAACTGCAACCTTGCGATTCCATTAGCGCCTGATCCAATTAGGGTTCCGTCATGTGTTTGGTGTCTATTCTGAACCAATAGAAATAGTATGGCAGTATCATCTATCTTTCTATCTATCTCATCATCCAATTATATTTGAATCCTTATATCGGGGCTAAACAGTAAATGGAAATATTTACTTTTACTGAAATTACAGTGCACTGCAAACTTGATGGATAGGACAAGAAAGCCAAGCAAATTCGGCGAACATCATTTATAAATGTTGTACTTTTAATGAAACATTTAAATATGTATAGATCATGGGATGGAATTAATCCAAGTTTAGCACGGTACGAACTTCGTAGAGCTTTCATAATACATCAAAGATGGCAGTGGCAATACGGCGGGAAGAAAAATAGACGAGCCGGGACTATAAATTTTAAACAAGATAATAAGTGATTAAATAAGATTTTAAGGAAGGATTGTTGACACCAGGATATTTTTAAAAAACCATGATTACTTATATCATTACTTATATACAAAAAGTTTAAACCATCAGATAGCAAAGATATGGGGATTAGAACATTTGCGTTTGTGGCAAAGGCACAATTCATTTGTTCCCCCGTTCTTAGATTTCAAATTTTTTTCTTACAATTTTCTATTTTTTAGGATGATCCGAGGGCATCTTTCTCCCTCTTCTCTCCGGCAGGATCTATAGATCTTTTATCAGGTATCGGGTTCAATCACACCATCTTTGAACGTCGTCTTCAAATATATTTCAAGTCTTTTTCCCCACGATTCAATCCTCTAATTTTACTGTCAAAATAATATCTATTTTTGTCATGGTCATGGGTATTATTTAGTGCAAAAACGTTTTTGCCGGGATTTTTACTTTTTATAGTTCGGTTAATATTGAAATATTAGGCGCAAATTTTAAATTTCAATAACAGGTCTAAAAAGTTATTTTATCGCTCTGTTGTAGGGCGATAAAGTCCAGTTGTCGCCCAACAAGGGGGAAAATTTGCTGTTATAAATTCCCTGAAAACTGAATGAAGAATTTAAATAGAATCATAAATGTTTTTTTAAAAAGTATCTTAGGAATTACACTATTTTATTTTTGTTTCTAATGGTTTTGACTCATACTGTAATGTAAAACTGTTTAGGAATCAGAAAGCATCTAAGTAAACTGGATTTAAACATGTTGGAAGATTAGAAAACAACAGAGGAATAAAGAAGAAAGAAAAACAAAAATGAAACAAGTGACTGGAAATAAAATTTGTTTTCCAGTCTCAGTCTCTGCTTTATGGATACAGTGTTTCCATCAACACATGTTTTAATATGTAGTAGAGAGTAAATGTCGTCCTCTTGAGATTAGTTGCTGAGTTGTTGCATTTTATTACTTCAATATTGATTTAAGTTACTATCACAGAATATCAAATGAAAACGATACTTGTAGCATAAAATCATAGAAAGCTTCTAAAAAATCCCAAAAAATGACATTTATATTTCGAAAATTGTCTTTTTGAAACTCATTGGTAAACGACCCCGAAGTGTTTCTCTTAATTCGTTTTCTCCATGAGAAATGTAAAAATTGTAAAAATTGTAAAAATTGTCTATTTATATATTTATATATTTATATATTTATACATATTGGGACATAAATCGGATATGGGACATCAATAATTTGGAACTTGGGCCGCGCATCCAAACTTTAGTTTTCTTAGTTTCTAAGATTGCGTAAGATACAGGGTGTCCTGCAAAGATTAAAGGTCGTCTTTAATCTTTCAAAAATTATAATAAAAATTAAACGTCTTTGAAGCCAATTCCATCATATGTGTATATATATAGTAGCTGAAATTACCGTGGCCCGTGGGTTTCCTCAAAAAATGTCAGCCAATTCGGTAAGACTCCGACCGTTGGCCAGCTATAGCTAATATATAGATTTGCATTGTGCAATGTAGCAACCAAAAAGATTTTAATTTGTGTGCAACCTTTGAGAGCTATAAAACACCAGCATCGACATTAAAGTCGTTTCTCAACAGCCATGTGTACTTGGACACCCTTTAACTTCTTAGGATCTTATATAATCTATTGAACTATTTATTTATTTATTTATTTATTTAACTAATTATTTATTTATCTAAAAACAAATATTTAATCATTTATCAAGTTAAACAAAAACTATTTAACACTGTTTTTGTAGCTTTCTATTTATTTTTTATTCTAAATATTTAAAAAACTCATTATCGAATCTCCATTTATTAAGATTTATATTTTTGCCAAAACTTAATTATCTATTAATATCTAATAATCTTGACATATTTATATTTATATAATGGTAGGTGGATATGGAATGTATGGGCTGATGGGTAAAACATGTAAAAATGTAATTTGTTGAAACATTTATTGAAAATATAATCATTAAATCAAGCAAAAACATTTTTATTAACACAGGATTTAAGTCTTTCCCACAAACTCAAATTTTCTAATCCATTTATCTTTTAAACCTGATGATGTAAACCTTTGATATTTTACACATAGATTGTTTAATCTAACAGAATTCTCAGTTTGAAATATTGAACTATCTATTGGGTTTTAAAGATATGGGTATTAGAAAATCTGATTTTGAAACAAAATTTTAAAAAATTTCTTCACGCTTTGTGCACAACATTTTTCCTCTTCTCTAGAAAATTTAGAAAGTCTCCAGAATGGAGATGATGAATTTCATATGTTTAACTTTTGAGACATCGATATATCATAAATATAAGGTCGTTATAAAAGCTTTCGATGTCTTCTAAGCTCTGGGTTTAACTGCAGCTTTATTAGGTTTCACGAAAAAACTTAAATAAACTGCTTAAAAATTCTTTATTTCAAATGTTAAAACAAATTTTTACATAGATATAAGTTCAAGAAAAAAATAAAAGACGGAAAAATATATAAAAATGGATTAATATATTTGTTGAAGAAATTGATGATGATGAGAAGGAATTGTACTTCATGAAAGTGGGAGAAATGATCTGAAAAATATATAAAAATGGATTAATATATTTGTTGAAGAAATTGATGATGATGAGAAGTGAATTGTCCTTCATAAAAGTGGGAGAAATGATCTGAAAAATATATAAAAATGGATTAATATATTTGTTGAAGAAATTGATGATGATGAGAAGTAAATTGTCCTTCATGAAAGTGGGAGAAAAGATCTGAAAATCCAATTTTAGTTTTATTAAAGATTGAAGAAGAGTCGAAGTGTTGTAAAAACAACTTGATAAAACTAGAGAGAGAGAACACTGCATAAGAATGAGGCTTAGTCTAACTTCGTCTAAGGTGCTAAGCTTAGAAAGAGAAGCAATATGATAAAAAGGGAATTTTCATTAAAAAAAAACTTTTATTTAATATAAAAAGGGGAGTGTTCGCGAAAAATGAAAGGGGGTACAGGCTTACGGCTAAAAATAAGCACTTTGGATTTGTTACGTCTATAAGGAGAAAATTGTTAAAAACGACTCATACCGAATTATTATGATTATTTTACAATCCGAGTTGAATGTTGGGACTTTCTTAATTTGTATGGAAACTACGTTCTGCGGTATGAGTCGTTTTAACAATTTTCTCCTTTTAGACTCAAAAGATAGAAGTAAGATTAGTAGTGATCTAAAGCGCTTATTTTTTGCCGTAAGCCTATAACCCTATTTCATTTTTCGCAAACACTCCCTTTACGTTGGTTCTGTTTTATTTTGGTTTCATATTCCTCTAAACGAATCTTAACAATTCAGAAGAAATATCGTGAAAGAAGCAATTCTTTTGTAATAATAATTCGTCTATAATAAATAGTTCTTATTTCAAAAAAGGTCAAAGTAATAAAAACCCTAAGATGGATCGATTTGCATTTTCTAAATAAAATGGAAATAATGGCATTATTTCATTCTCTAGAAATAAAATGAATAAAAAATGAAAATAGAAACAATCAAATTAAAGGGTGTGTTCGCGAAAAATGAAAGAGGTGTATAGGCTTACGGTGAAAAATAATCGCTTTAGATCGCTACTAATCTTACTTCTATCTGTTGCGTCTATAAGGAGAAAATTGTTAAAAAAGACTCAAAGCAAAGAACGTAGCGTCCATACAAATTCAGAGAGTTGCAAATATACAACTCGGACCGTAAAGAAATCTATTTATTTTTTAAAAAGTCATTCAGATAATACAACCTGAAGTCATCGATTATTTTCGACGTATTCATATTTAGTTAATATTTCATAAAATTTTTAATTTTAATTAAAACGCCGAAATAGTTGGCCGCCAGGTGTCTCTGCTCTCGATGGTTTGAATGATCACACGTGGCAAAGACACCTAGCGGAAAAACGTCGTTTAAAGTGCAATTGTATATAGAACAAATTAATATAAAGAAATATATATATAAATATAAATATAAATATAAATATATAGAATTTTTATTATTTAGTACCTTGAGAGTTGGTAGGCGAGGTTTGCTAGACGGTTTGAGAATCTCTCATTCTGCTCAATCATTCTTTAAATAAACAAATATTTTAAAGGGACTGTCATCATTTATACTGACTCTACCTCGATCAAAAAAGTTTGTTTTTCCGATTGTTATTGCGATTATGCCCTTTTTAAGTTGTCAGAATTTATAAACAGAAGGAATTGAGTTTTACCACAAATTTATATTTTCTAATCTCTATGTCTTGGCAACCCACTTTGATAGTTCAAACTTTCATTTCGGTTTCATTTCAGTTTGAAATATCAAAGGATTACACCAAAAATTAGAAAGTTGGAGTTTGTGGCCAAAACTAAGCTTCCTTGACATTTGTCTGCCTGCTAAACTATTTTCGTTCTCAGTGTCTTCATTTGCTGAAAACTGCGACGTTTTAAATGTCAAATTTCGACTTTTAAGAAAAACGATTTAAAAACATTTTGTTAAAAATACGACCTTTTTAAGTTGTCTGCTAAGAAAGTAAAAATGTTCTTGTTATGAAGATATCTACATCCTGCCTCGGAGTGCAACAAGGAACAAAAATGAACACCTGAATTTCAAATGTACGTTATACATTTGAAAATATAAAAATGCGAATCAACAGTTGTTTTGATGTTTTAAAAGAAGGATTTCATTTTTTTATGTTTTTCCGAAACAATCTCTGTGAAAAGTATTTTCGAACCGTCATTTCGATTTTTATAATAAACGAAAAAAAACCACATTTTGTTGTTAAAATTTGTATTAAAATAAGTAAAATATATTATTTGATGATTATCACAAACACTTTTGTAAACTTTAGCGAAAAATAAGTCATATTTGAATAACATAAAGCAAAATTTATCGCAAAAATATACCGCGAAAAAAGCTTTTTAAAAGTTGTTACAAAAAATGGTGCTTCTCATTGGTCATGGAAATGTTCAATGTTTTCAACAATTTTCACCGACCGGTCTTTGGACCGTTCTATATCCTACCAGTCACTATGGCTGGGCACGTTCCACCTTTTCCTAACCGTTTCGTTAACGGTTAGTTACCGTTAAAAAATAAAGACATTTTATGTAGCCGTTAGTTTTACAGGAACGGAACGTTCTTTTCGTTAACGGTATTTTCCGTTTTTAAAGTTACCGTACGTTAGTTAACGATCTCAATTTTATTAATGGTGTTAACAGAAATTATTCTGCCGTTAACGGTTGTTTTTTGCAATTAACAGCATTACATTTTTAAATTAATTTTTCTTAAAACATAAAAAGCCAGGGAATTTCAAGGGTCAAAAATAAGAGTGCAGGAGAAAACAAAGTAATTGAGTTTTTGACCCAAACTGAAAATGTCTAATCCCCAAATCTTTCAAATCTGATGGTTTAAATGTTTGATATTTCAAACTTAGAATATTTGATCCAACAGAATTTTTAGTTTGAAATATCAAAGGTTTACGGCATCGGGTGAAAGAGATATAGGGATTAAAAAATCAGAGCTTGTGGGAGGAACTTAATTCCTTTTAGAGTAAAGATACATATTTTCTTTCTTTAAGCTTCAACATTTTTCTTTGCATTCATACAGTTCAAAGGGAAATGCAATAAAGTTTGAAATAAATGAATAAATTCAAAATATAGTTTTGCATAAAATTATTTTTTATTTTCATAAATATTGTAAACACTAAAATTTCCACAATTTCTTAATGATTAAATTTCATAGTTTCAAGTTTAGCAAATGTTTGTGAATTTCGCAAATCCAGTGTCATTATGATCAATTTTTTAAATCCTAAACATGAATAATTAAAATCATAATATATAGTCCAATGAGCCTATTGATGTAACCTTTGAGTTCACAAACTCTTGTTATTTGATCGAACGGAATTTATTGTTTGAATTATCTAAGGTCTACAACATTGGTTTCCGATGATGGATTAGAAAATCAGAGTTTGTGTCAAAGATTCAATTCCTTGGGGAACATTTTTAAGTGGTATGATAGGCTTGAAGCAATTTGAGCAAGGTTCGAAGGGATTGATTGACAATATTATAAAAATAACAACAAGACACAAAAGTGTGAGAACAAACCAGAAGACATCAATTTTAAAATGTCGTCTTCATATTTCTGTTTGTTCTGTCTGGATGATATTCAAGTCTTTACCTGAGCAATATATTTGTCCAGACGTGTCCGCACAGTTGACATCCGAACTATAAAATCAGGAAGGAACTCGGATGTATCAAGGTAAGCCTCCATTGCAACTTCCCAATCTAAAATCAAGTTTTTAGTTTTTCTAGAAAACTGTCATTAATTCCTGTGATTTAAATATTGCAATCTCTCAACTTCAAGCAAACATCTTTCAGCATTTTCTCAATAACTCCTTTTAAATGTTAGCCAGAAAACAAGTGCTTCCTAGTCATAACAATAACATGTCTAGGGCTACAAGTTTGATTGAGTTAATGAGTTAAAATCGAAGACTGCAAGGCGTTGCGACGGATCAAAGTTGACCCCGTCTTGAAAATTAATGCAATTTCTCAGAGCATTCAGGATCTATGTTCAGCGAAATTTTGAGATCCCGGAAACGCATTCGGGTTTTCTAAGATTTCAAAAAGTTTGGACCTAATTTATAATGACTAATGGGTATAGTCAAGATGACTTTACCCAAGGTACTAATGCAAGGAAAGTTAATTGCAGTTGCGTATAATCTGCATACTTATTGAAACCAGTTCTCTCTGGGCGGAATTTGTAAACAAGAATAGATGCATTCAGTGTTCGCTTAGTATCCAAGGAGTATAAAAGCATTACATTTTGATAATTTTGATAATATACAAAATAGTTTCCTATGACCACAATATTTCAATGATTTTTTAAGTAAAATATGGATCCCATGTCAGGCTTCGACATCCGTCCTGTGTTTACATTACCGCCCAGAGGCAGTACACTGCAGTACAAAAGATGCGTACACCTCTGAAATAACTGTCCTTTTATTATATTCTTGAATATGCCCGATTAACAAGGGTACCCTTAAAAGCTTAGTTCAGTATGAAATGTAAATCAATGTTATGAATTGGAAAACAGTGTTTCTACACAAGGAAAACATAAAGGAATTACAAAATAAAAACACTGTTAAACCTAGAAAAACGACAATATCTTCCAAATTATCAGATTAGATTAGGTTTGTAAATCGGGCATTGCCATCTTTGCATGGAGGGTCACTTGAAATTATGCTTTTAAACTGTTTTTTTTTATACCTTGAGATTTAACCTTCCGGTCAACCCTGGTCTGCTCTTGTCCTATATATGACCTGCCTCGGGGCATGTTTCCTAAATACAGAGAGAAGGTCGTGCAGGGATATTTAGAAAAAATTATACAGGCCGAATTTAAAGAATTTAAACCGCGTCTCTGAACCGCCTAAAACCGGTTCCAATTGAGCCAGCTAGCTCAAATCTCGAAACGCTAAATATACAATTTCAAGTGGAACCAACCATGTTTGAGCCGCGTCTCAAATTTGAGACTCGTCTCAAAATCTTTAAATTCGGCCTCTGGTTACCTTCCAGTGTAAACTTTAAATGCCTCAATAGCTCTGGATTAAGTGAAAAGCAAGATAAATGTTCAACTACTACTTCAAGTTCATCTTTATCATTCCAAAAACTTTGGGAAACCCAAAAACTCTGGAAAAGGAAGACGACTTTGAGAATCAGTGTGTGTCTTTAAAAAGTCCAATAAAAATTAGACACAGCAATTGTGCAGAGTAAACTTAATAACTTAATATGTGATTTAATAAGTTACTAGTGATACTATTTGCGATGTAACTTATAAGTATCGTCTTATTTCACAGTTTTCTGGTTCTTACTGTACAGTACATTATCACTTTTCAGTAAATCCGACCTGAATATCCAGAACGCCATTTTAATTTCAATTTATAATTTAAACTTAAACATTTATCTGGCAAATGTAATTAAAAGAAAATTTTCAGACTTTAAAATATGAAAAAGATAATTTCAAAAAAGTAACACTACCGTTCGTATGCTAAAAAACGCATGATTTAACAGGGTATTAAGTTGAAATATTCTAAACACCAAATATTTACATATTTTGATCCATATTTACATATTTTGATCCATATTTACATATTTTGATCCATATTTTAAACTTTTGAAAAACTTTCATTTATATTCTTTAGTAAATACTGAAAATGATGAAGGTCGCAAAGTAGTAAATTCTGAAAATGATGAAGGTTGCAAAGTAGTAAATTCTGAAAATGATGAAGGTCGCAAAGTATATTTTGAATCCTATTTATTCAGAAATGGGGCTGCTGATTCAATTCTAGAAAATGCCATCTATGATTCACAATTTCCCAGTTAAACTCTGCAGCACAGACAAGCAACAAATATTTTTAGCGTTTTATATGTCAGACAAATATTCTAATTATCATTTTTCAAAAAATATTGCTAAAAACTAATATCATCAATTTTTTTTTGTTATTTATTAATATTTTATTGTAAATCAAAATGCATTTCTTGGAATGGTCATATTAATTAAATTATCGTAAAATAAAAAAATTAAAAGTTACTTTTAAATCTGAAACATTTAGGTCTGAGAATGTTGAAAAAGATGTATCCAACATTGGCGATATGTTCATCTACATTAGCATTCAACAAACATTCCCTAAAATAGTATACAGTCGTCGTCGTATAGTCAATACAATTAGGGATGTTAACGTTTTCATTTTTTTTGAAAAACGATCGTTTTGTTATGAAAACGACGACGAAAAATCGAAAACGATCGTTTCTATAAAACTCGTTGTTTCGTTAATGATCGATAACGACGAACCTTAGTTAACAATTATTAACGACAACCAGTCGTTAACGATCGGTAAGAGAGGAAACTGACCTGACGGTCATCTGTACTTATCATTGAGTAGTTTTTAAGAAAATATCAGGAAGTTTTATCTTCCCCACAACTGTTTAATTTCGTGTAAAACGACATTCAATTAAGTTGCATGTCATGTTTTTTCAAAAACGATATTTTTTCCAAAAACGACCGTTTTTATAACGTTCGTCGTTACGTTAACGATCGTTAACGACAACCCTTCGTTAGCAATTATTAACGACGATCGTTTTTTTCAGAAGTGATCATTTTTTTAAAAACAATCGTATAAAAAACGGTCGCAAATCGTTTTTGAAAACGATCGTTATTCGCTTTTTAAAAGTTCAAAAAGAAACGATAGTTTTTTAAAACGATTGAAAACCGAAACATAAACGATTATTTAACGTTCGTTTTCAAAAACGATTAACAACCCTAAATACAATGAAGACGATTTCAATTTCGATTTTTATCGACCTTTAAACCAGGATGGATACACATAAACATGGAAGCAAAGATGAGCTGTCAATTAACAGATTCTCTTTGTTTACTCTTGGGCTCAGTAACATTTTGCCTAGTACACCTTCGCCGAGTACATGTTCGCCTAGTTCAAGTTCGCCTAGACAACATTTTGCCTAGACACAGTTTGCCTAGATAACATTTCGCCTGGATAACATTTTGCCTAGATAAAATTCTTCAAATTATATTTAACCAGCTTTTGGAACAAAAAAATACGCAATTTTTACTGTAAATATTTCACAATTATCGTTTTGGGTACTACTATTCACAGACTTGGATTGAAAAACGGGGTGGGAGGAGAGCATTGTTCCCGCCCTGTATTTGGAACCAGTACGGCACAGTTTTAGAGGATGGAATGGAAACAAACAATATGCTGGAATCCTTTAATCGTATCTGGAATTTATTGTCTGGGTACAGTCCAAATGTTTGGCACATTCAGGACCAGTTTGTCAAACAAGATGCTGATGCAAGACGCGCATTTCTTTCTAATTCAGTTGGCCAGGATATGGCTGATAATACAGGCAGAAAGCAGAGAGCCAAGGATGCAAAACAGAGGGTTAAACTGGTGGTAGTAGCTTTTGCTACAATGCCTAAAACTGATTATCTGAAAATGCTGGCTCATGATCTCCAGCGAGCTAGAGCTCGGAGAATCATTGTCCTTGAGGATCATGATTCTTTGACCATAGGTTGAATGTTAATAATAATAATAATAGTGCCCTTTAAGAAAAAATTTGTAAACATTATTATAATACATTTTTTTCTTTTAATTGAATTTCTTGAGAAAAAAGAGGAACTTTAGAAATTTTTGAAAAAAATTAGTGAATTATCTAGGCGAAAATTACCTTCTAATGTTATCTAGGCAAAATGTTGTCTAGGCAAACTGTGTCTAGGCAAAATTTTTTCTAGGCAAAATGTTATCTAGGCAAAATGTTAGTAGGAAAACATGTACTAGGCGAAAGTGTACTAGGCGAACTTGTACTACGCAAAATGTTACTGAGCCTTATAAACTTGTAATTTCTAAAAAATCTTGTTGGAAATCAAAACATTAAATATAAAAGTCGTCTTCATTGTATTGATATAAATGCCGACTGCTGATTACTTGCCACAATCTCTAATCATATCTTTATCTTTGCAACTTTTAATACTTCAAACTTTGACTATTTTGACCGGCAGTTTAAAAAGGTCTACAAAAGAATACTACTGCAAACATTTTAGAATCAGAGAAATATATAGAGATTGTTAAAAGTGATTGAACTAGGTAGAGCTGGTTCAACTACTTCTTCTTTACACTTATAGTATAAGAGCAATACCTACTTTTTATAGTTAATTTTTAAAAAGTTAAAAGTTTTCTGGAATAAATAGTTTTTTACCTGAATTGTGAATCACAAGCACAGTGTGATACAGTTATAGGACTCAGGTTGCACAATCCATATCTACAAAATTAAGAATAAACAAATTTAAAAAACCATTTATATGAGAAAATTGAAAAAATTACAAAAAAAATATGAAAAATACTGAAAAGTTAAATTTAAAGTAATCAGGGGAAAATAAATTTTAAAAAAAATCACCTGCACTCCCCAAACTCTAGATTGTCAGCACACTGGTCATGATCCCGACAACAGCTGAGAAAAAGATAAAATTCATGATCCCGACAACAGCTGAGAAAAAGATAAAATTCATGATCTCGACAACAGCTGAGAAAAAGATAAAATTTATGATCCCGACAACAGCTGGCCAGCAAGAAGTCCGATTGCTCCAATAGATCCGTTAAAACTTTTATCTTTATCATTCTAACCTGTCTAAAGATCCAAGAAGTCCGATTGCTCCCATAGTTCCGTTGATTAGATTCCCACGACCGCACCAAAACGTCCCAGGATAAATTGAACTACAGATAAAAGTAAACTTTTTTGAAAATATTAATTTAAAAATTAATTGAAATGAATTGAGTCTTTGCCACGAGCTCAAATTTTCTATTACCTTTATCCTGAGCAACTCAATGTTGTAGATCATTTCCAACTATTAATTCTGTTGGATCAAAAATATCAAAGGTTTAAACTATCGGGTTGCAAAGATATAGGGATTTGAAAAGTTTGTTGCCAAGAATAAATTCCTTTTTAACGACTTTACATATTGATTATTTCATTGATAAGATTATTAAATCATTTTCAAATCAAGATAATTTTAAAATTCTGTTCTTTCTGAAATACATTAAATAAAATTCAACCTGATTGAGTTGAAATCTGCAAATCTCTTCACCTTAAGCATATTTAAATTATTCATAGAAATGTCAAGCACCATCTACAGAATATGAGATGGGGGAATGGAGATTAACAACGGAAATGTAAAAAAATATTTTTGTTTATGCAGAATTATGGCTGTTATTATGTTATTGTTATATACATTTTAATGACTTTTATGGGCTTAAAAAGAAAAACAATATCGAAAAAAAATTGACATAAACAATTTAAAACATCATTGAGATTACCTTGTCAAAAGAGAAATAAATTTTTAACATAACCTTTCTGACATCAGAATGATTTTTGTAAATAAAAAATTGCTGGTTTAAAAACTTTCATAGTCGTAATTTGAGGCTCTTCACTGGAATTCTGGTTTACGAGTTCTACACGGAAATGATCCAGAATTTTTCCCTATTTCCATTATAATCATTTCCAGAACTGTTTTTTTTCGAGAATCCGCAAAATTTTTCCGTTTTATAGGATGGAAATCGGATTTTTTTCGGGTACGGATGGAAACCAAAAATTTTCCGGTTTCCATTACATCCAGAATTCCGCTTTACGGACAAATTCTCCGAATCATTCCATTTCAAAAATGGACTTTTATTTCTGAATAATGGAAACCAAATGTGTTGTTATGTATTTTAATCACCTTTCCTTGAAATTTAGGTTTTTCTACAAAGATATATTTGATCTCGTCTAGGATATAACACAGCTTCTCAAGCATATTAAACCCTTCAGCAGGGAGAACTATTCGTCCTGTTCCATGGTCCACCTAGATACAGAGGATACAGTTCCTGTTCCATGGTATACCTAGATACAGAGGATACAGTTCCTGTTCCATGAACTATATATGCAGAAGATACAGTTCCAGTTCCATAAACTATATATTCAGAGGATACAGTTCCTGTTCCAGGAACTATATATGCAGAGGATACAGTTCATGTTCAATGAACTAAATATGCAGAGGATACAGTTCCTGTTCCATGATCTACCTAGATACAGAGGATACAGTTCCTGTTCCATGAACTAAATATGCAGAGGATACAGTTCCTGTTCCATGAACTAAATATGCAGAGGATACAGTTCCTGTTCCATGACCTACCTAGATACAGAGGATAAAGTTCCTGTTCTATGGTCTACCTAGATACAGAGGATACAGTTCCTGTTCCATGGTCTACCTAGATACAGAGGAAGCAGTTCCTTTTCCATGATCTACCAAGATACAGAGGATACAGTTCCTGTTCCCTGGTCTACCCAGATACAGAGGATACAGTTCCTGTTCCCTGGTCTACCCAGATACAGAGGAAACAGTTCCTGTTCCATGATATAGATAAAGAGGATAAAGTTCATGTTCACTGATATAGATACAGAGGATACAGTTCCTGTTCCATTATATAGATACAGAGGATACCGTTCCTGTTCCATGATCTACAGTGTCTTTCTAATGTCTTTTTTAAATCGATATTTACAATAATAAACACAAAGTTAAATTGTTTGAATCTTCTATTTTTGAATTCTACAGTTTGGGACATTTGAAAAAACAAATTAATTATCTCCAATCATAATCACTTTATGCTTGCTCAAGCTCTACTTATATTGAGCACCAATCCTTTGAAAACAGGCCACAGTGCTCGGCGCCGGAGGTGATGAACGGCTTTCTGTACATCTTTTGATTCCAGAGACTGTGCAAAGGACTCCACATGCTCTGCAGTCTGTTTCTGGTCGTCATTATTTGTATGAGGAACCCTTTTAAGCTCTGCTAATAGGGGGATTAAACAACAGATTTAAAAGTCGAATGACAAATCAGGCCAGCAAAGAGTCCAGATTTGTCGCCTTTGGACTACTGGTGCTGGAGTATTGGATTAGAAAAACTTAAAAGGGTTCCTCAAACAAATAATGACGACCAGAAACAGACTGCAGAGCATGTGGAGTCCTTTGCACAGTCTCTGGAATCAAAAGATGTACAGAGAGCTGTTCATCACCTCCTGAAACAAACTGTGGAGTCCTTTAAAGAGTCTCTGGAATCAGAAGATATGAAGAAGGCTGTTCATCACATACGGTGCCGAGCACTATAAGATCACTACAGCCTGTTCTCAGATGAAAGGAGATCAATTTGAGCAGAGCTTGAGCAAGCACAAAGGGATAATGAATAGAGATTATTGATATGTTTTCTTAAATGTCCCAACCTGTAGATTCAAAAATGTAAAATATAAACAATTTAACTTTGTGTTTTTATTAATGTAGAGCGGTTTAAAAAAGACAAACCATTAGAAAGACAGTGTAGATACAGAGGATACAGTTCCTGTTCATTATGTAGATACAGAGAATACAGTTCCTGTTCCATTACATAAATACAGAGGATACAATTCCTGTTCCATGATCTAGATACAGAGGATACAGTTCCTGTTCCATTATATAGATACAGAGGATACAGTTCCTGTTAAATGATTTAGATACAGAATATACAGTGCCTGTTCCATGGTCTAGATACAGAGGTACGGTTCCTGTTCCATCATATAGATTCAGAGGATACGGCTCCTGTCCCATCATATAGATACAGAGGATACAGTTCCTGTTCCATGATCTAGATACAGAGGATACAGTTCTTATTCCATGATTTAGATACAGATTATACAGTTCCTGTTCCATTATATAGATACTGAGGATACAGTTCCTGTTCCATTATATAGATACAGAAGATACAGTTCCTGTTCCATTATATAGATACAGAGGATACAGTTCCTGTTAAATGATTTAGATACAGAATATACAGTGCCTGTTCCATGGTCTAGATACTTAGGATACAGTTCCTGTTCCATTATATAGATAATGAGGATACAGTTCCTGTTCCATTATATAGCTACAGAGGATACAGTTCCTGTTCCATGAGTTAGATACCGAATATGCAGTCCCTATTTTATTACATAGATACGATATCTGCTTTAAGATTGAATGTAAATTTTTAGAGTCAAACCCCTCTGTTCTTTGAAAACTAAAAGCTAAACTAAAAGTGGAATTAAATTTTTATGACAAAAAAAACAAGTTTTGTTCTTTATAAATGCAATTATTCATGATACAAAAGACATTCATGTCAAAGAAATTTTTTTTTGATTGTGTTAAAAGTTAATTTTAAAGATGGGCTTTTTTAATTACATCTTGCGAAAAAATGAGAAATCTTTTTGTTTTGTTTTGTTTCTAAAACCTGAGAAATGTTGTCGTTGAAAGAACAAAATTTTCCTGAAAGTAAAATTAATTCTTCACTTTCTGCTTTCCTGGAAACATCAGTTGTTTGAAGTTGTGAATATTTGTATAGAACAAAAGCTGCACCAAGGACGCTTCGCGCCATGTTTAAGAATTTTAATAATACTGCTCCGTTTTCTTAATCATACAAGCCTAATGGCAAAAACTAGTTCTAACAATTCTTGAACTCGATTTGTGTAAGTTAAGTGAAATATCTTAAAACGAAATTTTTTATCTTAAATATCTTAATCAAGGCTATCTTAAATATCTTAAAACAAAGTAATTTATTTTAAACATCTTAAAACGACGTTATCTTAAACATCTTAAAACGACGTTATCTTAAATATCTTAAAACAACGTTATCTTAAATATCTTAAAACGCAGTTATCTTAAATATCTTGAAACGACGTTATCTTAAATATCTTAAAACAAGGTATCTTAGACATCTTAAAACAAGGTTATCTTAAATATCTTAAAACGAGGTTATCTTAAATATCTTAAAACGACGTTATCTTAAATATCTTAAAACGACGTTACCTTAAATATCTTAAAAAACGTTATCTTAAATATCTTAAAACGACGTTATCTTAAATATCTTATCAGGTACAGGATTAAAGGTAAGGCCCTATGTAAAAGAACTGCAGAGAATTCGCACGGTAAATCTTTAAATAGAAACCACTGAGACTAAACCAAAGCTGTGACGTTCAATCTTTTCGTAAATAAAACTTCTTAAAAAGTATAATTTGTAAATGACAACTTTTAAAAAGTCAATATAATAATAATAAAAAAAATAGCCTTTAATAATGCACAGGTATTCTTTTTTATTATTCTTTTTACGAAATATCTAAAGTTTTCGTTATTTTTCACGTTTTTCAACGATATTTCCGTTCCTAACAAGAAGATCACTGTACACTGGTTCCACAAGAAGAATTTGAACAAGAATAAGAACAAGAAGAGGAGAAAGGGAGGACAGAGGGAACCAAGAAGATGAAGGAAGAGGTGGGAGGAATAGTAATTCTTTCATTTCAGCCTGAGACAGTTAGACTGACAGTGGTCCGTCAAGATAAATCCCCCCAGAGGCTGCTCTAGTTTATCGGTCAGATTCCTGCGGCGCACCCTAGTAACCGTTAGTCGGTGAATATTACTCACGAGCTAGCGAGTTCTTTAATTGAGTTCTTGTATTGTCTAAAGGAGTTAAGGTGGGAACTAGATTTAGAAAAGTTAATCCTTAAACCCTTAACTCATCTGGATTAACGGGTTATCAATAGAAACCTTAATCCATTTATCTCAAATATTTCTAAAAATTAATACAGACAAATGTCAGAACAGGGGGAAACATTTTTTGTAGCCCTGCGCATGGGGAAATGTTTTTGCAGCACCGCGCATGGGGAAATGTTTTTGCAGCACTGCGCATGGGGAAATGTTTTTACAGCACCGCGCATGGGGAAATGTTTTTGTAGCACTGTGCATGGGGAAATGTTTTTGTAGCACTGTGCATGGGGAAATGTTTTTGTAGCACTGCGCATGGGGAAATGTTTTTGTAGCACTGCGCATGGGGAAATGTTTTTGTAGCACTGCGCATGGGGAAATGTTTTTGAATAAAGTTTCTTCAAAGTTGGAAATCTTTCCTTTCATAATGAAATTAAAAAACAAAGTTAGAAAAATGAATTCGCTAAATGTAGGCGAGAAGCGCTCTGAACCATAACTAGATAAAAGAAATGCAGTTTTTGTTCAATTTTATTTATGAATTGACAACAAACAAAAATATAAATCATAGTTATTCAAAGTATAAACCCAGCTAATTTTATTTCCTATTTTATGATATCATAATTGTTTATTGCTCTATAGAATATATGACCTCCATATATTACTGAATATCTGAATATAACTGTTTAACTTTTCTTGCTTTATGTAATACATTAACAAACGTATGTTCTCATTTAGGACTGGAGTCGTTTTCAGAATCGTTTTTAAACATTCAATTTGGCCTTATACATAGGTTAGAATCTGAGACATTTAATCAATAGTCGAATCTGATTGGTCAATAAGTTTTTCTCCTCACCAAAGTAAATAACCAAAACGACTAAAGATATCAATCAAAACGACCAAAGTTAACCAAACCGACCAAAGATATCAACCAAAACGACCAAAGATATCAACCAAAACGACCAGAGATATCAACCAAAACGACCAAAGATATCAACCAAAACGACCAAGGATATCAACCAAAACGACCAAAGATATCAACCAAAACGACTGTAGAAATCAACCAAAACGACCGTAGATATCAACCAAAACTACCGTAGATATCAACCAAAACTACCGTAGATATCAACCAAATAGACTAAACATATGCCAAAGATATCAACCAAAAAGACTAAAGATGTCAACATAACATTGATAAACATCTTTAAAGTTTTAAGATATCCACAATATTGAATGTTTCAGAAAAGACTTCAACACGATCCCCATCAATTTGGTATATTTATATTTCTAATTAATATTTAATTCAATGCATATATATAATCTATATTTAAATTTGACTTGTCTGTCTGTTTGTTTGTTTGTCTGTTTGTATCCAATAAACGTCAAAACGGCTGAACCGATCGGGCCCAAATTTTTTGTGGGACATCTAGGGACCCCAGGGAAGGTTTATGAATGATCAAAATTTCAAATATTTGTCTCCATCAAAATTCGATCTTCATTAAATTTTTGAAAATTTTGAAAATCCACGAAATTTTTTGTGAAAATCCGCGAATTATTTTTGTTTTGTTTTACGATGTACACAAAGAGAACATGTTCACAATTAATTTAGAAGATGGGCGCGAAGCGCCCTCTAAGGGTAGTATATATAAATATATAATAATATAAAATGAAACAGTTAAATTGTCTAAAACTTAAAAAAAATTGTAAAAAATCTTTAACAAAAGTAAAAATTAAAAAGAAATAAATAAAGTTTTGCTTATTAGAGTATTTTGGAATTGTTTTTTTTTTCTCCACAACTTTGAAGCAAAATTACCCGATACAATTAAAGAATTGTTGAGAGTCGACGTTCAAAATCGTACTTTTTGGTGGATACGAATCGGGTTTTTTTTTTTAAATTTCTAAATAACGACAAAGAAAAATAAATTATATTTATACAGTAATCTAATTAGGTGGTTAGGAACAAATTTCTCAAAAGAAATTTGTCAATAAATCAATGCTAGAATCAAAATTATTTTGTTTCATCATTATATTGAATTTATTATTTTCTTTGAATTTATTCGCAGATTTCTTCAAATTCTTCAAATGTCGTATTTTCAATTTAAATCTTCGTGAATAATGAGAAACCTGAATAATGAGAAAATAGAAACTAATAACTGAACAAGATTACTTATTTTCGACGATAAGATTAATTTTTATTTTCTCAACCTGTTCCTAAACAACTAATTAGTTTACTGTAGAATTTTTTTAACATTTTTTATCGCCGTTATTTAATAATAAAAAACAATTCTGGAGACGTATCCACCCAAAAGTACGATTTTGAACGTCGAATTTGCGCTCAAACTCAGGATTTACAGATCTTTATAAAGTGTTATATGTATCAATACTCAGTTCAAGTACCTTATATAGACGGTCACTCCCTTTAAAGAATTGTTGAGAGTCATAAACTTTTGTAATATCTTATTTTCATCTTCTTAAAATGTTTTGTATGTGAAATTTTTGTTTAAATTTTATAAAAATGTAAAGATTATTTTTTTTTGTATTTGAAAAAAATTTATATATTATAATAATCAAATTTTAGAATGTAAATGTTGAAAAAATGCTAAAATACAGGACAGGAATTGTGCACTGTGTAGTGTATACAGACTCTTTTTACTCATTAAGTTAATTTTCAAGCTATACTGGTTAAGCAATTGAATTAAATGTTTTCTGTCTACTGATCCCACTCTATATAGTTGATCTAATAATTTTCAAAATTAATATCAAACTTGTGAGAAACTGATTTCTCTCCAAATTCTACAGCTTAGTCCGAGTCCGAATTTAAAGAATTTAACGCGGCTTAAATTCATTAAATTCGGACACTGATATCACAGACCTTTGAAAGTTTAAACCATTTGTTAATTGCTAAAGTCAAATATGTAAAGTATGAAATAAACAGATTTTGAATTTGAAATTAACAATGCCCTAAAAAATAGCTGAAATACAATGTTTATTCAATTTTAAACTTTAGATATAATAAAGTCCTGAAGCAATGAACTAATAACCCCCCCCCCCCATTTTGTCCTTCACTTCATGTGGTTTACAGCTATTTAAACGTATTGATATATAAACGCTTCTAATTGTGATGTTTACATCAAATATATCTCCGTATATAGAATATAGCTAGAGTACTATCAGTAAACCCGGAAACTGTTTCCTCTGCAGTTCAAGGCTATTCAATGGGCTTACACAAATATTAATCAAAACAGTTATTTTTAAATTTGTTAAACCATTAGATATATTTCAGTTAAATCTATTCAAACTTGATCCTTCCCCCCTCCCCCCCCCTCCTCATTAAATACTAGATAAATTCTATTTTTAATTTTGAGATACCCCCACTGCTACTCTACTGCACTCTATTATGTGCTATGAGATTGACGCTAATTACTAATATCAAATATGCAATATAAACCGATTAAGTTTAAACATCTGCTCAGTTTATGACTTCAGGCAGTAGGCCTTCCAGCCTAATGCATTGTCATGTGATCTCTTTTTTTCTCGCATTATACAAACAATATTACGTCCTTCTGTCTAAACTGATTTTTAGATTCAATTTTGCTGTCTTGCTGCACGTTTACTTAAATTAATTATTTCTTTGCAGCATAATTTATATTTTTAATTCTATAGTATTTATGGAAAGCAATCATTCAAAGAAAAGCTATAAAAGTATCCTCCAAAGCTATAAAAGTATCCTCCAAAGCTATAAAAGTATCCTCCAAAGAAACTGAGTCTTTGCCACAAAATCTGATTTTCTAATCACTATATCTTTGGAACCAAATGTTGCAGCCTCTAGATATTTCAAACTATGAATTCTGTTAGATCAAATAATCTGAGTTTGAAACATCAAAGGTTTACAACATCGAGTTCTAAAAATATTGAGGTTTAAGTATTTGATTTGTTCCAAAGAATCAATTCCTTTGCATTAAATTATTTTGGAAATTTTTTGAAAGAAAGCTTTTGTTGAAAAGGTATCTCAGAAAAAGCTCTTTTAGGCAAGCAATTAATTGTAGGAAAGCTTTTCTTGCACAACCTTTGCAAGAAAGCTTTAGTTGGAAAGCTGTTATGTTAGAAAGCTTTTATGTTAGAAAGCTATTGCTGGAAAGCATTTTCAAAAAATTATTTTCTAAAAGCTATTGAAAGACAGCTATTGTTGGAAAGTTATTATGCTATAAAGCTATTGCTGAATAGCTATTTTTGTAAACATTCTGTCGAAAAACTATTGTAGGACAACTGTTATGTTAGACAGCTATTGCTTGCAAGCTATTTTACGAACATTATTATCGGAAAGCTATTGTAGGAAAGCTATCGTAGTAAATCTATTGTAGGAAAGTTATCGATGAAAAGCTTTTGTAGGAAAGCTATTGTAGGAAAACTTTTGTAAGAAAGCTATTTTACGAAAATTATTGTCAGAAAGCTATTGTAGGAAAGTTATTGTAGGAAAGCTATTGCCTAGGAAAATTATTATAAGAAATCTTTTTTAGAAAATCTATTGTTGGAAAGTTATTATGATAGAAAGCTATTATGTTAGTAAGCTGTTGATAGAAAGTTTTTTTACAAAAATTATTTTCGGAAAGCTATAGTAAGAAAGCTATTATAAGAAAGCTAGTGTAGGAAAGCTAATGTAGGAAAACTATTGTATGAAAGCTAAAGGAAAGCTACCGGAAAATACCATTGATTGAAAGCTGTCATTGGAAAACTATTAAGGAAAGCTTTATTGGAAAGCTTATATTGTAAATTTTCTAAGAAAGCTATTGTAGGAATTGTAGGAAATCTATTATAAGAAAGCTATTGTAGGAATTGTAGGAAATCTATTATGCAATAGCTGTTGTCTGAAAGCTAGGAATTAAAAGTTGAATGACCTGTATCAAGATTCAAAATTCTTATATATATATTTACATACAGGGTGTCCCACGAAACATGACTGTTGGTGAATAGTTTTGAATGTCTTCTTCCATATACTGTATCATATATTAAAGACTTTACGCAGTTTATTTCGTTAAAAAATTCTTTTACTCAAATATATTTTTCTTTGAAATGAATTTTACTATTATATTAATGCCATATAATATTTTTATTATTCTCTTTGGTATCAAAGAACTTAACAAATTATGGAAGAAGACATTTGAACTATTTACCAACTTTCATGTTTCTTGGGACACCCTGTATCTTTGCGCATATATCACAGTGTCTTTTAACCGTGCGTAAACGACAAGCAATCTCGAAACTCAACGTGCTTCCTCGCGCTTTCATCCCCCCTGTATGCAGTCCCTATTTNTACACATTTACAGGCAATATTGGTTTGTATTCAGGAACAGTTTGTTTCTTGCACTCAACTCAGTAACATCTCAACCAAACCAAACCAATTGAATCCAATTTAATCGTTTACGCAAAAATGTATATTACGAACAGGTTTTGCGACGCATTTCCTTACAATTGGAAGGATAAATTGGGCCCCAGAAGCCGCTTACAGTTAGATTATGAAGAGATAAAATATTTTATCCACAAAATTATTGAAAACGAATTCAAATAATTTCCCAAAGATTAGGTAAATATTTGTAACACTAATTGTGAGCACAATTCCGGCTTTTTAAAATAAAGAATACAGTGTCCCCCAAAAAATATGGAACTCAAGTGACAACTTTTATATTGTCTTTGCACATTCTATATTGGCGGTGAGATTGACAAATTGTCTAATTTCAAGTTAATTAAAAACAACAACAATATTCGACGGCATAGCGAAACCCTTGGACATAGAAATGGAAGATCACTTAAAATTATGTTCACAGTCCCTTTAAAGGGACCGTTCACTTATTACCCTTAAATTACCTAAATAAGTGAACCGTGCCTTTAACTAAAAAAAATTCTTAATACCGTATCCATAATTCGGAAAGATAGTATTTTTACAAAATATATCTTTGTGTACGATCCCAGACATATTCCTGCAAATTAGACGGTTTCTGGCTTGTTTCCAGCAACCCATATGGTTCCGTTCACTTAAAAAAAATTTTTTAGGTCGTCATAAAAGCTCACACTTTGTGGGTTAGCCTGTATTATTACAACGATTGAAAACCTAAAAATTGAATTTCAAAGCTATTAAAAATGAATTATACAATTTCAGAGAAAAGCATGAATTTGAGGAGAAGTTAATTGTAAAAACTAGATTTTTCCAGTTCAGATTCTGAAGATTATAGAAAGCAGCCATATTCTTGTAATTATAATATTTCAAAATGAAGACGACTTTTATACTCCTTCTGCACATACACTTCTCTCTACAGGGTGTTCAGGTAAACAATGAAATATTTGTAAAATCTTAAATCCTAATTAATGCCTTCTTCCTTTTTAATTTTTTGGCTTTTATGGTATGCATTTTTTATTTGAAGAAAAAAGAAGATTTTTAAGCTATTTGCTTTATATTCCACTATTGTATGGGTTTCACTTTAATCCATTATTTCTACCGAAATTACTTTCCTTTAAATCAAGAAAAACTTTAAATTGATTCTATTGTTTTAGCATTTAGCTCCAGTCTTTGCGGCCGACAGGTCTTCCAAATCAATGGAGATGGTGAAAAAGGTAAACAAAGGAATTGAGTCTTTGCCACAAACTCAAATTTTCTAATCCTTAAAGTTTGACAAAGTTTTTTTAATATTTCAAACTTAGTTTATTTGAGCTAACAGAATTCATAGTTTGAAAGATGTAGGGATGAAAAAATCAGTGTTTGTGGAAAAAACTCAATTTCTTGAACCATTAAATTGAAAAGAGTATCTAGGAGGATTGCAAATTACATCTAGAAGGAAATTACAAATTCGAAAAAACCTAAATATAAATTTATAAATAATCGTTTATGTTTTACTTCCTTTCCTTATTTAGCAAACTGTCCCTTCTAATTTTGCTAAATTTTGCAGTCTTTTAGAAATGACATTCAGCAAATTGCAAAAAAAGGACTTTGTTACCATAAATTTACCAAAACTCTGAGGATTGAATGTTTGCCTCGTTAATTCATATTTTGTAATTTGAAAATGTTTTCACTACTATATTTCAAAACATAATAACAAATTAAATTGCAAATTACAAATTATTATTAGTATTTATTATTATATTATTCATAATTTATTTTTGTTAACATCGCAGTAATTTTGTTTTATAAAATTAAAATAAGTTAAAATAGGTCGGAGGCATTACTGGAGGAAATTCTGGAGACCAGAAGTCAATATTTTCAAACATTCTCTCAAATATTGGAGCTCAATTAGGTAGTCAAATCCTTACAAAAAATCATGTTCATGATTATATAAATAAAGAGTAAAAAATCTTTTTCACTGTTCTTTACAAAGAATAAAGTTGATATTTAAGGCTTTTTGGATTTACAAATCTCAAATATGTTTATGTTAAATTTAAAATATACAATTATATATATATAATTTTTTGTTTATATCGTGTGATTAGTTTTAATACTTTTAAACATTTTATTATAATATAACACAAAATTAATTTATAAAAAAATTTGACTTTTTTGTAAGGCCTTAAATATCTAAAATCGAACGAAAAAGTTTCGTAAGAAAATGTATAAGTTTGATTTTGTTCAATAAATCAACATATACAATATAATATTTAATGAATATTTAATAAACTTACAATATTTAATATACGTTTAGTTTTTTTGTCATGATTTATAATTTTAACATTGTACAGTTATATCGCGGGAAAATTAAAACAAAAGTTGATTATTTTCAAAATACATAAAAACTATTTTATAAATAAACTTAAAGGGACTGTAAGAGTACTTTCAAGTAACTCTACATGAAAAGAGAGATAGTAATATCCATTTTGACAGCAGTCCCTTCAGGCTTAAAATATTTTGTTTGATCAAGTATGAATTATTTTCTATAAAATTTCAGAATCAAACGCTGTTAAACCTAGAAAAAGAAAATATCTTCCAGAGTACCGTTCTCATTTTTGCATAGATGATCACTTGAAAATAGACTTACAGTCCTTTTAACTAATTTGAATTAATTAATTAATTAAATTAATTAATTCTAGAGCAATTGTTTGAGGAGGATTACTCGGAGCGAAGATTAAAGGATAAGGTTGGGAAGCAGTATAATGAGGTAAACAAAATGGAAAATTAATTCTTTGTATAAAAATGGAAACCAGTTAAACTGTACTAGTTTTACAATCTAAATGGTTACCTAAAGGATCAGACTTCAGAGACAACAGTGCGAAATTACACTGTTTCCTTGTGTTCATTGTTCCCTGCAACTTTAAAAATGTTCCGTTCTTTGTCCAATCATGACTATATTCAAGGCAGAAGACTTAATTCAATCAGATCATAGTTTAAGCGTTTTATGTCGTCTTTTCAGTATAATCCTTTGTGGATAGCCCTGTGGTATTAGCCGGTGGACTACAGTGCACTAAAAAAGTTGGTGAATAGTTTAAAAGTCTTCTTTCAAAATAATTTAAGTTGTTTAATATCAAAGATAATAAAAAAAATTTTTCATGGCAGTCATAGTACAGTTAAATTGATTTCAAAGTAAAATATATTTAAGTAAAAGATTTTTTTAAACTAAATAATCTGCAAAAATTCTTAATTATCACATACAGTATACAGTATATACAGTATACAGTATATGGAAGTAGAAATTCAAAACTATTGACCAACTGTCATGTTTCGAGGGAAACTCTGTAGTTTACCGACTTTTTGCCATTTGTAAAATCCAATCTAAGTTTATTATTATTATTTATTATAAATTACTACGTGTAGGATGATGAAGACGAGGGTAATATATCTAATATTGTCGTCTTCCCTTCATGTTCAGCATCCTCAGAGATATGTCATCCAGGAGGAGATAATATTGGTTAGTTTGCTAAATTTTGTAAACATTCGCTTTTATCCCTTTTGTTATCAGATTGTGTCCTAAATGATACTGATCAGTGATCACCCAGATGATAAATCAACCCTATTCCCGAGAAAGTAGTTGTAAATAATTTTATCGTCATTTGAGATGAAAATGGGCAGAACGGGTTGATATTCTACTTAATTGTCCCTAGAGACGTAAAGTAATTAACTTCCCTCTGTTGGTGGAATCCTAGGTTGATAATGTTGATCAAAGGGGGGTAAAAGTTATATTACTACTTTGTTTATAAAAACTGCACTGTGTAATATGTTAGACTCACAATCTTCTAGCTTTGTTATTAAAGCTCTGTTTGCTTAAAGTTTAATTAAACACCTTTACATTATTTTCTTTCCGGTGTAATATAATTTAATTAGATTCACAGAGATTAGACAAATCAAATGTTTTGTTCAAAGGGAATGTTCACTTTATTTTAAGGGAACCTTAATTCAGGTTAGATTCACAACGGTACCCTCTAGCTCTTCATCCAATTAAGTTTGTCCATGCTGCACAAATGCACTTTTTTCAAGAAACCGCAATGGAAAATTGTCAATTTTCCCAATTTTTCCAATTTTCTTACTTAGAGAAAAGTTTAAAGGGTGCAGTTGTGAATCGGGTAAAGTCCATTCCAATTTTCTAAAATCACATACAATGTAATTGTATTTGTTACAAAACCAAAGTTTTCAGAAGATTCCATTAGAAAATTATTTTATTTTGTAAGAAAGATAAAAACAAATTAATTTCATCAAAACATTGGATAAAAACAAAAATTTTCCATTGCAAAGTGGAGGAGCCCCCCCCCCTCCCCGTCAGTCTCCGTCTGAAACATTGATACAGGTTTGGAAAACTTTTGAGATCTACTGAAATACTTGAGATCTACTGAAATACTTGAGATCTACTGAAATACTTGAGATCTACTGAAACGCTTGAGATCTACTGAAAAAATGTAAATATATATATAAATATATGTTGTTTGTATGTTCTCTGTAATATCTTCATAATTTCTTCACAGGTTCTTAACCTAAGTTCTACATAAGCTCTTTGTAAATTCTTCATAAGTTTTTCGGAAGCTCTTCATGAGTTCTTAATACGTTCTTCATGAGTTCTTAACACATTCTTCATAAGTTCTTCATAAGTTCTTTATAAGTTCTACAAAAGGTTTACGTAATTTCTTTGTATGTTCTCTGTAAGATCTATCATACGTTTTTAAGTTCCTCATCATTTCTTCATAGGTTCTTATAATGTAAGTACTCATAATAAGTTCTACATGAGCTCTTCGTATGTTCTTTGTAAGATCTCTGTATGTTCTTTGTAAAATCTTCGTACGTTATTTGTAAGATCTTTCTACGTTCTTTGTAAGATCTTCGTAAGTTCTTTGCAAGTTCTTCGTACGTTCTTTGTTAGATCTTCGTATGTTCTTTGAAAGTTCTTTGTATGTTCTTTAAGTTCAACAAAAGGTTTTCGTAAGTTCTTCATAATTTAATAGTTTGCCATTTTCCAGTTTGCGGTGAGCCTGCGAGGGGAGGACGGATTGTGAACGGTGTAGACACTTCTCCAGGCCAATATCCTTGGACAGTTGGTAAATATCATAATTAATTAAAGGGAGTGTTTGCAATAATTAAAGGTGAAAGAGGATGAACCCGAAGCTAATTCGTGTTCGATTGTAACTATTTTAATTTTTATGTCGTGACTTTTCTAGATTATATCAATTTCGGAATATAATAACGTCGGACAGGGTTGAAGCAAATGATACACATTTGATTTTGAATCATTTTGGATCGGTAATAACTAACAAGAGTTCTTTAGCTAAAAAAGAAGAACGTTTTTAAACATGAATACTGTTTCCACTTTTACAAAGAATATAAACAATTTACTTATTACAATCGTATGACAATTGTTTCTAACTTCTTATGGTTCCTGAAATACTCTGCATCGGAATCTTTTTTTTTGATATTTTAAATTATGTTTCACACAATAACAAACTTGGTCTAAGTTGTTTGTTTACTTTGTACCCGAGTATCCAGGATCCTAGACAACTTTTTATATTGTTTTGCTTACTTTAGGAATCCAGTTTGTGGACAAACTTTACTGCGGAGGCAGTTTAATTACAAACCTTTTTGTCCTCACAGCGGCCCACTGTTTAAAGGGGTAACTATTTTTATTTCCACTTTTAGCATACTTAGAGTGAGGCCTACTGTTTAAAGAGGAAACTAACTGTATATCCGCTATTGGCCCACTGTTCAAAGGGGAAACCAATCTTATATCCATTATTGGCCCAATTTTTAAAGGAGAAACTAACTGTATATCCACTATTGGCCCACTGTTTAAAGGGGAAACTAACTGTATATCCACTATTGGCCCACTGTTTAAAGGGGAAACTAACTGTATATCCACTATTGGCCCACCGTTTAAAGGGGAATCTACTGTATATCCAATATTGGCTCACTGTTCAAAGTGGAAACTAACTGTATATCCACTATTGGCTCACTGTTTAAAGGGGAATCTACTGTATTTCCACTATTGGTCCACTGTTTAAAGGGGAATCTACTGTATTTCCACTATTGGCCCACTGTTCAAAGGGGAAACTAACTGTATATCCAATATTGGCCCACTGTTTAAAGGGGAACTTAACTGTATTTCCGCTATTTGCCCACTGTTCAAAGGGGAAACCAATCTTATCTCCACTATTAGCCCACTGTTTTAAAGGGTAACTCATTTTATTTCCACTAGTAGCCCACTTTGGCTAACTGTTCAAATGGGAAACCATTCTTATATCCGCTATTGGTCCACTGTTTAAAGGGTAACTAATATAATATCCGCTTTTGACCCATTGTTTGAAAGGGTAACAAATCTTATATCCATTATGGACCCACTGTTTAAAGGGGTAACAGATCTTTTATCCGTTCATCTTTTGTTCTACTGTTTGCCTACTTTTTTATTTTTGGTGAACCAATTTAAAGTTTTAATGTCTGAAATATAAACTTCGAACGGATTCCAATATAAATACGATATAATCTATTGATCAAATTCTCATTCTCTTCTTAAATTGTTGATATTTTTAGGATTAATCAGTCTCGTTTAAAACTTGTTTTGGGAGATCATGACCGGAATCTAAGGGGACCTGGTCAAACTTACAGGTAAGTTAAAAAACATATTTAATTTTTATTCAATTTTTTTCAGTTTATTTGCTTTATTTCCCTAATTTTTCAACAATCTATTAGAATATTTTTAAATTTAGAAATAGTCAAAGGATTTTTTAATTTTTCCATAATGTGGCTCTAATTTTACATATTTATAAATCTTTTGAAAGATTTATAAATGTTAGAGAATACATTTTTTCTTAAATAACCATTTTGTTTTATTGTTGCCTCAACTAAATTAATATCTATTGAATAAGACGAAAAATGATTTACGCTCGTCGTAGTGTATCTTTCACCAAAGATATTTGTAATTTTCTGTGTATCTTTCACCAAAGATATTTTTAATTTTCTGTATATTTCTTTCACCAAAGATATTTTTAATTTTCTGTGTATCTTTCACCAAAGATATTTTTAATTTTCTGTGTATCTTTCACAAAAGATATTTTTAATTGGTGAATATTGTTTTTCTTCAACCCTGACGCTGAATTGATGTTTTTAAAAAGAAAAATATATTTTTGAAGTTCCTCCCTCACTTTGAAAGCAATTTTTCATGTTTATTTAAAAAAATTATTTTTTTAAAATTTTAGAACCGTGGCCAACACTTTTATACACGATAACTTTGAGAAGAAAACTTTCAACAACGATATTGCGCTCATCAAAATGAATTCACCGGTAAGTATCTATTTATAATAAAAGTGTCCGTTTATTTGTTTGTCTGATCATAACTTTGGAACCCGTTGACCAATTTGCCTCAAATTTTGATGGGGAACTCGGGAACTTGTAATTTACGACAAGGGGCGTGTAAACCGTGTAAACGGTGGGATTAACAATGACTCCCCGTGTCTACAGTCGGATCCCAAGCCAGCCCATTTTTTTTGCATAAAACGCGCTGGGTCTGCAGGAACCACTAGATTTATGAGACGGGTTGGAACAAGATCGTTGAAGTCTCTAATGGGCTCGGATCATGCGACGATAGATCAAACATGATTAAGTTAAAGAGACTGTACGTGCAATATCAGGTGACTCTCCATGCAAAGATGGCATTGCCTAATTTACAACGGTAGAATTTTAAACTTTGTTTGTTTTTGTTTTTTAAAACTGTTTATTTTGATTTGTGTTTCTCAGCAAAGTAAAGAAATAAGGAATGGAGTAATGATCAGGAAAATAAACTTTTTCCAATCTTAAAAACGACATTATTCTCTACATTTTTGATTAGTTAAAGGATACAAAAGCACTGTTGTAAATCGGACATTGCCATCTTTGCATGGAAAGACACTTAAAATTATACTTACATTCCCTTTGGCAAGGGCTGTACATGTCGTTACTCCTGGGCACGTTATGTTAACCTGATCTAGAACTGGGAACATTATGTTAACCTGGTATAGAACTGGGCACATTATGTTAACCTGATCTAGAACTGGGCACATTATGTTAACCTGATCTAGAACTGGGCACGTTATGTTAACCTGATCTAGAACTGGGCACATTATGTTAACCTGATCTAGAACTGGGCACGTTATGTTAACCTGATCTAGAACTGGGCACGTTATGTTAACCTGGTCTAGAACTGGGCACGTTATATTAACCTGATCTATAGCTGGGCACGTTATGTTAACCTGATCTAGAGCTGGGTAAGTTATGTTAACCTGCTCTAGAGTCGGACACGTTAAGTTAACCTGATCTAGAGCTGGGTACGTTATGTTGACCTGATCTACAGTTGGGTTCGTTATGTTAACTTGATCTAGAGCTGGGCACGTTATGTTAACCTGATCTAGAGCTGGGCATGTTATGTTAACCTGATCTAGAGTCGAACAGGTTATGTTAACCATGGATCTAGAGCGTGGTATGTTATGTTAACCTGACCTAGAACTTGACACGTTATGTTAACCTGTTCTAGAGCTGGGCACGTTATGGTAACCTGATCTAGAGTCGGACAGGTTATGTTAATCATGGATTTAGAGCGGGGTACGTTATGTTTACCTGATCTAGAACTTGTCACGTTATGTTAACCTGACCTAGAGTTGGGCACGTTATGTTAACCATGAATCTAGAGGGGGGTACCTTATGCTAACCTGATCTAGAACTGGACATGTTATGTTAACCTGATCTAGAACTTGACATGTTATGTTAACCTGATCCAGAACTGGACACGTTATGTTAACCTGATCTAGAACTGGGCACGTTATGTTAACCTGATCTAGAACTGGACACGTTATGTTAACCTGATCTAGAACTGGGCACGTTATGTTAACCTGATCTAGAACTGGGCATGTTATGTTAACCTGATCTAGAGCTGTGCACGTTATGTTAACCTGATCTAGAGCTGTGCACGTTATGTTAACCTGATTTAGAGCTGGACACGTTATGTTAACCTGATCTAGAGCTGGGCACGTTATGTTAACCTGATCTAGAGCTGGGCATGTTATGTTAACCTGATCTAGAGTCGGGCAGGTTATGTTAACCATGGATCTAGAGACTGAAAGCGACCTAAAACTATAAAAATGAGGGATTTCAGCGTTTGAAGTTTACCCGTTAACGGGAAATAAACAGACGCACATCTAGAGGTGTGCTGCTTTATTAATTTTCCCAGCTTGAATATTCAAATGTACACCGTTTGCGCGTGGACGAGCGCTGTAGTCACAGAATTACGATTTAAAAGTGTAGTCCGCTGGGCACGCTAAGTTACCTATAGATTCTGATAGAATTCAAACTATTTTATTTTTCATTTAGATTGATTTCTCCTCCCATATAAGACCAGTGTGCTTGCCCACTTTTGACAGAAGCTATAACGGTCATAATACAACCGTAGTTGGATGGGGGAAGGTAAGTAGAAAGGAAAATCAAAGAAAATTACATTTTAAAAAATGTTTAAGCTAGTTTTTTAAGAAACTTTAGTTCTGATATCATTATTTTATATTTCAAACTCTGAATTCTACACGATCAAACAGTAAAAGTTTTAAACCAACAGAGCCCGCGATTAAAAAAATTCGGGAAAACACGGTTTGGGTATAAGTTGTCGTTCGGCCTTATTTACGTCTTCAGCTTTCGGATTCTTACTGCATCAATTAGTTGAGTTAAAAAAAAAACCGGTTTAATATTCTATATGGCGGATTTTCCTGGTATAGGAATTGACGCTTTCCGTGTTTTTATGAGAACACTACTCAACTTTTACCTTATTTTCCACTAACACCAACAATTGGTCGGTTTATTTTCATTGGGCTTACTCCTTAAGTCGAGCCTCGAATATCTTGCAGCTGTCAATCACGTGACACATGCTGTCGTAAGAGTTGGGTCAAAGATTGGGTTTTAAAGTCGGGTTTAAGTAATTACAGCTCGAGCCGAAGTTTTTAAATCGCGGACTCGTAATGTCGCCAAAAATTTTATATTTTTTTCTTAATTTATCTATCTTTCTAGTTGAGTGAGGGTGGATCCCCATCAGATCTACTGCAGGAGGTTTTAGTCCCAGTTATTCCTCAACGAAAATGCCGCCGAAATACAAGGTTCAAAAAGTATTCATTTTTCAGTTTTTAAATCTTTGGATATGAGCGTGAAATTGAATAATTTTAAAGTGCCGTTTTTGAGCGTTTTTATGATCAATTGCCTTGGAAATTATGTGTTTTCGTGAATTTAAGTTCAGACTATTCTTATTCAGAAAAAAAACTTGGAAATTTTTATAATGATTAAGATAGTAAATTAATTACATATGTAACACTTCTCTCTTCAAATAATTTTGAGCAACATGAAACACTTAATAATAATAAAAATTTATTTTTAAATTTAAAATATTTTTTTTCTAACAAAATTTAAAAAGAGAAGTGAATATTTTTTTCCTATGGCTGTTGTATCTTCTTATTTCTGATCATACATCTGTTTTCTGTTCTTCTCTTTTAGATCTACTCATTCTAGTCTCTGGTAGACAAGAGAAAAATGCATTTTGACACATATTTCTGATTCATACTATTATATAGTTTGATATCTTGGTGCCAGAAATATCAAATTAAGTATAATAGAAAGTTACTGTTTGTGAGTAGATATCAGATGTATTTTCAGTCTTCAGAATGTCTGACTCAACAACTGTTGAAGGTTAGCTTCAACACACAATTTCCTTAATATTCTTACAGGTTGGGAAAATAAAAGTAACACTGCACTAAGAATTCCACCTTGATAATGATAAGAAAATATAAAAATTTATTTTTATTATATTAATATATGTATAGGATAATTGTGTTATAAGCATAAGTATAATAATGATTTACAGAAAAATTAATTATACTAATCTTCAGTCAAGTATGTTATTTTGTAGAAACTAATTTGATATACTAATCTTTAGTCAAATATGTTATTTTGTAATGTACTTTCTTTATCGTACTGCACTGGACTTTTTTTTTTAAACCTAAAGATGAATGTACTTAGAAGGTGTTTTTTGTGGAATTCTAAACTTAATCTTTAGATGACATTCGAAATCCTTTAAAAGGTTTTATATTTAAATTCGAATACAAATTTTTAAATTTTCCTAGGTTTATGAATTAAAGAAACTTAATCAAAAATCTATTATTTATATTTTAGACAATACTAATAATACCCTAACTTTAAAGGAATTTAGTTTTTGGTCACAAACTTAAATTTTTAAATCCGTATATCTTTGGAACCTGATGGAGTAAATCTTTGATATTTCAAAATTAGATTATTTGATCTAACAGTATACTTATTTTGAACTAAATAAGGTCTAAGACATTGGGTTCCAAAGATATAGAGATTGAAAAATCAGAGTTTGTGGCAAAGACTCAATTCCTTTAAAGAGAATTAAATTACTTCATTGAACTTATTTTGATCGATTTTTGGATCCTTTTGAGACAAAGCTAATCTTTTTTTAACTGGTCTAGCCGCAAACTCTGATTTTCTAATCCCTATTTTATTGCACCTCGATGTCGTAGATCTTTAATATTTCACATTTGAAATACCAAAAGACTCATGTTCATTTTTAAAAATCAATTACGTTATGGTTTTTTAATGACCAAAGATAAATGTTTATAAAATAAATTAAAAATAGCCTATTAGATATTTGAGTTGAAAAGAAAGGTCACACTAAGCCATATTTGATTCTAATTAAAAAGCAGATTAAAATCATTTTGATGAGAAACCAAAATATCTTGTTTTCAGAGGGATTTAAAATTTAAAAAAAGTCAAATATGAAGTTTATTTTTTTGTTCATGTTTAATGTCTAATGTCCACAAAATAAACATTTCTTAAATAGGTATTTTATGTAGTTTCAAGTGAGTCACTGTTTCAATTCGCACTTTAAACATCTGAGCACGATATCAACGTTTTTTTAGAGAAAGGAATTGAGTTTTGCCTCAGACTTAAATGTTCTTCTCCCTTCATCTTTGCAGCCTGACAGTGTAAACCTTTGATATTTCAAACTGAAAATACTTGATCTAACAGACTTCATAGTTTGAAATATTAAATTTCTTCAGCATCAGGGATTAAAAAGTCAGCGTTTGTGGCAAAGACTCAATTCCTTTATTCTGGAAGCTTTTGCTGCAAAGGTTCGTAAGTCCTCTTGTAAAGAAACCGCATCGGAAAGTTTTCAAAGTTTAGACAGAAAACAAGGATATCTTTATCATTTTATATCAGCGATAACTTTAAAGGGTAGCGTGCGATTCCGGCATGTAATTCTTTAAATGGAAGGAAACTAAAAAAGAAAAAATATAAAAATTGGCCGAAATAAAAATTTTGTTTAGATATCACTCTAAAGAGATCACTGAGAATATGTTTTGTGCTGGATACGATAAGGGTAAACTAGATGCATGTCAGGTACAATATAATTTTTTAAAAATTAAAAATATTATTGTGTTTATTTTTAAAGATGTTTTATAATAAAGTAGAATAGAAATTCAAAACCGAATTTAATTCCAAATCTGTGTCACTTGACTCTATACAGACGAGATATGTGGAAAATTATTAAATACTGTCTTAGGTCTAGAAATACTTAACCATACAAGTACAAATCTATAAATAAATTTGGCTTGTCTGTCTGTTTCTTTTTCTGTTTGTTTGTTTGCTTGTATCCAATAAACGTCAAAACGGCTGAAGCGATCGGGCCCACATTTTTTGTGGGACATCTAGGGACCCCAGCGAAGGTTTATGAATGATCAAATTTTCAAATATTTGTCTCCATCAAAATTCGATCTTTATTAAATTTTTGAAAATTTTGAAAATCCACGAAATTTTTTGTGAAAATCCGCGAATTATTTTTGTTTTGTTTTACAATGTACACAAAGAGAACATGTTCACAATTAATTTAGAATATGGGCGCAAAGCGACCTCTTAGGCTAGTAATTATAAAAACCAACAATATGGACAATACAGTGATCTCGCCGGGTTGACTTAACACCGGGTAGTCCATACTGGACTGTACATGATGTACCGGCTCGAATAGTGCAATTTTAATGTAGTGTGTACGGCCAAAAGCTTTATGTTTCTAAACCATTTTTTGACGTTTTCGTTTAATTAGGGAGATAGTGGAGGACCTATGGTTTGGAGGGGCGATGAGACGAGTGCTTTCACCCAAATAGGTGACACAAAGTTTTTTTTTTTTTAAATTGATGTTTTAATTTTTGCCAATTTTGTTGTCGGTTTGTTTGTGTTCAATAAACGCTGAATGGCTCACATGATATCAAGAAAGATTTATATACAGTCTGAATTATAATTGTATTATATATAAATTATGTTTATGTTTTTGGCTTTAAACCTAACAACAAAAAACCTTTGACCAGCATGTGGCTAACAAAGATCTACCAAAGTTGTTACAAATAACCCCACCTTGAAAATATTTAAACTAAATACATCTTAAATTGTTTAACCCTGAAGACTAGTGAGAAACATTTTAGTTTGTTCGTGTGAAAGGTTGATAGATATTTAATCCTCTTTCCTCCATTATAAACCAGCTGCAACTTTTCTTCTCTAGATAGAACATAAAACAGTTTTTACACTTTTAAACATCTTTTTTTGATTTTTAGCGGCTGTAAAGAAAACATTTGTAATTATTGCACAGTTTTTTTTCAAAAAAAGAAAAAAATTAAATATAATAAAGGAATTGAGTTTCAGCCACAAATTCAAATGTTCTAATCCCTATATCTTTGCAACCCGATGGTGTAAACCTGTTATATTTCAAACTACAACTATTTTATCAAACGGAATTCATTGTTTGAAACAAGGAGAATTTAATAGAAGGAGGGGACGAAAGGGTTTCCGTACACTTTGCTGTGACTTTTTTGGACTGCCGAAGAACAAGTTTTTGCGTAACAACAATAATAAAGATTGTAAACAATAACACAAATGATAAACAGACATTTGGCATCTCTGGCGCGTTAGATGAAGATTCACCGTATACTAACTCATGTTTGTTTACATTAGATCGGCTGCCTTTGTTATTTTTGTTACGCAAAAACTAGTTCTTCAGCAGTCCAAAAACGTCACAGCAAAGTGTACGGAAACCCTATCGCCCCCTCCTTGTATTTAATTCTCCTTGGTTTGAAATATCTAAGATCTACGACATCGGGTCACAAAGATATAGGGGTTATAAAATCAGAGTTTGTGGCAAAAACTAAATTTCTTTACAACGTAGATAGCTTTTTTAAAATAATAATATCTAAAACCGCCTAACACAAGTAAAATCAACTGGGTTTCCGATACTGGGTTTCATTGCGATACCCTGTCTTAAGTTTAGGGCTCTGTTCTGTGTACTCTGTGCAGTATATCTGTGTTATTCTTCAGAGCCCTAAACTTAAGACAGAGTATCGTTATGAAACCCAGAATCAAAAACCCGGTTTTATGATTGGGGTCAGACAGTTTTGTAGATGCTAATATTTTTGTTCAGAAATATTATTTCATGAGGTTTCTTTGTATTCTGAATTCTCAAATTAAAATCTACGCAAATTTTTAGACCCCAAAAAGGCAACTCGGGATTTTAGTTCAAAGATACTCTCTTAAATTTCCGGCTCAGAGTATTTTAAAAAGCCTGTGCACAGCAACTTATAATGCTAGGAAAGTTAATTTCAGTTGCGTATACTCGGCGTAAATATTGAAACCAGTTCTCTCTGGGCGGAATTTGTAAACAAGAATAGATGCATCAGTGTTCGTTCAGTATCCAAGGATGTTAAAAGCATTAAATGTTGATACTTTTGATATATACATATATAGTTTCCTATGACCAGAATATTTCATTGATTTTTATGTGAAAGATGGATCCAATGTCAAGCTTCGACATCAGTCTTGTGTTTACATTACCGCCCAGAGACAGTACACTGCAGTACTGCAATGCGTACACCTCTGAAATAACTTTTTTTGCATTATAACCTTGGTGTACAGTATTGTTTATATATACATATCTGAACATTGTACAATGTGCATAAATGTATAAATATAATGTATAACAAGGTTTACCCAATTAAAGAAGTAATTTATCAGTATAGTATATATAAGTAATAGAATGTAGGGAGAGGGGAGTTGTAGGCCGTAGGAGGGGAATTGACATGATGTAACATCCATTATGTTTATGTTTTATCTATTCCTAGGATAACAACATGGCTTGCTGCAATATATTTCCGGTCCTTATAATTATATAATAATATATCCTATATAGAGTAGGAGCAACACATTTATTAATCATATATTCATATATCATGCAAAGACAAGAACTTTTGATTAAGGTAACGCTAATCTACAATGCCTAAATACGATATCCATAGCGAAATTTTAAATTTGAAGCGAATTCATCCGTTCAAAAACATCTGACTTTCGCGATTTATTATTGGCTAGCTGCAGATTTAGTTGGCTTTTGATCGGTAGGTTTATGTGGCCGTTTGAGATGTTCACAAAAGGAACTTAACCTGTTGCACTTACAACCAATAAACGGATAAGTTGTTTCCAATAGGATTAAAAATACAAAAATTCCGACCTCGGGCTCATTGTAATATCTCGTTTGCAGCAAATACACAGCAAATTTATATTTTTTATTTTTTTTTCTAGTATTGAGTGAAAGTATTTTTTATCTTCAAATAATGCATTTCGTAGCATTAAAAATAAAAATGTTAAAGATGACATCGCATTTTTGATTTAAATATTTTAGCTCAGGCCTCAGAAGAATAAATAGTAAAAAGTTATCCAATGTGATATCAAAAGTACAATATCATATGTTAATATATAATAACTAGCTGAAGTGCCTGGCGTTGCCCGTGGAATTTTAGAAACACTTGAAAAAATTAAAAATTAGAATTTTGAAAAAAAAACTTTTTATTCTATGTTACCCCCGGAGTACTTTAAAAAAATCAGCCAATTTTGGTTCAGCTGTTGAGCCAGCTAAAGCTAACATATATACAAATATAAAAATATATATATGAGCGCGCGAAGAGCTTTATTATATATTAGTAGTTATCATATAGCCTTCAAAAAAACAAAAAACAAAACTTTTTTTTCTAAAATATTACTGCATTCCAAAGTTTGACTTCATAAATGGATTAAAAAATAAAAAATACATAAACTTTTACATTTAAATTTCGTATACAAAAGAACATTTTAAAAACAACTTAACATTTACTTTGTGTAACAATAGTTGGAAGTGGCCACTACATTTTTATTTTGTATACAAAAGAACATTAAAAAAAAACTTTACATTTACTTTTTGTAACAATAGTTGGAAGTGGCCACTATCAACTTAATGACACACAATTCAGCTTTCTTTCTGGTATTGCGCGCCATCTTGATGAGCTGATCGTTGCTGATATGCTAGTATGGATTGTGAAATAATGATTTGCGGATTTTTAAATAAACTTTAGTGGATTTCGGCAGTCAAAATTTGTTGCTGCTGTAAAACCATGCAAATAATGTTTTTAAGACTTTTACTGAGATATTTTTTAACATGTTTTGAAGTTGTTTTTTTAGTTTAAGTTCTTATATTTTATTTTTGTTTTGGAAGAATTAAGCGACGCCCAACGCGTTGTCTAAAATATGTGTTAAATGCAATTATATAATTTACTAGCTGAAGAGCCCGGCGTTGCCCGTGAAAAAAAAAAATTTAAAAAAAAATTGTTTAAAATAAAATTGGAAAAAATGGATTTTTTGCCTATAACACCCCCGGCCACCCATGAGTGTCCACAAAAAAATCGGTCCAGCCGTTTGGCCGGCTATGCGCAACATATATACGAGTGTCTTGTTTTATTATATAGAAATAATGTGGTAGCATTATAACAGCAGTTATGTTTATTTTCTCTCTCTGTTTTCAAAACATTTCCGCCAATTTCTGCCAGGAAATTGGCTTCAGTCTGGACACTGTGTCCCAAAAGTTTTTAAAAAATTTAAAACTCCACATTTTAAATGTGTTCCAGAAGATAAACTGTGCAGTGCATCGACAAATTTGGATCATTGTTTTCAGCTCAACATTTTTGGACATCTTTTTATGAGTTTCTTGACTTCTAAGTTTTTGCAATTTGTGATTATCAATGCAGTAAAAACATGGAAACTTTTGTTAAGAAGCCTTCTTGGGAACCACAAAGAACTGAATCTGCAACCAAGCAGATTTTAAGAAAGTATTTTTAAATAGCTGCAGGCTTAAAGGGACTGTCTGCGTAATTTAAAGTGACCTTTCATGCAAAGATACCAATTTACACGTTACCCTTGAAACCTTAATCTAATCAGAAATGTCGATGATAACATCGTTTTATGAACTCGAAAAGTATTTAATTCTGATAGTTTCTCCATGGCTTCTTGTAAGCAAAAAATGCACGAGTCACTTTTTAAGAGGAACCAAAAATTGATATATAACAGTTTAAATAAACAAAAACATGAAGATCTAATTCATGCTTGCTCAGACAAAGCGTTTAAGGGTATCGTTGGAAATCAGACATTGCCATTTTATGTCCGATGCGTGGTTTTCTCTCTCTCTCAATCGATTAACCAGTCCTACAATTTGCACCCAAATAATCAATTAGAAAATGGAGAAAGAATAATTACTTTTCCTTGCAAAGAATAGGAAACATTCATTATTGTACAACTGGTACTTTTTGTTTGTTTTTAATCTTTGTGACAGAAACACTCTAAAGAACCGACGAGGGTCAACCTAGACCGAAATATATTTTCAATAAATGTGGAACTAACATCTACTTTTTTATTCTACAGAGGTTTGGTTCATCACTATCACCGAATTTTAAATCAACTCGCGCTTGTCAAAGATTTTTTTAAATGAAAAAACATTTTGTAAAGCTAACATAGTTTTAGTTTTGTTTACAAAATTCAACATCTTTGCAACCTGCAGGCTGCAATGTTTTAAACTTTGAATTCTGCTAGATAGATTAAATCATTTGATTTTCAAACATTTTTAAGCGTGTAATATTGGAAAAAACGGCTCATTTTTTGATAAAAATAATTTTTAAATTTGAATTTTAATAATAATAATAATAATAATAATAATAATAATTAAAAAAATAATAATAAAAATAATTATATAAATTTACTAGTTACTAAAGTTACAAAAAATTAAAAATGATTTTTTTTTCGTTGTTTGAAATAATGTTTTTAGGATTGGTCGGTACCTGGATTGGATTATACAAGTTGTGGAAAG